ACTCATACACCGAAATACATCATCGTTGTTAGAGATATTTGATCCGTGTTGAAACAGGTATACAACCTTTTCCGGCAACTTGGATTGAGACATCTATTCGTTGTTCCTCGTCCTTCCCGTGTGATAGGCTTGATCACCAGGAAGGATTTGCTAATTGAGGTATGATCCATTCTCTTACATCCGCAGAGAGTTTAGTTATACAACACATTCCGTTAACAAAATCCGTCGTAGGAATAACAATGGTGAGATGTTGTGCAGGAAAACGGGGAATCATCAGCAGTGGAACTCCAACAGTCAACTAGTGTAAGGTCTCTAGCTTGCTGCTGTTCTTGTGCATAATCACAAATAACTTTGGGGGAGTCTCTCAAGTTTCGTGCTATGATTTTCTAAGCAAACCTCTCAAACAAGACTCTTTCGAAGTTGTTTAGTGTGTAATCTAATGTTATCTTTCCACTTTGACTAAACCTTAATTGTTTTTGGCTGCAGAGGTCGGTACAGTGAGACAGCAACGCGGATGGATGCTGCTGCACGTCCGCTTCTTGATGATCTTTTAGGCTAATAAAACAGTAAACATATATACAAGCGACTGAAGTTGGTAAAAACTCGGGCCAGATTCTTCGTCCATACTTACGAAACGACATGGTTTTGCCTCCCAAAACTGGTGTGCAGGATATATGATCATATCTCTTGAGACGGGATTGTGATAACGGTCTTCATTGGCTGCTCACGGAGAATAGAAAAGATACATGTAGAGAGTTTGATTGTTGTAATTGTGCAAATCTTTGATTATTTCTTGGTCATTGTATAATAATCCAGCCTTTTATGTATTACCTAGTTAACTTTAACCATATCGGATTAAAAACAAGAAAATAAAAGTTTTGTTTGCTCACGTTGTGATCTCCATAACCATAACACTGTAGTTAAAGTTCAACCTCACACTTGGAAAGTTAAAGTTAAGACTTGAGAGTATCTCACCGGTGACTATTGTCAAGTCAAGTAGTCAACTATAATACTAATCTTTTTATCAAAAATAAATAAATATAATACTATTATTTAAAAAGTAATATAAAGATAATTGAGTCACTCATATAGAAACACATCCAGGTGCAGTTCTCAATTTTAAATAAAAACATTCCTATTGTAAAATACTCTAATGAAAGTGGTAAACATGATGCTGGAAACAACTGGTCAGAGTTTTTAAGAAATCAAAGATTATATACAAAACTTTGGTGAATCTCTTCGTGAGCTTTTAAGGTACAAACGAAAACCATAGCTATTCAACAGCATAATAGTCATGAATAGAAAATAATTCGTAAGATTTAATACTATAATCAACTTTGACACTCAAGATTTTATTTCTAAAAATCCAAAACAAGATAAGGGACGGATTCTTGTTTACTCGTGTGTATTAATAGCTCAGACAAATATCTTACAGAGTGAACAGAAACGTTATATCCATTCACGCAGATTGTGCTTCGGATTAACTCAAATCCAGACGTAATAAATTTGTTAACGTATGTTACCATTTAAAATAAAAGTAAACTTGCCTGAAACAGATAAAAACAACCTCGAGAAATGTAAACACAATTTATGACAGCGAATGCTGACTGTAAGAACCCAAAAAGGATAAAAAAAAACATGAAATATTATCCAAATATTTTGACCAGCTAATCAGTTTTGATTCTTACTCCTTTCAAAACTAACATTCCATTTTAAGACGTTATCTCTATCTTCTTCTTTCTCATTTCTTTTTTTTGTATGAATCTTTCTTATTTCTTTATCTTCGTCTCTGTATAAATAGATAACCTTTTCTTTCTATCATTCTTAAGTTAAGATCTCCGCCTCTGCTTCTCTCGCTCTCCATTACAAGACAGAGAAGCACAAACACAAACAAAGACACACACACACACTAGCGTTTTGAGAGAGCTAGAAGTTAAAAAATGGCTGTAGTTATTTCGTCTAGCGGTAATTCCCCGGCTTTCGAAGGGAAGATGACCGTTTATGTCTTCATCTGTGTTGTTATCGCGGCTGTAGGCGGTTTGATCTTTGGTTATGACATCGGAATCTCTGGTTCGATTCTCTTCTCTGTCTTTTATCTTGTTTTCTTTTTTCCGCGTTGCTTATGTTTCAAGAAACTGAATCTAGCCTATTAGTTTAAACTGAATACTGTAGCCGATTGAGCTATTTGCACTTGTGAATACGTCTAAAAGATTACAATATTGGTTCCTTGACTAGCTCATGTAACGAATTTGTAGCCTTTTCTATATTTACTAATAAAATCTGAGATAATATTAGCTTAATTAGAAAAAGGTGTAAAATTGTAATGATTTCTAAACAATTATTTTTTTTAAAGAAAAAAACAAACAAATTTGGTAGCCAGATTTTGTTTGGTTTGCATCTGATGGTACTAATTTGAAAACAACAGGTGGAGTATCAGCAATGGATAGTTTCTTGGAGGAGTTTTTTCCATCAGTGTACGAGAGGAAGAAGCTTGCGCACGAGAACAACTACTGCAAGTACGACAACCAGGTCTTGCAGCTCTTCACCTCCTCTCTCTACCTCGCTGCGCTAGTGGCTAGCTTCTTCGCTTCCGCCACGTGCTCTAAGCTCGGCCGCAAACCCACTATGCAGTTCGCTTCCATCTTCTTCATCATCGGTGTTGGCCTCGCCGCCGGTGCTGTTAACATGTACATGTTGATCATCGGAAGAATCTTGCTCGGTTTTGGCGTTGGCTTTGGTAATCAGGTACAAGATTATATGAACTTTTACATTTTTATGAGATCTTGAAATTTTAGGATTTTTTCAAGAACTAAACATTATTGAAAAATGTTGAAATATTTTTCAGGCGGTGCCGCTTTTCTTGTCAGAGATTGCTCCGGCGAAGATTCGTGGAGGTCTCAACATTGTTTTCCAACTGATGATTACAATCGGAATCCTAATCGCCAACATAGTCAACTACTTCACCTCCTCCATTCACCCTTACGGATGGCGACTCGCCCTCGGTGGCGCCGGAGTTCCCGCGCTCATCCTCCTCTTCGGATCGCTTCTCATCTGCGAAACACCGACGAGTCTCATCGAGAGGAACAAATTAGAGGAAGGCAAGAAAACGCTCAAGAAGATCAGAGGCGTCGATAATGTTGAAGAGGAGTTTCGATCAATCGTCAACGCTTGCGATTTCGCCAGGCAAGTCAAGGCTCCTTACAGGAAACTGATGAAACCCGAGAGCCGACCTCCTCTTGTGATCGGATTGTTGCTCCAGTTTTTCCAACAGTTCACTGGAATCAATGCCATTATGTTCTACGCCCCGGTTCTGTTCCAGACCGTAGGGTTTGGAAATGATGCTGCTCTGCTTTCCGCGGTTATTACTGGAACCATCAACGTTCTCAGCACGTTCGTCGGGATTTACCTCGTCGACAAAACCGGCCGGAGATTTCTTTTGCTCCAATCTTCAGTTCACATGCTCGTTTGTCAGGTAACCTTTTCTCTCTTCTACTTGTTTCTTGTTCCCTAAGCAACACAACCTTTATTTAAGTTAGCGTTTCTTGTTTCACAAGTAATCCTCCTTAACTAACAATTTTCTCGAAACAGCTGGTCATTGGAATCATCCTAGCCAAGGACCTAGGAGTGACGGGTACGCTAGGGCGAGGAGAAGCCCTAGTTGTGGTGATTTTCGTGTGTTTCTACGTGATGGGTTTCGCTTGGTCATGGGGTCCACTAGGATGGTTAATCCCTAGTGAGACCTTCCCTGTGGAGACTAGAACCGAAGGGTTTGCACTAGCGGTCTCGTGCAACATGTTCTTCACGTTTGTGATAGCTCAGGCCTTCCTATCGATGCTTTGCGGGATGAAGTCAGGGATATTCTTCTTCTTCAGTGCTTGGATCGTTGTGATGGGGCTTTTCGCTTTGTTCTTTGTGCCGGAGACGAAAGGAGTCTCGATCGATGACATGAGAGATAGTGTGTGGAAGCCGCATTGGTACTGGAAGAGGTTTATGCGTCAGGAGGATGATCATGACGTCGAGAGAAGAAGTACTAGAGCTTTTTGATCAATTACGCTTTCACTTTTTTATTCTTTCTATTGGGAACAATCTAAAACTGTGATGGAGACCAAACTTGTTGATTCTTTAATTTTTGTATTATAATTAATATGATTCTTCGGGTCTGGTATCATTAATGAAAATTCCATCATACAGTTTTACGTTACGTGTGTTAAGCCGTTTGATACGAGAGCAATTAGTGTCCAATAAAAATAAGGATGAAGCTGTTAGCTAATAATGTGACAGCTTTAGCTTATAATTTGCCAGCCAAAAACTCAGAATTTAGCCCCCAGGAACAGGTGAATTTTGTCTTTTTATTTCCGTAAAAAAAAGTGAATGATGAGAGGGATATTGCATGAAAACATTGCTCATTTTATCATTTTAGAAGCAACTGATGCAGCTATGAAGGTAACTGCGACGCATCACACATGTGACCACTGACCTGTTAAACACCAGAACGACCACACACGAATTTTACCTTTTAAACCACCCCGACACGTATGGTCTGATATGCATGTGAAGTATATATAAATTAGGAGAAAAAGTGTGAACCGGAACGGGCCATTTGTACAACAAAAATTTCTCATTCTTTTTAATAAAATAAGTCTACCACTACAGTATACTAAATTACTAATCAAGTAATCATCATGACATAGATATGTAATGTTACACTACTAATTATGAAACAAAGAAATGTTATACTACCATGACATAGAAGAACCATCTTTGTTTGAAAATTAGTAATTTAACATATCACTTTATAAGCGAGATAAAAAGAGGATCTTCCGAACACGACCGACAAAAACAAAAACTAAAATACTTTCACAGAATATCCCACAAGAGTTTCGCTTCATTGAAATTGAAAACGTGTGGAAGAACGACGACATAACAAGCATCGACAAAGTCATCGTTTCTTATTCATAATACAAAAAAGCTTCGATACTAAACATACAAGTAGAGATTTTTCAGGTGGGGACGATGTTGGTCACAGAAACCATAACCATTTCGGCTTCGAAGACTATGGAATCATTCACCAAATATCCACCTTGTAGATCTTTAACCAAGATTATATTGTTTACTCCCACACCGTAATCCGGTCGAATCGGGTACCAAGCTGCAGCTGCAATAGCAAATTTCATTAATTTTAGCTAGTGTAGTGGTGACCAAAACATGAAACATGGTCTAATCTAATGTATCAATTTGTCTATATATTTTTCTTTTCCTCTCACTTACAATATGCTTTTTTGTGGCTGGAGCCTAGCTGATGCCTTAACCGCAGATTAACCGCTCCCCAAGTAGTTGTAGCGACTGCATTTGGTTTAAAGCCTTGAGCATACAGGAAAATAGGGAGTGCATGCGGTCTTCCATCTCCAGTTCCTTTAGGGTTAAACCCTAATCTCCTGATTAATTAACCCAAAACAGTCACTACAATACACTGACTACAAGTTGTACAGTCTAAAAATAATTAATTTATACAATATTGTTCTAAGAAAGATATACACAATACCTGGTTAACAAAAATATGCAATATTTTTCATCATTAGGTTAATGTGATTAGAAAAATTACTAACCAGTATCGGTCTCCGACGAGAAATTCGCTCGAGTAATAGAACTTATCTTCCAAGCTGGAGAAACGGCGTACCCTCCAAGTGAAAACGTTGTCCGGAGGGTTTGATACAAATGTGACTCTCTCTTGTTGCTCGGCCGGTTTAACGATAAAGATCTCAGCACCGAAAGAGCAAGTGTCCTGCACAATGTAACCAACGTTCGGGTTGTTGAATGTTGAAAGAGGGATCAACTGTCCATATCCCCACTCTTTATTTGCCTCGTTGTATCTCTTCACCGCTTCATCTGCAAACCCACAAGCACACAACTTTATTCACACTAATTTTTCAATAACGTAGTGAACAAGAAAACTTAAAGTGTATTAAGTGGGAATCGATTCTAACATTGACCAATATGTCGAAACATAACATGCATGTAAGAAAATAAACATGAATGCATGGATTAATATCGTACCAGTGACAGTCAAGTACTTGCGTTGTCTGATATTGTGGACAAAGAGTTTGAGATCAACATCGACTTCCCAACCTTTGGGAAGAGACTGTGTATCTTCGATCCTCACGTAGAGTGATATATGATTATCTCCTCCATCGGCTTTGTTACCAGTCACATACAAAATCAGCCTCCTAATTTCGTTCATAAAAAACAAACCCATTTTATAATAATATTTTTTAAAAAGAGTAAGTTAGATAGTGAGAAAGGATTTACCATTTGTAACCAGCAGCCTCAAAAACAGAGGATTCGTAGGGCTCGAATCTCTCCCTAATCACAGAGAATCTTGTTATTGTTACTATCTTGCTCGATGGCCGTGCTTCTCTCAACACACTAGTCACTCCTGTCAACGAAAATTTTCACAAGAATTATAAAATGGATTTTCAATCTTGAAACATTAAAAAAAATTATTACTAGACTGCATGCATACCTAAATTGGTGTTGAGATTGTAAGAACTATTATATTCTGTTTCTGAAACAGAGGAAACTTTGCTTTCTGTTACCTGTTTTTGATTTGTTCGTTAAAAACTATGTTTAGTTACTTTTAGTATTTGTTCAAACAAAAAAAAAGTTACTTTTAGTATAAGCAAAATAGACATAAATAAACAAAAAAGGACCTGTTGGATGAGGAACTCTGCAGAAGAGGAAGTGATAAAGACAAAAGCCAAAACTATGAGTCCCAGACTCCATCTCCCATTCTCCATTTTTGTTTCTTTGTTTAAGAGAAGTGTTTAAGGAAGACGAAGTAATGTTGTGACTTTGTAATTGCAAAGCCTTTGTTTTTATAGATAGAGGAATTTAGTCCCACTAGAAGCTCTTTGTAACCACGTGGTTGAACATAGCTGCAACTAAGCCACATTTCGGGTCAACTGTCAAAAATCCATATGAATTTCATCCGTTTTGAAGATATAATATGTTCTCATAAAGAGTTTTGTTTGTGTTGTGGGTGCTACAAGAAATAATCTGTTCTTGAAAAAGAAAAAAAAAACAGTATATGACAAAAATATCCCTGATTAAGATTCACATGATCTGGTCTCTCTTGACAATTCACATCTTATATTTTTCCTTCTGTACTAGTTCTAGAGAACGAGAACCGTTGGATGATTTGCAAACTTCTTTGGTGACTAATTTGGAAAAAAAATTTGTTGGGAATGGGTCGAGTTTCTAAAGTGATGAAAATGGGTGACATCCTTGGTGGCCATCCAAGAACCAAGATGCACTGGACTGTTGATGGAATGATGGTGAAAAATGATAAAGATATTGGGTTAGGCCCAAACACAATTGCCTGGCTGAGCTGTCTTTTTCTTCTTTTCTCATGCACATGATAAAGATAACGAACGATGAAAATGACGAATTGAAGTTGTTGCCAAAATTTAATTAAGTCGTGATCGAGTGGTTGTGAACAATAATAAATTTATGTACTGAGCAATGATCGAGTAATGATGGTTGGGACCTCCGAAGCTTGGAGTAAAAATACAATGATGGTATTTGTACGATGCGTATATATACAATGATAGTTGATTTTGGTGTTTGGGTTAATGATCTCAACCGTTCCTACTTTAGTATGTCGGCTCCATTGTTATTAGTGTGGTTATTAGGAATAATATTTGACATAGAAGTTAGAAGTGATCTTAAATATATATATATATATATATATATATTTAAGGGACATATGTTAATCCACTCATTGGTTATTATTCTCTAATAACTTGTTTCTCTTGTTATCCTCGATCAGCTACTCTACCAACAATTTTCTAAAACTTCATTCATGGCTTTTCTTCATTGGTTGATCCGGTACACGGGGGGCACAATCGTTTCCTTGACCAGAACTTGGAGTTGCATCAATATTTACTACACCACTCTTTACAAGAAATCAATTCCAAGGGACCGTCTCTCCTTTTCCTTTCCCCGATGGCCGGTGGTACCAAAAAGCATGTGGATTGAACGTGGTCGTTGTACTTGTGTCTATATCAATCTTCATAACGCGGTGGTCGTAATTTCAATTAATTATGACAAGCAAGTAATCACGCGCGTGTGAAACGTTTTGCTTAAAAAGATACATTTTGAACATTTTCCACCGACTATACTTCACTGAGATCATCGACTCATCATCAGTGAAAATAGCAATAATCTAATCGAATATGATCCTGAATGAGTAATAACGATAACGAACGAGTAAAACAGTATTGTTTTTTTTTTCCACGACGAAACCACGTTCAATATTTGTTACTTGTAACACAAGTCAATAAGTAACCTTATCTGTCTGCCTGTATATATGTAAGACCTTCACAAAACAAAAAAATCACATATCAAAAAATGGCTACTCAAACATGGTGCTTGTGTTTCACATCTCTCGCTTTTCTCTTCATCACTTGCTCTTCAGCTGAGTTCCTCATCCAGCAGGTTTTGTTTTCTTTCTTTCTTTCTTTTTTAAACCACTTTTTCGATCGATTTCGTTTTTAATCAAAGTAGTGTTGAAAAATGAAAAACCAATCCAGGTCACAGAGGGCAGAGGAACAGAGTACAACAGATCTTACAGTCTCGAGGCGGATCTTGGTACTCTTGCTGTCTGAAATCATTTTTCGTTAGATTTTCTTGGTGAAAATGAGTACTGAAACCTTTTTCTTGATTTTCCTGGAAAATTTTGTTGCATGACAGGAGTGACAAGTATTTTGAGAGAAGAGCGACCATCGAGTAAGATAGTGACAATAACAAGCTTCTCTGTGATTAAGGAGAGATATGAATCCTACGAATCCTCTATTTTTGAGGCTTCTGGTTACAAATGGTAAAAGATGTTACACTCTTTGCAATTTTTAAAAAAATTCTTTATTCACTTTTTAATTGGGTCTAAATTGATGAAAACAAAATCAGGAGATTGATCTTGTACGTGAAAGGGAAATCTAACGACGGTGGAAGTGGTCATATTTCACTCTACGTGAGAATCGTAGAAACACAATCTCTTCCCAAAGGTTGGGAAGTCAATGTTGATCTCAAACTCTTTGTCCACAATCCGAAGCAAAACAAGTACTTGACTGTAACAGGTACTTAAAAATGTATATGGATTTTTACCTTTTTAGTATATATATACATTTTTATTTACTAGACACATTATTATTTAGATGTATAGGCCATATTTTTATACTTTTATTTGGAAATTCTAGATTTTATATATTATAGACATAGTATAGGTCTGACTCTTCCATAAACCGGATTTGATTTATGATTCGAATATTTTTGCATAATTTGTGGATTGCAGATGGAACAGTGAAGCGATTCGTTGACGCGAAAAAAGAGTGGGGATTTGGACAGTTGATTCCTCTCTCAACATTCCACAACACGAGCGAAGGGTACATTGAAGAGGACACTGCTTCTTTTGGTGCTGAGATATTCATCGTTAAACCGGCCGAGCAACAAGAGAAAGTCACATTTATATCAAACCCTCCAGATAATGTTTTCACTTGGAAGATCCTTCATTTCTCCACCTTGCAAGATAGGTTCTACTACTCTGCCGATTTTCTTGTTGGAGACCGATACTGGTTAGTACTTAATTTCTCCTCACATGATATATATTTTAAGGGATTTCCGCAGTAGTTAAGTGTAATAACGGTTTTTGGTTAATGTATAATCAGGAGATTGGGATTTAACCCGAAAGGGAATGGAGGAGGAAGACCATATGCACTTCCACTCTTCTTTTACGGTCAAGGCTTTAAGCCAGATGCAGTTGCTACAAACACTTGGGGAGCGGTTAATCTACGGTTGAAGAACCAACTAAGCACCAACCACAGACAAGTACATGGTAAGAAAACTACCGGTGGATATTTATGCACAATGCGTACAATATTTATTTATGTACAATGTATAAATATAATACATATCCACCAATTGATATAAATTGTCTTTTTTTGTTTCTTTTTCTTTTTGCAGCTGCAGCTTGGTACCCGATTAGAAGCGGTTTTAATGTGGGAGTGAACAATATCATATTGCTGAAAGACTTAAACAATGCGACAAAAGGGTATTTGGTGAATGATGCCATTATCTTTGAAGCTGAGGTGGTTAAGGTCTCGGTGACAAACATCGTTTCCGCCTAAAAATCTCTACTTCTTTGTCATCGATCAAACGCAGTTATGAATAAAGAGACGTTTGATATGAGTTACTAGTAATAAGCCGAAGTTGTTGATGCTTGTGTTGTAATCGTTATTTCTGTTCTTCAAGTTTTTTATTTTTCTTGTTTTGCTATCTATGAAATAAAACTGTCCTACTTAAAACCATTGTTTTTAATCATCATCTTCAAATATTTCGGTTTGAGTACAATGATATTCCTTATTGTAGTAAAATCGAATCAGATACTTTAAATACCCAAACAAGCAAAAATAATAATAGCGAATGTGTATTAAACTATTCTTTTCTTCTTGTTATGAATAAAAAAACAATTCTTTTCTTTTTCAACGAACCCTTACTTTGTACGTAACGTGTCTGTCTATATAAATGTGTAACACATCCTACAGCCTCGGTGCAAATCTTGGTATGTATGCTTGCTCTCTTAAATCGTTTATCTTTGGATATTCTTGGTGAAATCTGAAACCCATTTTTTGTGTGTAGATTTTCGTCGAAAGTTTGGTTGACAGGAGTGATGGCTAGAATGTTGAGAGAAGCGCGACCCTCGAGTAAGATAGTGACAATCGAAAGCTTCTCCGTGATTAAGGAGAGACATGAACCCTACGAGTCCTCTGCTTTTGAGGCTGCTGGTTACAAATGGTTTGTCTTTTCTCACTATTTAGTTTGTGATTTTTTTTTTAATATAATGGGATTGTTTATGTATGAATTCAAATCAGGAGGTTGATTTTGTACGTGACTGGTAATAAAAACGATGGAGGAAATAATCATATTTCACTCTACGTGAGGATCGTAGATACAGAATCCCTTCCCAAGGGTTGGGAAGTCAATGTTGATCTTAAACTCTTTGTCCATAATCCGAAGCAACAAAAGTACTTGGCCGTTACAGGTACATACCGTACATGTCAAATTGTATATCGATTTTTCCTAGACCCTTTTCTAGATAGATAGGCCAAAGTTAATTCCAGCCTGATTTTGGATTGTGGATTTCAATTATTAATTAGTTTGATTTTTTTGCATGGTTATGGACTTTACGTAGATGGAACAGTGAAAAGATACAACGATGTGAAAAAAGAGTGGGGATTTGGACAATTCATTCCTCTTTCTACGTTGTACAACACGAACGAAGGTTACATCATGAACGACACATGTTCTTTTGGTGCTGAGATCTTCGCGCTTAACCCGACCGAGCAACAAGAGAAGGTCACATTCATACCAAACCCCCCATACATAGGCGAAAGAATGTGTGAAGGTTTGGACTCAGATGACCCCTATATAGATATTTATAATTTGACTAATTTACGTTGATCTTGACGTCAAAAGTGGTAAAGATGTTTTAGATCTTTGTCATGCAAAAAAATAATACGTTGAATTTTGAAAAGCCGTACTGTTTAGAACTTTAGACAACGTATATACGAATATCACATACTTAATCAATAAATTGTATTTGACTTTGTAAACATAATCTAGATTCCTCTCCGGACAATGTTTTCGCTTGGAGGATACATCATTTCTCCACTTTGGAAGATAAGTTCTACTTCTCGGACGAGTTTCTCGCTGGAGGTCGATATTGGTTAGTACTTTTCTCATTGTACCTATATATCCAATTTTGGTAATTAACCGAATATTTTAGCTCAAAAAGTTGAAACTGTTCATGTGAGTTCCGAAGTGGTCAAGTGTAATAACGGCTTTGGTTGATGTATAAATAGGAGATTAGGATTTAACCCGAAAGGGAATGGAGGAGGAAGACCACATGCACTACCACTCTTCCTATACGCTGAAGGCTTCAAGCCAGACGCAGTCGCTACAAATAGTTGGGGAGCCGTTAATTTGCGGTTAAAGAATCAACGAAGCTCCAATCACAGACAACTATATTGTAAGAAAACTGACTATAAGAAAAAAAAAGGTGAATAAAAAATTAAAAGTTGATCTAACTTAAGTTAGTTGTGTTTTTGTGTGTGTGGGGGAATGAATTCCAGCTGCAGCTTGGTACCCGATCCGAAGCGGTTATGGTGTGGGAGTGAACAATATCATACTGTTCACAGATTTAAAGGATGCGTCGAAAGGGTATTTGGTGAATGATACCATTATCTTTGAAGCTGAGATGGTTAAGGTCTCTGTGACCAACATCGTTTCCACCTAATAATCTATATCCCTTTATATCGATTAAATAACCTTACGAAATAAAGAGACGTTTGATGGAGTGTGTAATAAAATAAGACGAAGTTGTTGATGGGTTTGTAAGCTTACTAAATAAAGAGACTATGTTTGATGGGTTTGTAATAAGACGAAGTTGTTGATGCTTGTGTAATAAAAATCTATTTATCTAGTTTTTCTTCATTGGTTGATCCGGTACATTCGTTTCCTTGACCCAAACTTGGATTTGCATCAATAATAACCACACCACTCTTTACAGGAAAACCATTATCTTAAAACAGTTCTAAGGCCTAGAGGGACCGTCTCTCCTTTGCCTTTCCCTGGTGGACCCAAAAAGCATGTGGATTGAACGTGGGCGTTGTACTTGTGTCTATATAAATCTTGATTGCGTGGTGGTAGTAATTTCAATTAATAACTATGAATATGATGACTTCATTAATGAGTGGTAGTACCTATGACACTGCGTCGAGTTTTGCGGCAGTGCACCTAATTAAGTAATCATGCGTGCGAAACGTTTTGTTTTAAAAGATACATTTTCCACCGACTACTTCACTAAAGATCATCAACCCACGTTCAATAATTTTTACTTGTAACTAAAGTGAATAATTAAGTAACCTCACGTGCATGTCTCTATAAATGTAAGGCCTTCACAAAACAAAAACCACATCTCAAAAATGGCTAATCAAAAATGGAGTTTATGTTTCATATCTCTTGCTTTTCTCTTCATCACTTGCTCTTCAGCTGAGTTCCTCATTCAACAGGTTTTGTTTTCTTTCTTTCCTTTTTACTTAAACCACTTTTTCGGTCGATTTGGTTTTTATAAAAGTAGTTTCTTACAATGAAAAACCAATCCAGGTCACAGAGGGCAGAGGAACAGAGTACAACAGATCTTCCAGTCTCAAGGCGAATCTTGGTACTCCTGTTATCTGAAATCATTTTTCTTTGGATTTTCTTGGTGAAAATGACTGAAACCTATTTCTTGATTTTCCTGGAAAAAAATATTGATATATAGGAGTGACAAGAGTTTTGAGAGAAGAGCGACCATCGAGTAAGATAGTGACAATAACAAGCTTCTCTGTGATTAAGGACAGACACGAACCCTACGAATCCTCTGTTTTTGAGGCTGCTGGGTACAAATGGTAAAAGATCTTCCACTCTCTCAAAAAAACAAAAAAAACTTATTTATTCACTTTTATATTGAGCTTAAATTGATGAAAACAAAATCAGGAGATTGGTCTTGTACGTGAACGGTAATCCTAAGGACGGTGGAAGTGGTCATATATCACTCTACGTGAGAATCGAAGACACACAATCTCTTCCCAAGGGTTGGGAAGTTAATGTTGATCTCAAACTCTTTGTCCACAATCAGAAGCAACACAAGTACTTGACTGTAACAGGTACTTTAAAATGTATATGGATTTTTACTAGATCCATTATTCGTTTTTAGATATATTGGGCAGATTTATTTCAAGCCACTGGTACTTTTATAAAAAAATTTCAAGACTTCAAATCTTATAGTCTGGTTTGTTGTGACTTTTCCATAAACCCGATTTGATTGTAATTTGGATATTTTTTTTTTTCATTATTTTGGATTGCAGATGGAACGGTGAAGCGATTCAGTGATGCAAAAAAAGAGTGGGGATATGGACAGTTGATTCCTCTTTCAACATTCTACAACACGAATGAAGGGTACATTGTGCAGGACACTGGTTCTTTCGGTGCTGAGATCTTAATCGTTAAACCGGCCGAGAAACAAGAGAAAGTCACATTCATATCAAACCCTCCAGACAATGTTTTCACTTGGAAGATGCTTCGTTTCTCCACTTTGGAAGATAAATTCTACTACTCCGACGATTTTCTTGTTGGAGACCGATATTGGTTAGTACTTTTTTTAATAATATGATAAATTTGAATATTTTTACCAAAAAGTTTAGACCAAAGTCCAAATAATCAAATCTCAAAGGCTGAAACGTTTAAGTGATTTCTGTAGTGTCCCAAGTGTAATAACAGTTTTTTTGTTAATGTATATTTTATTTTATCAGGAGATTAGGATTTAACCCGAAAGGAGATGGAGGAGGAAGACCACATGCACTTCCAATCTTCCTATATGCTCAAGGCTTTAAGCCAAACGCAGTCGCTACAAACACTTGGGGAGCAGTTAATCTGCGGTTAAAGAACCAACGAAGCGCCAACCACAAACAAATATATTGTAAGAACCCATTACTACTAACGTACAAAATAAAGAGATCATGATTATCTCCTGGAGAGAAAATCAGTGAATGAAATTAGTATTGATATAAATTTTTCTTTTTACACTTTGCAGCTGCAGCTTGGTACCCGATTAGAAGCGGTTATGGTGTGGGAGTGAACAATATCATATTGCTTAAAGACTTAAACGATGCGTCAAAAGGGTATTTGGTGAATGATGCTATTATCTTTGAAGCTGAGATGGTTAAGGTCTCTGTGACCAACATCGTTTCCGCCTAAAGATCTTCACTTCTTTGTCATCTATCAAACGCAGTTACGAAGAAAGAGACGTTTGATGAGTTAATAGTAATAAGACGAAGTTGTTGGTGCTTGTGTTGTAATCGTTATTTCTCTTCAAGTTTTTTTTTTTGTTTGTTTCTGTTTTGTACTATCAATGAAATAAAACTCGCCTAGTTTTAAACTTTTCGGTAGATGTTGGGAAAAACCTGGCCAGCTTTCCATGGAGTAGTTTGTTACATGGATGAAGTCAACCTATTCGAAAACTAAATAAGTTTTTAATTTGGTTTAAATATAGTTTTTTTATATATATCAATGAATTGACCTAAAACCATATGGAAATCGGGCTTAATGGTGATATGCAAGTCATTAGGCTATAGGTAATAGGTTCGGTGAGTTGTCGTGAATGATGGCTGGAACCTCCGGCACTTGGAGTAAAATGATGATATTTTTCCAGTACATAAATTATCCTCGATCAGCTATTGCACGAACTATTTTTTTAAACTTCGTTCACGGCTTTTCTTTATTGGTTGACCCGGTCGGTACAAGGGGCACAACCGCTTCCTTGACCTGAAAACATTCGATTAAATTATAGTGGGTGTTGGTCCTAGTCATATATATATTGACTAATTGGTGATAGTAGTTTAATTTAATAAAAATAAATATGATGGATTCATTAAGGATGGTGATATGACCTTTGACATTAAGTCGATTATTGCATTAATAATGCAATAAGTTGAGCAATAATGCTTCAAATGTCTTGCTTAAAAATAAGATATATCCTAAGGAACCGGCTAAGCTCAATCAGACTTCTCGAGGCCTCATGTACTGGTTTGCTACAAAAGTTTAAGTTGTAGAAATAGGTCTCTTTTCCAAAACAAATTTCAAAACAGTGAAGCACTTTACTGTACTTGGAAAAGTATAAACTGAAAACAACGATTATCCAATCGAACCTGATCCTTTACGCATTCATACAAAAATAATACGATAAGAATAATAAAATGAGTAGGATATATATATATATATATTTTTTTTTTTTACGATTCCACGTTCAGTATTATATTTTGTAATTGCTAGTTGCCTAGTTGTAACTAAAATCAACAAGTAACCTAATGTGCCTGTCTATAAAAAAAATGTAAAGCCTTCCCCAAACAAAAAAACAAAATCTTAAAAATGGCTGGTCAAAAATGGAGTTTGTGTTTCCTATTTCTCGCTTTTCTCTTTATCACTTGCTCTTCGGCTGAGTTCGTCATTCAACAGGTTTTGTTTGTTGTCATTCTTTCCTTTTTAAAGCACTTTTCGGTGGATTGGCTTTTTATAAAAGTAGCTTTGAATAAATGAATAACCAATCCAGGTCACAGAGGGCAGAGGAACGGAGTACAACAGATCTTACAGTCTCAAGGCGAATCTTGGTACTCTTGCTGTCTGAAATCATTTTACTTTGGATTTTCTTGGTGAAAATGACTGAAACCTTTTTCTTGATTTTCATGGAAAATTTTGTTGACAGGAGTGACAAGCAGTTTGAGAGAAGAGCGACCATCGAGTAAGATAGTGACAATAACAAGCTTCTCTGTGATTAAGGAGAGATATGAACCCTACGAATCCTCTGTTTTTGAGGCTGCTGGTTACAAATGGTAAAAAGATCTTACACTCTTTCCAATTTTTTTTATTCTCTTATATTTATATATTTCTTGAGTTTAAATTGATGAAAACAAAATAGGAGACTGGTTTTGTACGTGAACGGTATGTATGTAGACGGTGGAAGTGATCATATATCACTCTACGTGAAGATCGAATATACACAATCTCTTCCCAAAGGTTGGGAAGTTAATGTTGATCTCAAACTCTTTGTCCACAATCCCAAGCTACGCAAGTACTTGACTGTAACAGGTACTTTGAATTGTATATGGATTTTTACTAGGCCCACATTATATATTGCCAAATTATTATGTTTTACTTTGCAATTCTATATTTTTTATATATTATAGTGATATATTTTTTTCTAGAAACCGAGTTGATTGTGATTAGATGTATTTTTGTATAATTTGTTCATTGCAGATGACACAGTGAAGCAATTCAATGAAGCGAAAAAAGAATGGGGATTTGCACGGCTGATTCCTCTTTCAAAATTCTACAATACGAACGAAGGTTACATTGAGCAGGACACTGCTTCTTTTGGTGCTGAGATCTCAATCGTTAAACCTGTCGAGCAACAAGAGAAAGTCACATTCATATCAAACCCTCCAAACAATGTTATAACTTGGAAGATACTTCAGTTCTCCAATTTGGAAGACAGATTCTACTACTCTGACGAATTTCTTATTGGAGACAGATATTGGTTAGTACTTTTCTCATCATGTGATATATTTGCATATGATATCTTAGACCAAAGTCCAAACTAGTCACAGGGGTTGCAACTGTTACGTGATTTTCGCAGTGGCCAAGTGTAATAACGGTTTTTGGTTAATGTATAACTCAGGGTATTAGGATTTAACCCGAAAGGGTTTGGAGACGGAAGACTGCATGCACTTCCAATCTTCATATATGCTCAACGCTTTAAGCCTAATGCAGTCGCTACAAACACTTGGGGAGCGGTTAATCTGCGGTTAAAGAACCAACGAAGCACCAACCACAAACTAAAATATTGTAAGAAAACTATTGGTGGATATATATTCCTGCAGATTAACCGCTCCAATAAAAACTCATACAACGTATACTATTACAGTAACTTGGGAAGCAAGATTACTCTAGTTTATACCGATGCGGAAATATCCTCAAATAAAAACTAACAGAAAAAATGTAGCATATTATTATCAGTTGAGGAAAATAATTCAGATATAAGTTGTTGTCTTTTGGTTCCTTTACAGCTGCAGCTTGGTACCCGCCTCGAATCGGTTTGGGTATGGGGACGCATGAGATCATATCGCTTACAGATTTAAATGACGCGTCAAAAGGGTATTTGGTGAATGATGCCATCATCTTCGAAGCTGAGATCGTTAAGCTCTCTGTGACCAACATCGTTTCCGCTTAAAGATCTCTACTTGTTTGTCATCGATCAAACAAACTTATGAATAAAGAGACGATTTGTCAGTTTCTAAAAAGACGAAGTTGTTGACGCTTGTGTTGTATGTTCGTAATCGTTTTTTCTGTACGTTCTTCAAGTATTTTTCTCTTTCTGTTTTTGATAATGTTTGTTGCTGTTATCAATGAAATAAAACTCTTTTGGTTTTAAAATTTTCGATAGATGTTGGGGAAACCTGGCCTACCTTCCATAAAGTATTTAGTTATATGGATAAAATCAACCTATTCGAAAACATAAATAAGTTTGGTTCCATTTCCATTTTTTATATATGAATTTCAAACAGACCCCAAAAGAAAAGAAAAACTGAACAGATTTCTTATGGAAAACTAAGATTTGATTTCATATTATTTTCAAAAAATTTATCCATAACAAAAATAAGTACTAATTAAATCGTTAGTGCACACTTATTTATTAGTATAGGAGCATCTCTAAATTTTGAATCATTTGGAAAAGAGAATAAAAAAAACAATACTGCAGAAAGAAGAAAACATAACAAAAACTTATAGGCAATAATTCCAATGTGGCTATAATCCTAATTAAGAAGCAAAATCTGCAAAGGCCAAAGAGACAAGGAGAGCCACCACGGCTGCGACTCCAGCCGCCACCACACTCGGGAGAGAAGTGGCGAGGCTAGGAGAAGGACCGGGGACTCCGGCTGAAGGAATAGTAGTAGTCGACGGAGGAGGAGAGGAACTTGGTTGCTCAGTGAGTGGTGTGGAGGAGGCGGGGTGGAGCACGTGGATGTCAAGCTTCTGACCGGCGAGGCAATGGCCTGGAACGCCACAGAAGAAGAAATGGTGGCCGTGGTTGGTGAGTGTGATTGTGTCGTTTCCGGTGGTGAATGTGGAGATTGGTTTTGAGCTGTTGCAGTTTTTGTACATTGTGTGCGTCACTCTCATTACGTTGTGGAATTGTGGGTTGTATTCAAACACTGTCAAAACCAAAGTTTCGTTTTACACATAAAAGTAACAACATTTATACATGTTCAAAGTAAACCATGACAAACAAAAGTCTAATATTATTTTTTATTTATTTATCGGATTATTATTTTTTAAACCTAAAAGTAATAATGATTAGGGCGTGAATGGTACTTTTACTTTCCACCAAAAGCTTACGCACTTAAGAATTAAGATTGCTGGAGGAGGACCCACTTTTCGGACATACGTTGTAAAACATACAGTAGAGATTTGCTCATCTGAATGTAAAATGATAAGAAATTAAGGAACTCACAGACAGTATCACCAATGTGGAAAGTTTTGGTAGAGGCCCATTGCTTGTAGTCTACGTTGGCTATGGTTGTCCAGCCAGCTGAGTCGCCGACTTTGTACACCGCCGCTTCACTCAGCCGTAGCATCACCACCATACACACCAAAGCCGCCACCATCCTCGCCGCCATCGACCAACTCTCTCTCTATCTCTGCTTCTTCTTCTTTTTCTTTGGTCGAGAACCCCACAAGGTTTCTACTCTAATTTCTCTCTTTATTTTTGTATGTATATTTATACAAGGAGGTATGTGAATGTGAGTGGTGTGTTGTGTGTATGTATGAGGAGGCCACTTTATCCTTTTTTGGTTAGTTGGCTAATTTGGAGAAAGGAGTGACTAAAAAGCAAAATACTGATAAAGATTGCTTACTTTACTTGATTTAACTGTATTTTATTTATAATTACTGACTTGAAATATTCGAAGACTGTCTAAACTTAAGATACATTATTTTCGCCCAAACAGTTATAATTACAAATTTGTTAGTCTTTTAACTATATTTATATAAAAAGTAAAAAAGAGTTATGAACAATCATATTCAAGTGAAACTAATCAAAAATATGTGTATATATTTATATAATATAAAAAGAAAAGTATAAGTTGTAGAAGTGTTCGCATGGTTTAAAGTTTGGAAGGCTTGTAAGGAAAGAATGTTGAGTTGGTTGGTCTGCTAATATTGAACCATCTTTTCATATTTGTACTTCGCAGTTACTCTTCCTCCTACATCTTGGTAACCGAATTCCTTTACTAATTTAAATTATATGCTTATGATAAAATCTTTCATTTTTTTCTATCTTAAGCAATTTGTTCACTGCAGAACTCAGCAGCGACTGTAAAACTAAACACTTTTGTTTGTGTGGGGAACAAACGGTTTAGTGTTGTGTGCCATGTGATGTCCATAACAAACCCATTTCGGCCCATTACTATATGCTACCATCTGTTTATAGGAATTTCTAATGCAAAATTGAACTTTGAAAATACAGTCATTTTCTCATTTGTTGATTTTACACTGATTACCAAAAGAAGAAAAAAAAAGACAGAACACTTGTTGGATTTTACATTGAGTACTTTACCTATACACAAACGAAGTTTTAAGTAAACGAAAGTAACTAAAAGCGTATAAAAAACTGTATTTGCCTTCATCTATTTGGTGTTGTTATCACCTGTTTGTTCTCTCTTTCTCTCTTCTGCTTCTACTTTGGATTTAGAGCTTAAACCAATTTAGAGCCGTGTCGAAGGGTCAAAGCCGTTAGATTTACCATTACTCTTCTTCCCGTTTACATCACCGTTCACTTTCACATGATCATTGTGATCATCCATGAACCTAGCCCAGAACCAGTGCTTCTTCCACACTCTCTCCGTCATCTCCTCGATAGGCACGTTCTTAGTCTCAGGAAGCAAGAACATGACAAACACAGACATAACCAAAACCCACGACGAGAAGAAGATGAATATCCCAAACTTGAAATGGCACAGCATCGACAAGAACGCCTGAGCGATTATGAAAGTGAAGAGCAGGTTGACGCAGACCGTCACGCTCTGTCCAGCGGAACGTGTCTCCAGAGGGAAAGTCTCGCTAGGGATTAGCCACCCGAGCGGTCCCCAAGACCAAGCGAAAGCCGCCACGTACGTGCAGATCATCACCACCACCAGAATCGCAATACCTTTCTCTAGGTTCTCAGAGTGGTCTTTGACTTTGATGCCGAGGATGATGGCGATCACGACCTGAGAGAAGAACATTTGCACACCGGCTTCGAGGAGAAGCACTCGGCGACCGACTTTATCGACGGAGTAGATTGAGACTAGAGTGGAGAGGACGTTGACTGCTCCGGTGACCACCGCTGAGTAGAGAGCAGCGTCGTTGCCAAATCCTAACGTGCTGAAAAGTACAGGCGCGTAGAACATAATCGCGTTGATTCCAGTGCATTGCTGGAAAATCTGCAATCATCACAAAGAGAAGATTAGCATTTGCAGCTGAATCTAATTCCTCAGCTTCGAAATTGGAATCAAAATTGAGTAGATTCGCTTAAGAATTTAGGGTTTCTGGATCTTAATTTCTTCAATTTCCGTTCAAATCAAACGCCGTGAATCGACATCGAAGAAGGAAGACAAAATCGATTTTAATTTCCGATCACCGATTTGAGTGAGGAGAGATATGGTTTAGTTACGGACCTGCAAAGCGACGGCGATGACGAGCTGGGGGCGATTTCTGCGTTGAAGGAGGTTTCTGAAAGGGTGTTTGACTTCTTTGGCAAGACGGCTAGCTTCGAGGAGATCTTCGAACTCTGGTTCGACATTATCGGTGCCTCGAATTCGACGGAGAACTTCTTTGCCTTCGTCGAGACGACCTCTTTCGACGAGACTGTTCGGTGTCTCCGTCACCAATAGAGCTCCCACCGTCAGGAGAAGCGCCGGGATTCCGGCCAAACCTAGCGATAATCTCCATCCCCATCCTCCTTCGATCCTGCAAAACAATTAATTTTAGTTACTGGGCCCCTTTTAATACAGTATGGGCCTAATTAGAGACTTTAATGAAGCCCATATGTGTTGAGAGTCAACGCAGTCGAGATTAGGGCATGTCATCATCATGACTTTGAAAATGGGATACGACTAAGACGTAGGCATGTGGATAAAATTTCCCGAAATCACGGAATACTTTTTTAACCTACTCTAAAAGTTAAAATGCTCTATTTTTATTTTATTGCAACTGAATTATGGATAAAACTTGTTTTTTGTGTAAAGAAAAGGATAATACAGACGACGGATAGCCAAAAGTTTGACAAAAAGGAAAAAATACTTTGGAAAAACTTTAAAAAGTCTATGCAACGAAATATATTTTCTACAATGTTATGTGAAAGAGACACTCATGTCAAATTTTATCAAAAAAAAAGACACTCATGTCTAATAATGATATCATGACCATGTGACCACCATATATTTGGATTTTTTATATGTTAAGTTTCCGTTGTAAGAATCTTCAACCCTAAGTTTCCACACATTTTAATTTCATATTATCAACGTAATATAGGAAAAAAGAAGAAAAAAAAAGTATGAGGAAGGAGAGATATTTACTTGGCGGTCCCATAGTTGACAAGATTGGCAAAGAGGATACCAATAGTGACGTTAAGCTGAAACAGAATATTAAGACCACCACGGATCCTAGTAGGTGCAATCTCGGACAAGAACAACGGAACAGCTTGATTAGCGAACCCAACGCCACAACCAAGCAATATCCGGCCTGCAATAAGCATGGCTAAGTTTTGAGCCGCCGCGTTGAGAATCACACCGATGATGAAGAAAACGCCGGCTATGAGCATCGTTGGCCTCCTTCCGAGTGTCCTCGTCGTGTATGAAGCAAAGAACGTTGCGGTTAGACCGGCTAGGTATAGAGATGATGTGAAGAGTTGTAGTCCTTGGTTGTCGTATTTGCAGTAGTTGCTGTTTTTGTCGGCGCCGGCTTCTACTCGCCGGTGGACCACCGGGAAAAACTTTTTCAGAAAGTCCGGCATCGCTGTCACTCCACCTAACCATATTGTGATGTACAATCATTAAAAAATATATTTCTATTTCGTAAGGTTAAATCTCATTCGGAATTTACAAGATACGTACCCATGATATCATACTCACAAATAGTTGTTTACTAATGCGTTTTAAGTATAAGTTGTAGGCAACCAAAAAAAAAGACTTACATTAATTTTGTCACTATACTATTATAACAAGGACGGTCTAAGATTTTATATTATTTTGTAACTTCAACTATTAGATTAACATTGAACTGGTTAGTGAAATTTCATTTTGATAAAGCATTTTCTATTAGTCCTCTATGTATTAGGTGAACCAAGAAGTTGTTTGTGGTTGGTGAGAACAATCCCATTTTAAAATTTTTACCTTAGATACTTGCACTAATAACAAAAATTTATGGATCCTTAAAACCAAATTTTATTCTACTTTTGCATATGTAATACAATATTGAAGGATAATACTATATTTACAGAAGAGAAGTAAGAGATGTGTATATATATTCATACCGGAGACACCAACGTCGTACCCAAACATGAGGCCGCCGGTAGCAGCCATGATGCAAGAGACGATAACTATAGGAGTTATCTTTGCCTCAAACACCACTCCGTTCGCGGGAGCTGTAGAAAATCCTCCTCCGGCCATCTTAAAGGGCTCTTCAGAAACTAAAATGTAAAAGTTATTTTCTCTAACGAGTTAGAAAAAGGAACACTTAAATTAAAAGACCATTGAGGTGTTTACTTCTTTATATAGAAGAAGAGGCAGTGAAGCACGTACAGAAATTGTTTGCAGCCAGTTGGATGCTTACACGTCTATTTTTATGTTCACATGCTCCTGAGTCATCAAGTCATTGGTCAACAAACGTTTCTTCTGCTTTATGTGGCGTCTCCTTAGTCCTTAGTTGAATATACAATATGCCCTATCATCATAAGTCTTCTCGTTCTTGTTATTATATTTATCCTCGAATATTATAGATTTGCTGTTGTGTTAGATTATATATGATTCTCCTCCCCTCTTCTTATAGTGTTACAATTTTTATATCGCTCAACGTGTTGTGAAGATCTTCCTACCGAATCAAAATATCTCATACTTTTAAAATATGAAAGATTCGAGCGGCTAACCTCGTGTGTTGGTCATACAAATTTGCTGTCATGCAACTTGTGAATATCTTTTGTACTGTTTAATTAGTTTTTGAACGTTATTGCGCTGTATAAATGTCTATGGAGCCAAATGTTTCAGTTTTGCGGCCCCATCCTAATTTCAATTGTAATTGATTTGACTAGTTAACTGGTTCTTAATGGAATAGCTCTCCAAGAACTAGACTGACCAATCCAACCCACCGACTTCCTTAATTAAGCTATTATATGGATCCAAATCTTAAAAGCATATGTGTAACAATAATATATGCTATTATGCTCACCACTCTATCCGATTATCGTTTTCTCGTTTAAATGCGATTGTATAGAACAAAACATATACTTTATTAATTTTGTCTAAACCAATAATATTATATTTTTCTAGACCAATTTCTTAATTTGATTTGTTTTTTTTCTATGGGTTTCTAAGATACTGTCACGTTATTGTGTATATCTTCTTGCAAATTGTCACTTTTGTACATTTTATGGGTCCATATCTTTAAAAGCCAATAACCATATTTGCTCACTGGTACTCCATTATTGTTTGCGCGTTGAAATGCAGGTATGCAACCATTCAATCTACAATTAATATATAGTGATTACAAAATAATTAAAAATTTGTAGTTGATTTATCTGATCCAGTTTTAATTATGGTTTTTATTCTTTATTTTGTTGCTTCTGGTAGGTGTAGTTCCTTTACTTAACTTACTTAACTAAGGTATAATAACAACACATGCACATTCAAAATTGAATATCCATAGTGTATATTTATTGTTGAAATATGGTACGACGGATATAATGTGTTTAGACGTGTGAGTAAATCATAACCACTACACAGGTAAAATTACTTACGTAACAAAAATCCTGCTTGGACCAAAAGTGTGTACTGTTATACTTTTCAAACATCATTATCCTGTTGAGAGTCAACGATTCTAATTTGACAAAAATCAAATGAAAGGAAACAAATAGTAAAACGTGACGATCATTAAAATTAAAAAGGGATAAGACGATATAATACTCTAACTCTAACAATGAAAAAGGTTGCATACGTTTTACTATTATCATTCATGTTTACAATAAAAAAGACATGTGTATATTAACAAAAACAGCTGTAAAGTTTTATTATTATCCTGGTTACAGAAAATAAAATAAATAAAAATAGCCGCATACATTGCTCCAAAGAAGAAAATTATTATTACATGTCATTATTTCTTCTTATCTGTTGCAGATTTCTTCCACTTTTCCCCCTAACACGTAAGGTCGGTAATTCACCGCCCAAACCCAAATTATCCAAACAAATCACTTTGTAAACCGATTGCTGTAATATTTCCCAGAATGGAACAAACTAAAAGTGAAATTATCCTTTTAACAAAACAAAAAAGTGAAATTATCCTGATAAAACCGATATATATTGCTACGAACAATAGTATCATGTAAAGCCTAAACGTTCTATTTGAATTTCTTTTCTTTTCTAAAAAGGATTTCCACCACTTTAACAAAACCAAAGTTTCACCAACCCAAATAAAACGAAACCGTTAAGTCGGTCCTACTCGAATCCAGACCTGAATAACCCCAAAATCTGATTAATGGTGTTAAAACAAAGTCACATTTGACAATAACGGTCAACTAAAAATGCGTCAAAAGTATTAGATAGTAAGAAAAAACAAACAACACAATCTGAACATGTCTTTGTAGAAGATATTTCAATTATAGCACTCTAAAACCCAACAAAGTGACTAAGAAAATTCAAATAAAGCTCACATTCAGAAGGAAAAAGAAAACCCAATAGAAAACCACACCCTCAAAATCTTATCCCACCAGTTCAAAATTGCAATATCCGAAGTCAAGAGGAAGAATAGAAAAAGAGAGAAAAAAAAAAAGAGATTGCAGCAAGAAACTAACCCAAGGAAATACTAAGACAAGTGAGAACAAAACATCTCAAAGATTAGGTTTTTGAGACCAAAGTAGTAAAGATAAATCAGCACAATTATCCTAGGAATACGATGATGATGCACAATTCCAAGAGTTTTGTGGCATATAAGTTATAATTGCAAGTGAATTATTGACTAGCAGTCAGCATGCTAGAAACAAATAATAAGGAGGAAGACAAGGAAACTTGAAAAAGACATTCATTAATTTATGCAAAGTCTACTTTGCAATGCATGAAAAAAAAAGCCATTAAACGAAACCCAAAAACTGACCAGAAACAAGAAACAAATCTAAACATATCTTCTTTGCCTTTTGAGCGGCGGTTGCTTGTCTTGCACTAAACTCACTAAACTGGGACGAAAAGAAGGAGAGCAAACAAGTGCGTGGTCATGAATGAGCGGAAGATAGCCGGTTTTGGGGCAACGTACACCGAGATTGGGAGCTTCTCCGAGACACACAGACTCAAAGAGTCCGTCTTCTCCAATGATATAAGCGATTTGGTCACGAGCGGTCCTGTTCGTCTCGTTGGGTGGAATCCCACCTAGATCAAACACCACAGCGACTTTCTCTCGCTCGTCAATGAAGAAGCTCCCACCGTCAAACTCGTCGAATCTAACACCCGTGGGTGGAAATGAACTCAAATCAACTCTCAGAAAGCTGCTCCAGGACACACAGTCGGGCTCAACCCTAGTAACCCAAATCTCAAGTATGCCATCATAATTCATACCCTCCTGGTAATACAACACCGCAAGCTTCTCATCTCCAACGCACGAGAGGGTCACAAGCTCTTCGTAAATAGAGTAAAACGGAAGAAGCAGACGAGGTCCAAACTCCTCTCTTGTGAAATCGAAATAGACTAAGAAATCTCCAACCTCATCATCACACTTGTCACCAGCATAAAAGTAGGTGTTTCCCTTGACAGACACTCCGATGCGAGAATAACCTATATCCCAGTCGGGAGTGACCTTGAGGACCCTCCATGAATCAGAGCTCAAACTGTAGATCTCGCACACTTCTTTTCCACCACCAGGAGGGCTGCGATTCCAAAACCTCATGATTTTGTGGTTACCGTCGACATCGTATCCGAGAGCATACCTGTCTCGTGTGCGGAATTTTCGTAGGGGTCTGATAAACCTTGTTTGATGCAAATAAGGGTTCCACACCATGAGCTGCTTCGACTTCGACTTGTTCTTAGTCACGCATAACAATAAGCCCTGAGTGTGAAATACTTGAGAGATGTCGAACTGATTTAGCAAGTCTACCTGTTGCATAGAGAGATCAACCGAGTCGCCCTTCTGCTTGCATTGGAACCTGATTGTAAAAACCTTGGAATTCATCGTCATGAACCCTAGAAACTGCTCTGTTGATGTCGCTTCGTGGCCCAAAATCCAGCTCTTGGTTAAAGCGTCCCACGATTTGCAGGTGGATCGCACATGTCTCAGCGATGTTACCGGAACCCTCGTGAGTATCTTCGCCCCGATCACTTCCCGTGGCAGGTCGTTGATCCTCGTCGTCGGCATTCTTCCAGTTAGGGTTCTGTGTGGGTTTAGGTTTAGGGTTTATCAGTTTATGACATTTTGTGAAACTCGGCTTCTAATTATCCCTATAGAAATTTTTTGATACGAGCAATTGCTGTTTTTATTTAACTGTAACCATTTTTTAATAAGAAAACTAGTATTTTCTTGAAAAAAATTAGAGCGAATCGAATTCCTAGGATAATTATGGTGATTTATCTTTACGTACTTTTTACGAAAAGAATGGTTTAAGTAAGACGTATTTTTTTTTTATTCTTCTCCATCATTGGTTTATGAGAATAATAAAAAAAAAAAATCAAAGAAAATTATATATTTCCATCATATAGAAGATATTTTTTGGACATGTTTTGGCAATTTCCCACAGGGAAAAGCGAAACTCCTATAATTTGATTGTTAATGGTTTTCGAGAAAATGTGAAGACTGACAAAAAAAATCTCTTATCGTACCGCACCACACACCTTCAATGGAGAGCATTGGCAGCCATTGTTGCAACTCTCCTTTCACCTTCATCACCAGACACTCCTCTCTTCCCAAACTCACTCACAGAGTTCGTCTTCTTGGCCGCCAACAATCGGAGCGTCTCCGAAACAGAAACTCCCCTTCTCGCCTCACTTGCGCTGCTTCTTCTTCTTCCTCCACCATGTATATAACTTCTTTCAAAATTCGAGCTTTCTCTGATCGGAATCGACTTCCATTTCTAATTTAAATTTGTCGAATTTTGATTTTTGGGCCAGAGAGGAGCAGCGGAGGAAGAAGGATCCGTCTGGGACGAAGGTGAAGTTGAATGTGAGGCTTAATCATCAAGTGAGCTTCGGCGAGCATGTGGCTATGTTCGGATCAGCTAAAGAGATTGGATCCTGGAAGAAGAAATCGCCTCTTAATTGGACTGAGAACGGATGGGTTTGCGAGCTCGAGCTCAGCGGAGGTCAGGTTTTGGAGTATAAGTTCGTCATCGTCAAGAGCGACGGCTCACTCTCATGGGAATCCGGTGACAATCGCTTCCTTAAGCTACCCAATTCCGGAAATTTCTCCGTCGTCTGCCACTGGGACGCCACCAGAGAAACCCTTGATCTTCCACAGGAGGCCGCCAATGATGCTGCTGGGCAAGACGACGGCGAAAACCGCGAAACCCAAGACGTCAGTGACGATAGAGTAGTGGGGAGTGAAAATGGTAAAAGCACACTGGGTGGGCAATGGCAAGGCAAAGACGCTTCCTTTATGCGGTCTAATGAGCATAGCGACAGAGAAGTCGGAAGAAATTGGGATACTAGTGGTCTTGAAGGCCCAGCTCTCAAGATGGTTGAAGGTGATCGCAATTCTAAGAATTGGTGGAGAAAGGTATCTTTTTTATTCTCCTCCTTGTTGTTTTCCTTTTGAGGCTGTTGAAGAATGAAACATTCTCTTGTTGTTTTAATGTTTTGCAAGCTTGAAATGGTACGCGAGGTTATAGTTGGAAGTCTTGAGAGGGAGGAACGTTTAAAGGCGCTCATATACTCTGCAGTTTATTTGAAGGTTTCTCTTTTCATCTTTTTAATAACCGAATCTATCTTTCTCATATGTTTGAGAGTAGAAGTTGTTTATCTTTGATTTTTGTCTTTCTTGTTGTGCAGTGGATAAACACAGGTCAGATTCCTTGCTTTGAAGATGGAGGGCATCACCGTCCAAACCGGCATGCTGAGATCTCCAGGCTAATATTCCGTGAGTTGGAGCACATTTGCAGCAAGAAAGATGCTACCGCAGAGGTGACTCATTTAAAGTTCTCTGCTTTCACAGCTTCCCCTCTCTAGAATGTGTAGCTGGTGTGTGTGTGTCCTTAGCAGCTTCTCTAAGATGGATATGATTTTATTTTGGTAGGAAGTGCTTGTTGCTCGGAAGATCCATCCGTGTTTGCCTTCTTTCAAAGCAGAGTTTACTGCATCGGTCCCTCTAACTAGAATTAGGGATATCGCCCATCGCAATGATATTCCTCATGATCTCAAGGTATTAATACTCTCTTTAGCTGTTTTTGTCAGTAGATGAGGTACTGTCAATAGGTATTCATAGAAACCATATTTTGTTCCAGCAAGAAATCAAGCATACTATACAAAATAAGCTTCACCGGAATGCGGGTCCAGAAGATCTAATTGCAACAGAAGCGATGCTTGAAAGAATTACTGAGACCCCAGGAAAATACAGTGGAGACTTTGTGGAGCAATTCAAAATATTCCATAATGAGCTTAAGGATTTCTTTAATGCTGGAAGGTACTATATTTCTGAAGCCGAACTTATTCTTTCATCATATTCTCACATAGACTTGCTATATGATGATGGCACAACTTACTGTGTAATTCAATAGCTGTTGTATCTTGTTGCAGCCTCACCGAACAACTTGATTCGATGAAAATTTCTATGGATGAGAGAGGTCTTTCCGCTCTCATTTTGTTTTTTGAATGTAAAAAGGTAAGCTCTCACTTTTCTTTTTCTTGTTATTCAGTGCTGAATGGTATGCATACAACAAATATTAGAGTAAAATTAATTAGCCTGCATAAAGATAGAGTTCAAATCGATATTCACACCGTCCTTGGTTGCATTCTCTGTTCTTAGAACGGGAAAGAAAATCAAGCCTAAAGGCGATATACTTTCAGAAAAGCCACAAAAGGAGAAATATATGTGGCATTCATACGAAGTTTGTTATTATAATATCTTCATGATATGAGACTGACTACGAAATTCATATTTCCAGCGCCTTGACACATCAGGAGAATCAAGCAATGTTTTGGAGTTGATTAAAACCATGCATTCTCTGGCTTCTCTAAGAGAAACAATTATAAAGGAACTTAATAGCGGCTTGCGAAATGATGCTCCTGACACTGCCATTGCAATGCGCCAGAAGGTGAGTTTTTTTATACAATTCCGAATTATCATGTAACAATTTATTTATGTAAACAGTTTGTTCCTTTGTTTAGTGGCGCCTTTGTGAGATTGGCCTCGAGGACTACTTTTTTGTTCTACTAAGCAGGTATGCATAAGATTTTGATTGCTTTTCGGAGCAATATTTCCTTTGGAAGTTATTTTTCCTCCAGTTTTTATTCTCCGCCTCATGTCTTGTCAATGATTTGAGTAGATTCCTCAACGCTCTTGAAACTATGGGAGGAGCTGTTCAACTGGCAAAAGATGTGGAATCAAGAAATGTTGCCTCGTGGAATGATCCACTAGATGCTTTGGTTTTGGGTGTTCACCAAGTAGGTCTATCTGGTTGGAAGCAAGAAGAATGTTTAGCCATTGGAAATGAACTCCTTGCTTGGCGAGATAGAGACCTACTTGCAAAAGAAGGTCATTTTCTTCTCTCAGTTATCTCAACTCGTTCTATGTAACTCTGAGCTGTGAGGCTAGTTTGCGGTTGAAAAGAATTTGCAAGCTATAATTTTAAGCTGAAAATGCTCCTTATTGTTTTCCATGAAGGGGGAGAGGATGGAAAAACCATTTGGGCCATGAGGCTGAAAGCAACTCTTGATCGAGCCCGGAGATTAACAGCAGAATATTCTGATTTACTTCTTCAAATATTCCCTCCTAATGTGGAGGTACACATTGTCCCATGCCTTACATTCTGAAGTAAAGGACATACAGGACCAAATTATTACTCTGATGCTAACTAAATAAAACGTGCTTATTATTACAGATTTTAGGAAGAGCTCTAGGAATTCCAGAGAATAGTGTCAAGACCTATACAGAAGCAGAAATTCGTGCTGGGTAAGTAAGCTCAATACTTCCTAGTACTTAGCATAAGCCGCCATACAATTCTCTTATTGCTTATCTTACCAAATTTTGTACTCTTTCTGTATTACCCCCTGATACCTGTGGTTCTGCTTTACAGCATCATTTTTCAGATCTCAAAGCTCTGCACTGTTCTTCTTAAAGCTGTAAGAAACTCACTTGGTTCTGAGGGCTGGGACGTCATTGTACCTGGATCAGCTGCTGGGACATTAGTTCAGGTACATGGAGAAGGCAAATGAATACATTAGCTAAGATTTTGAACTACTACATTGTTATACATTTTTGTTTCCTAGAAGGAAGTATCATTTCAAAGCTCAGTTATATACTCATAATGTCTAGTTACAGTGCTATAGAAATTTTCCAGTTTTGACGTTGCGTGTGAAGTATTAACACCGTATGCTTGGTTGTTTTGCAATGATTGAAATTTCCAGTTAGCTATGCCTTAGGCTTTGTAATTTTGAAGATAATTCACATTTGCAAAAATTTCTCTGGCTTTTGTAACTGCAGGTTGATAGCATTGTGCCGGGATCATTACCATCAACTGGCGGTGGTCCTATTATTCTATTGGTCAACAAAGCTGATGGCGATGAAGAGGTTTTTGACCTACATTCAACCTCACCGTGATTCTTAATATCATACTAAATTTACCTTATAACATGCTTTGACAGGTAAGTGCTGCTAATGGGAACATAGCTGGAGTCATGCTTCTCCAAGAATTGCCTCACCTGTCTCACCTTGGCGTTAGAGCGCGGCAGGCAATAAACTTTTTCCCTTATTTCATTTCCCTAATATTTTACTAAAAGCATTGCATTGCTGAAACTCTTTCATTTCACATAATTTCCCACAGGAGAAAATCGTCTTTGTGACATGTGATGACGATGACAAGGTCGCTGATATACGGCGACTTGTGGGAAAATATGTGAGGTAATCTTTCTGACGTTAAGATTTTGTAGCCAATCTCTCAATCTGCCGTCAAACAAGAAAGCTCACGTCTCTACTCTAATGTTGTTTCTGAATATGAACCTTACAGGTTGGAAGCATCTCCAAGCCATGTAAATCTGATACTTTCAACTGAAGATAGGAGTCGTCCTTCCAAATCCAATGCGAACAAAAAAACGGTTAAGAAAAGTTCCTCATCTTCCAAATCTACTGATGATGAAGAGTCAAAGCCTAATTCCTCATCTTCTGATACCCTCCTTTACTCATCGAAGGTAAACTTTTGATATCTCTGCGGTTCCATACACCTCACATTCAGATCGCAAATAGACTGATATAAAACTTTCATCCATAGGATATCCCTAGTGGAGGAATCATAGCACTTGCTGATTCAGATGCATCAACCTCTGGTTCAAAAGCTGCTGCTTGTGGTCTTCTTGCATCTTTAGCTGCAGCCTCTACTAGAGGTAAAGTTTTGACTTACGTGGACTAAGTTGACTGGAACCAAATCTTTATTTTCTTCTAAATTACTTTATCTGGATTATAATAAATATGCAGTGGACAGTGAACACGGAGTTCCTGCTTCCTTTAAGGTTCCAACTGGAGTTGTGATACCTTTTGGATCGATGGAGTTAGCTTTAAAGCAAAGTAATTCGGAAGAAAAGTTTGCGTCTTTGCTAGAAAAGTTAGAAACCGCTAGACCCGAAGGCGGTGAGCTAGACGGCATATGCGATCAGATCCATGAAGTGATGAAATCATTGCAAGTGCCTAAAGAAACAATCAGCAGCATAAGCAAAGCCTTTACCAAAGACGCTCGTCTCATTGTTCGTTCAAGCGCTAACGTGGAGGACTTAGCCGGAATGTCAGCAGCAGGACTCTATGAATCGATCCCCAACGTGAGCCCTTCAGATCCTTCAGTGTTTTCGGATTCCGTTTGTCAAGTTTGGGCTTCTCTCTACACGAGAAGAGCTGTTCTGAGCAGGAGAGCTGCTGGTGTCTCGCAACGAGAAGCTTCAATGGCGGTTCTCGTTCAAGAAATGCTTTCTCCAGACTTATCTTTCGTTCTGCACACAGTGAGTCCAGCTGATCCAGACAGTAACCTCGTGGAAGCCGAGATCGCTCCTGGTTTAGGTGAGACTTTAGCTTCAGGGACGAGAGGAACACCATGGAGACTCGCTTCGGGTAAGCTCGATGGGATTGTGCAGACCTTGGCTTTTGCAAACTTCAGTGAAGAGCTTCTTGTGTCAGGAACAGGTCCTGCTGATGGCAAATACGTTCGGTTGACTGTTGACTATAGCAAGAAACGGTTAACGGTTGACTCAGTGTTTAGACAGCAACTCGGTCAGAGACTCGGTTCGGTTGGTTTCTTCTTGGAAAGAAACTTTGGATGTGCACAAGACGTTGAAGGTTGTTTGGTTGGTGAAGATGTTTACATTGTTCAGTCAAGGCCACAACCTCTGTAGAAACTTCTTTATCTTCCTATAAAGCAAGTAATAATACAAATGTCATAATAAAATCTGCATTTACTTCATTACCATATATGAATGTATGTTTACTAGTAATATACTTTAGAAAAGTTTGTGGAACTATCAGATTTCAGTGTTATTATTAATTAACTTAAATAAATATAGATAACATATAGATAATCTTTTTTTATCAAGAGATTTCTTTGAGAGAAATAATATGTACAGATTTGTTCATATCATTGTGTCACTTTTGACTTATAAATACATTTTTGATTTAATGCGTAGATATTGATACTCTTTAGTTAGAACATTTTTTTCAAAAAATAAATGTGGATGTTTTTCTATTAGTAAATTAAAACTGCATCAACAAATCAATTATACAATGTAGTATTTAATTTCTTGCTAAATATATAAATGTAGGATATAAATCTCCTATAGTATAATCATGTATCTCCTATAGTATAATCATACATGATTATTTTCCATTCATGTCTCTTGCCACATGGTGTTTGGCTAATTAAAATCTCAAGAAATCGACATTAATTGATCTAAATCTAAAACCTAAATAAGTAAATATGATAAGTTAAAGGGATCTTGGCCAATCTCGTGAAAATGTAAAATCATCTAAGAGAAAGCAACGGATGAGATTTATTACCAACATAGAAAAGTACAAAAAGCCACTAGATCTCCCCCGAATCCAAACACAATCCAACTGATACTGTTTTTAGGTTGTGTAATTGAGGATTCATTCTCAATGGTTACTCCTTTAAATACAGAATGCAGATTTTGAGTTTCATAAAGAAAATAAGTTTCTAGAATCCCTTCTTTATATTTTCCACTGATAACAAGAAGAAGAATAAAAGAGAGATATATAAAACATGACGAGAGATATAGCTGAAGATGTTCCAAATTTGGCAGAGTCAAAGTTAACAGCTTTGGTCGTCGATGACAATTTCGTAAACCAAAGCATACATCACAAACTGTTGGACCGACTAGGGATTCAAAACGACGTAGTTTGTAATGGAAAAGAAGCCGTCGACGTTCATTGTTCCGGCAGAAACTATGATTTCATCCTCATGGACATGGATATGCCCGTCATGAACGGTATTCAGGTATTTATTTATATTTAACTCATTAATTTTCGTGATTTGATTCTAATGTTTCAAAATTTTATATTATCTAAGCAACAATTTTTTTGGCGGGTCAAAAATATCTAGAAAGAACAAAAAAAAACTAGCATGTTCATTTTAATGTTAATTTCGTTTCACTCTTATCTTTAGCTGAGAATTTTCTCAATGGGCGGATTTGTTATTTCAAAAATTAAACCGATTGAGTTATTTCAAGGATAAAAGGTTTTTTTATGGTCTAACCGGACAAGTTGGGTTCAATTCAATGTGTTTTGGAAGAAATAAGAATAGCTTCTAGAAACTAATACTTATGTTTGGCTATAAAATTTAGATTGATGAGTGGTTTAGCTAAGTCTATTTTCAAAAGGACATGTTTGTTTAATGGTTATTGATTATATCATTTTGTGTTACAATATAGGCGACAAAGACACTAAGGGAGATGGGGATAGAGTGCAAGATAGCAGGAGTGACGACAAGAGCGGACGAAGGAGAGAAGAAAGAGTTTATGGAAGCTGGCCTTAATGACTTTCAAGAGAAACCTCTCACCATCTCTAAGCTTCTCTCTATTCTTCATAAACTAAATTTTTACGTCCAAACCTAACCTCCATTGTTAATCTCCACCCTTTTACTATTACATAATTATATCAAAGTGTAAATTAAAAATTTATACTTAATAATGATGGCAATACCAATTTAGTAAATATTGAGCAAGCGTGGTTTCGTTTAACCAGTTCAAAGTGAGATGTGGAACAAAGTTGAAAACTTAGTTTAGGTTAGGAAAACAAGATTCAAGTCCCTCCATAATGAATTCATTCCTAGTTAACTTAGATGACAAGAATAATCGGCATTTCACAACGATTAGTTAACCAATAAGATGCTTTGTAGCCAAATGAATAGAGGTTCATAGAAATCAGCGATGTATCACGTGAATAAAACTAACGTAAAGTTAAATCCGAAGTATCTTGGCTTATGAAAAAAGTGTGACTCTTAGAGTATATTATTATCACTTATTCATTCACTACTACCGTTATACGCAAGGCCCTTGTGTTAGGCTCTTTTAGCGCTTAAGTTTCGAATTTTTGGGTTATTTAAAGTTTCAGGACAGAAGTGTGATGACTGATGATCATGAAATGTTTCAGGTAACCCAATTTTTTTTATAAAAAAAAATAACCCAAAAAAGCAGCTTATGTTAAGTTAGTTATTTTTTAGTAGTGGGATTAGTTTCTGAGAAAATTATTTTTTTTCCGGCTTGGTTTTCGGGGATATTTAGTTTTTTTTCCGCCAGTTCTACTTCCCTCATATGGACTTTGTTTCTCTCGTTTGGGCTTATGTAATTCTCGGTTATAATTCAAGTGTTTTGTTTATATAATGTAACCTTCCATTTGTTGTAACAGAAGAGTCATTCGATCGTGACCTTGTTTGAGCGATAACCAGAAACTCCATTGCCTCACTTTGCATCAGAATTCGAAAACCAGAGCTTCAAAATATATTAGTAGAGAATGATGATCTGCCTCTAGCTCCCCCAATAAATCAGGCATCAATTGAAGATTACCGTACCATCCATGCAAGTGTTTTTATGCTTTCGTATTCCACGCTTGGACCAAATGATTCGATGCCTCTAATATGTACGAGATATTATATAAATTTTTATTAATTACAAGCTCATTTACCACAACAGTTTTTTGTTTTCTTGTCAAATGAAAACAGTACATGTATAGTTTGTATATTAAAAGCTTGATTCAAATTAAAGCAACAGACACATGACGGAAATGAAAAAAAGTCCTTAAAAAAGTAACAGCAGAAGATTAAAAAATAATTAAAAAGGAATGTATAAACAATATATATATATATATAAATATAAATATCTCTATATATATATATATATCTGTATATATGTGTCTGCCTCTCTTTCGCTGCATATTTATATAGCTGCCTCTCTTTCCCCATTTCCTCACTTTTCAGCATTCAACCAAAATTCTCCTTTCCTTCAGGTTCGCTTTCTTCTCTCAGATCTTTCCCAATGTCTCTCTTACACAGTTTCTCTCTGTTCTGTCTGAAAATCTTCCTGTGGTAATCATTAGTAACGGACTCCGAATCGGATTCGGATTCGTGTCTTTCATGTCATTCCCTCCAATGCTCGATCTTACATTTCGTCCCAAGTTTGCATCTTTATTAGATCATTTGATTGATTCTCCAGCTGTTACATTCATTTCTGGGTATCGATTAGTATTGCGTTTTTTTCCTCCACATTTGTTTAATCGGCTCTTCTGAGGAACTGTGTAAGAAAACGATGAAAATTGTTTATTTTTCAATTGTTCTTCAATCGGATCTGATTGCGTTATTGATCTACAAGTTTAGCATTTAGATCTGCGATTAAATCACCTGGTTTTGGATTCTTCTAGAATTGGATTGATCGATTCTCTTCTTATAAAACAAAACATTGCTGAAGAACACATTTCACGGTTGAATTATTCTAAAATTTTCATCTTTTGTTCTGCCGGATCTGATTTCTTTTGTTTGATCCAATTACGTCAGCATTTGTCTGTGCTTACATCACTTGATCTTTCTTTCGTCTTGTAGAACGTGTAAAGCAATGAAATTCCCAACTTTTTGTTCCCTTTGGATCTATCTTTTTTCCTCTTCTTATATATGCTTATCATTTCGATTTAGATCTGCTCTTAAATCACCTGATTTTTGGTCTATGTATCGATATTCTAATGAAATTATTCTCTTGAGAAATGGTTAACAAGTAAAATTCTTCTTCACAGGTAATATTTGAACAACTTACTTAGTAACATGGGATCCGTTATCGATGCTGCAAACAAGGTAATGATTTGGCAATTATGTAGATTATGTGACTATAAGTGACACATTGTTATACTTATAGCTATGTGAATTTTTTTTTTTGGTGTATTTTCTTCAGGAGGTTAATGGAACCGCAAGTGGGAAGAAACCTACAGTTATCTTTGTCCTTGGTAAGTTCATTTCTCTTCTTTGTGGTTTTCTTTATGTGATCTCATAGATAGTTTGCATTGACTTTATGATCCATGAGATGTTCTCTTAAGTAGACTAATTGCAGGTTATATGTGTATATCTTCTGAGCTTATTTCTTGTATGTGTCTCAACAGGTGGTCCAGGAAGTGGTAAAGGTACACAGTGTGCGTACATTGTGGAACATTATGGTTACACACATCTGAGTGCTGGAGACCTTCTTAGAGCTGAAATCAAATCTGGTTCTGAAAATGGGTATGCCTTTAAACTTTCTAGCATTGTCTTATATATATACACATAAGCATCACCGACTTCTTCGTGAGGCTGTTTGTTATTGCGTTGGTTGAAGCTCTTGTCTTTTGTTTTCTGATTTTTTTGTCTTCTGCAGAACTATGATCCAGAATATGATTAAGGAGGGGAAGATTGTGCCTTCCGAGGTTACGATCAAGCTTCTACAGAAGGCCATTCAGGAAAACGGGAATGACAAATTCCTCATTGATGGTTTCCCTCGTAATGAGGAAAACCGAGCTGCGTTTGAAAAAGTTGTAAGTACCATTGACGATATCTATGTTCTCCTTTTCTTTTTTTGGAATGCAATACAATTGCTTGATTACATGCCTTTGATGATTCTTGTAGACTGAGATTGAACCAAAGTTTGTCTTGTTCTTCGATTGTCCTGAGGAAGAGATGGAGAGGCGTCTGTTGGGCCGAAACCAGGTTAATAATATGATATGAAAAGCTCTGTCTAGGCTCATGTTTACATATATATATATATATATAAATATTGATTGTTGCCTCCATTTCTGTTGTTGAAGGGAAGAGAGGATGACAATATTGAGACTATAAGGAAGCGTTTCAAGGTGTTTCTTGAATCTAGCTTACCAGTGATTCAGTACTACGAAGCTAAGGGGAAAGTTAGAAAGGTAAAACATTTTCTCTTGTTTAAATGCATTAAGGTCCAGCAATTATAAGTTGTAACAAAGCGTTGTTGTTGTATTGCTTACCTTCAGATTCATGCCGCAAAGCCCATTAAAGAAGTATTTGAGGAGGTGAAGGCAGTCTTTTCTCCTGAAGCTGAGAAGGTAAAAAACAATAGTTGTGTAATCCTCTAGTAAGTGAAAAGGAAAATAAAAGATTCCTGTGAGCCACCTGTAATGTAGAGACTTGTAACTTATCTTTACAGGTCTGAATAATGGATTGATGAGTGTTCTGTAAGATAAAGAATAATGCATTTGCATATACTTTGATGATCCAAGTTTCTTTTATCTTTTTGCAATTCCATTTTAAAACTGCTTAGCACGGAGGCCAAATAGCTGCAACTAATATGATAGTCATTATGCTAAAAAGTTCTGTTAGATTCCTATGTTAATAATTCAGTGAATGTTTTATTTAGGTTGCAGCCTAGGCAGCAGCATCGTAAAGAGATACCGAAAACTGATACATTAATCAGGTATGTTATGTATCATCTGTCAATGGTGATCATTTTATTTATTTATGTTCAAACTCAACTCTCAAGTTTTGTTCTATAAAAGTAAAAATAACTTTAGAATCTGGAATAAAGGGTGTGGAAGCTTATGCTTGTTAATAAAGCACACATATGGTATCTAATTCTGTAAGAATCTTTAGGACCGAAAGGATTAATGTCTGGTTTCTTGTCAAATTTGCAGGTAACAGGAAGTCTCTCTGTTGGCCGTACTATTTTTTTACCTTATAACCATATGATTACTGTTATTATTATACACCTTTTACCTATTTTGTAATTTTTGTTTTGTTTTTGATTTTTTTGTACTTGATGAGACTGTGATTGGCACTTTTGTCTGCCAATCCTCTATTGGTTTAATGTAATTTTCATACAATTGAATTCCTTCATGAGATTATTATAATATACTACTAGATAAAAATATTTGCGTGTTATCCTTTTTGGCATTAATTTATTACTCTATGCTTGCTTTTATGTTTGCACCAAATCCGTATTATTGGACTAATTATCAGAAGAACAAACTTAGTGTTACTAATGTATGTGGGGGTAATGCATTAACCAAGACGTTTTTCAACATAATGTTTGTTTTCGTCGTTTACATTTCTTATGGGTGAATTTTAAAATTGGAAAATGGAAACAATGGTAGCAATATCATAGGTTCGAAAAATACCAAATGTAGGAAAAGAATCTGTTAAAGATATTATAGTAACATTTAACTTAAGTTTATAAAATATGAACATATTAACCGTTGCTCAGAACAAATATATGAATACATCAGAGAAACACATACATAAATAAACTAATACTACTAAGAATCCATGCCTCATACATTTTTAGAAAAAGAATGCTGTTCAAACATTACTTAGTTATCGAATCCTTTTTAAGTCAAACACAACATAATTAGCAAAATTCTATCCAAGTCAAATCAAACTAAAAATAGCAACACCATAAAAAGCACACACAGAAATAACAAATGTGCTATATATAGATGCAAAAACTCAATATATAAAGCCCCTTCCTCTCTATCACACAACTCACATCCATCAAACAATAAACACAAGTCTTATAATTTTGCTTTGATAATAAAAAAACAAAAAAAAAAAAAACTAGTAAGAAAAAATGGCAGGAAAAGCGTGTATGGTGATGGCATTGATCATGATGGCATGTGTTTTCCAAGCATGCAACGCAACGGATGTTAATGAAGACGCTCAAGTGAATGAGGTGAAATTCGATTGCTTCAAAACCTGTTCCATAGATTGTGGCAAACAGAACAAACCTTGCTACGATGAGTGTTTGACGAAATGTGGTCTCCCAAAGAGAGATAATGCTAAATCATCATCAGCTTCCACCGCCGTTTGATCATATTTTTATTGAAAATAGTGATTTCTATTTTTGGTGATTTGTGTATTTCCTATATCGATGTGATTAAAACTACTACGGATGTCTTCTATGTCTATAATGACGAAGAAAACCGATAATTATAATAAAAAATTTAATTTATTTATGTTGTATTTTGTGTGACAAAGACTTGTTTTTCAGATGTATAAACCTATCGTTTTATAATGATAATACATGAAAGAAAACTATAAAACAAAACGATTCTATTATAATGAATTAACGACACGGTTTCTTCTGTCAAAACACATGTGATCCCAATTCACATAATAACAGAAACGTACAAAGACAGAAAGAAGAGTAAATAAATAGACTAACCACTTAACATTAAATCATACAAAACTCAGAAACATGGAATCTGATCCATTATAATAACCTAAAACATAAAAGACCCATCAGCTTTCCCTTGTTTCTCAAGCAATCTCTGAAAATGCTATCTGAGGAAAACCTTCTCCTTTACTTACTTTTTTGGCCTCTCTCTTTTTTCTGCACTGTTTGTAGTTAAACCTTGTCTGAAGCATACATCCTCCATGATTGCAATCTCTACCGTTCGAAACAAATGGTTGACGCAAGCACGGAAAGATTCGCATTAAGAACACCAAAAAAGGACAAGGATCTCTCTATCAAGAGCAGAGACCATTAGCTAAGAACACTTTAAAACCCTCTCTTGTCAGGACAATCTGCTGCCCTGTGTCCTGAACTTCCACAATTGAAGCAAGCACCTCCAAAGCTCCTGTTTACAAACATCAACCAATCAATTAGTTTGGGGGCAAGTGCGCAGATAAATATAAACAGAGATTGTTTGAAACTTAATAAACTCACCTTTCTCGGGAAGGAGCTCTGCTGCTTGAAGATCTTCTGTTATCACCGCCACCAATCAACCAATCATCAGAACTTCCTCTGGAACTACCCCCACCACGGGACCAGCTGCTTCCTCCACCACCGCTGCTTCTACTTGCTCTGTTATCATCACCTCCCCAGCTATCACGTCCTCTTGATGATCCTCCTCTACCGCCAGATCTTGACCCTCTTGAACCTCCTCCTCCTCTAGGCATCCTGTCTCTGCTGGAGAACCGTCCATAGTTATCACTTGACGGTCCATCATCTTGCAGCGGAGGCAACTACAATCAAAACACAACATGTCAAAAAGGGTCTTATGAAAGAGTATGAAATGTTGTATCAAAAGACTAAGAGAAGCCGGGATCAATACTTTTGTTATCACGGACAAACTGTTTCCTTCTGGCACTTCTTTCTCTAGCAGCTGTTTGGCGATGTCCTCTGGTAGATCAAAAACAGCTCCTTGGACCTGAATACACAGCAGAATCAGAATCAGAAAATTTCCAAATTTTTGAAATACTGCCAATATAACAATCATTTCAGAGCCACTGACCCTTTCATCTGCGATCAAGAAGATTTTTCCAACTTCATCTGCAGCTGAACGGTAAACATCTGAAAGAAAACCAGTGACAGACCTCGCAGACAGGAAGCCTCTAGAGTTCGTTGGATCTCGTATCAATTGCAACGTCACCCATCCCTGCAGTCCAAAAAGTTAACTTCAGCTCATCAAATCTAAATAATGGACTTAAAACCCATAAGACTTGATAGTGGATGTTGAAGTTTATAGGACTCTCAAGTAGCACTCTTATAAAGTCAAAGACCTCTCATATGTGTTCCTGAATCTAAAAGCATGATTGAGAGTTAATACCTGCTCATGACTGAGGAGAGATCTTGATGAAGGTGGCTGAGAGAAACCACTAAGGTGAGCTAGCGCTGCAGCTAAAGCATCTGTTCCCTTTTCCTCATATAGTTTCTGAGCAGTTGCTGAGAAAAACTTTATCGACTCAGGATGAACACCGTTTAGAGTGGCCACCACATGGTCTGCAGACGCTTCCAACAAGTCTCCAACGGTTGGTGGGCTGATAAATTCAAATCTGCAGCCTACGTCACGCTCCAGAGATCTCACTGTTCTCTTTTGGCTGCCGGAATGCATGAGAATGGCAGAGCCTTCTTTCCCTGCACGCCCAGTACGACCAGAACGATGCACGAAAGTCTCTGGGTCATTAGGAAGTTCGTAGTGGATAACCTGTAGAAGAAAATGTCAGAACAAACAGACAAAACATGCCATCAAAGAGGATAAAACCATGTATACTGAAACTTTGAAAAAAAACTTACTAGATCAACGTTAGGGATGTCAAGTCCACGAGATGCAACATCAGTGGCGACTAGAACTGTAAATTTCCCTTGGCGGAAACCATTGAGTGTTCTCTCTCTTTGATGCTGAGATATATCTCCGTGAAGTGCTTCGGTTGGTAAAATGTTTGACAATGCTAGAGAGACCTCGTCTGCATCTCTTTTCGTCTGAGTGAAAACAATGGTCTTGCCACCCTTTGCATACACCTTCAAGTTTTCAAAAAGTTGAAATCATCAATTCAAAGCTAAAGAAACCAATCCATCATCAACAGCAAACTATAAGCTGAGACATACTGTTATAAGGTCGCTTAGAATAGTTCGCTTTGATGTCGAAGTGGCTGTGATTGCATAAAGTTTGATCCCCTCAGCGAGCTTCTCATCTTGATCCCCAACCTGCCAATCCAGTAAAACAAATCAAGAAGATAGCATTAAGCATCTGAGTCTAGCTGACAAAATGAGAAGGGAACAAAGAGGAAAGCTTTTTTACCAGATCGATATTCAAAGGGTTGTTAAGGTACTTCCTCGCCAACTTCTTGACCCAAGTAGGCATAGTTGCAGAGAAAAGCATGCTCTGTCTCTTCTGTGGGAGATTCTCAAGAATCGATTCCACGGCCTCCTCAAACCCAACAGCAAGCATCTGGTCAGCTTCATCAAGCACCAAATACTCAACTTCTCCCAATTTGAGACTCCTCCCTTCGATCAAGTCAATGATTCTCCCAGGAGTTCCAACAACAACATCAACACCACGAGTCAGAGCACTTTGCTGAATGGTATAAGATACACCACCGTATACACAAACAGTGCTCAAGTAAGGTGCAGACTCCTTAATCTCCTTCTCCACTTGCTTAGCTAGCTCTCGCGTCGGCGCAAGAACAAGGAACTTAGGAAGACGACCAGGTCTCCTGCTCAATAGGAAACAAAAGCTAAACATTAAGAGAATCCAATTGTAAACAAAAGGGTATGTAAAGTAAACAAGAAGAAGGACCTGAAAGCAGTGTAGTCTCCAGCTTGTTCAGTGAGGCTTTTGATGATGGGGATACCGAAAGCTAAAGTCTTTCCCGTTCCCGTCTTTGCACGAGCTATGATGTCACGTCCTTGCAGCGCAGGAACCAACACAGCTCTCTTCAATCAAACACATATACCAAAACATTATGTCAATAGAGACTCAACATATCCTCTTAAGCTCTCTAGTGACGAAGATAAAGCAAACAATTTTCAGGTAATCCGCAAAGGAACCATTTTTATAATCTGAAATTGGAAATGGAAACCTAAAGTTAAGGTAACGAACCTGAATTGGGAAGAGATGAGTGATACCGCGCTTCTCAAGAGCTTCACCAAGACGCTGAGGCAAACCGAGTTTTGAGACAGCGAGCTCTTCAACATCGTCGGAGTTGTCGCTGCTGCTACCGGCGCCGTCGAGGTCGTATTCGTCGTGGTCAGAGAGACCGAGGCTCTTGAAAGCTTCCTCGCTGAGAACGGAATTAGGGGTAGCGACGGCGGAGGGGATAAGAAGAGAAGAGGAAGATGAGTGGATAAGACGAGTTCTTCGGAGAGAAATGGGAGTGAAGAAAGGCTTATCCAGAGACAGAGCTAAGCAACCGAGCCTCTTCTTGGAATTGGGTTTGGAGATTTCCAGGTGTGGAACCTGGTATAGAGATTGAACTCCCACCGTCGACGCCATTTACCCGGGGAGAAGGAAGGAGGAAGAAGAAGGAAGGAGAAGATGGATAAGGTGAGAGTTGAGAGAGTGAGAGATTTTTGAAAGGCTTTGCAACCTTCCACGCTTTTTGCTTCTCTGCTCCGCCCTATCTTTATTTATTTCTCTCCTTCTCCTCAAGTGGTGTAAAAAGATCAGATTCACAAATGGGCCTTCATGGGCCGGCTTATGTGAATCTAGGCCCATTACATGATGATAAAATCCGAACTGAGCACTTTTGTTGCTGCCGACAAATTATGAAGTTTATAATTGTACGTTAACAATTAAGAACCATATTGTAATCAACATTGTTGGATTGGTATGTGAAGGAGAATAGATAATTCCATAAATAAATGTTGGAAAGGGAAATAATTTAGGGTTTGAAGTTCACAGGCTGGATTGGATGGACGTTGAACGGATTCCAACTCTTTGCTTGATCTAAAAAATCTTCAGACTATAAATAAATAAATAAAATAAAAAATTCCCTTTTTTAATTTCTGCAAAAAAAATTCAGACTTTGCTTTGCTGTTGAAAACCCATTTTCATAAGCTTTCTCCTTTTCTAGAGGGAAGGAAGAACAGGGAGGAAGGCTTATCAAAACCCTTATCTCAAAAATCTCTCTCTGCCGCAAATTTCTCTCGATAGGGTTTTTCTTTTCCTTCCTTCTGTTTTTGCTTCGTTACTACGGTTACATTGTCCTCCTTCAATTTTCAAGGTACGCTCTCATCTTGATTGCGTGATCCACCTACTCACGGATAATCTCTCAATTCTGGGTTCGCGTCATTTGATCCATAAACCCACATCAATCCTCGACTCCCACTTGCCGAAATTTTCCAACTTTAGTAATCGCCAATTTGGGCTCGTGTTTTAGGGTTCTTGTTTCTGCTCCAATTTCGCTGCAAATCCTTAATTGTCCCGAGGAGAAGAATCAGGAGGCAATTCGAACTTTTTCTAGATCCGTCTTAGCTCTTGTTGAGGTTTTTGTCTACCCAAAAATCTCCTTTTTTGCAATTTGCATGATTATAGTTTGTTCATAGCAAAATGTGTCTTCTTTTATGCAGAAATGGCGGATTTGATACCGTTTTACCTAAACATTGTGGCGTTTCTATGTACTGTTGGAGCCATTGCGTTGGCGATATTTCATATCTACAGGCATCTCCTGAATTACACGGAACCAACTTATCAGAGATATATCGTTCGCATCGTCTTCATGGTCCCGGTCAGTATAATCATCATCTCTAACCCCAACTGGACTACTGCATTGTTGATTTTTTACCTCCCTGACATGTTCTTGATTGTTTTCTTCTTTACTGCCAGGTTTATGCCTTCATGTCATTCTTGTCTCTTGTGCTACCTAAAAGATCGATATATTTTGATTCCATACGAGAAGTGTGAGTACTGTGACCATGAAAACTTTAGTTTGGACTCAATAGCTCTTAGAGTTGGTCTGTTTCCGTTTAAATTCAGTGGCCTAATGATATTTGCATCTCTTGTTACCTTTTTGGTGTCTCAGTTATGAAGCATGGGTCATTTACAATTTCTTATCGCTGTGTTTGGCATGGGTTGGTGGTCCAGGAGCAGTAGTAGTAAGTTTAACCGGCCGCTCTTTAAAGCCATCTTGGTCTCTCATGACATGTTGCTTTCCACCAATAACATTGGACGGGTAAGTTTGCAGAAGTGAAACCAAAATCTTTTTGACTGTCTCTTTGGTTGTCTCATGCAATCTATTGACACATGCAACATGGTCTTTTCGATGCAGGCGATTTATTCGACGATGCAAGCAAGGTTGTCTGCAGTTTGTGATTCTAAAGCCTATCCTAGTGGCTGTCACGCTTGTGCTTTATGCAAAAGGGAAGTACAAGGATGGAAATTTCAACCCTGATCAAGCATATCTCTATCTTACCATCATCTATACCATATCCTACACGGTGGCTTTGTACGCACTTGTGCTGTTTTACATGGCATGCAGAGATCTGCTTCAGCCATTCAATCCAGTCCCAAAGTTTGTGATCATAAAGTCTGTGGTCTTTCTAACGTATTGGCAGGTAATTTTGCATTTCTATCTCAAGAGTATTTGACTGAGATCAACTCTTGCCTAATTGTGTTCTGCTGAATCCTCTTCTTTGTACAGGGTGTTCTAGTTTTCCTTGCTGCAAAATCTGGATTCATAAAGGGGGAAGAGCAAGCAGCTCATTTTCAAAATTTTATAATATGTGTGGAGATGCTTATTGCTGCGGCATGCCATTTCTATGCTTTTCCATACAAGGAGTACGCCGGTGCCAATCTTGGCGGATCTGGGAGTTTCTCAGGGAGCCTATCACATGCTGTCAAACTAAATGACTTCTACCATGACACTGTTCACCAGGTAACTGATTTCGTTTTAAAACATCTACAGATCAAGTAATAGTTTTGTGAATTTGGTTTCCTGATGATTGTGTTATTGCAGTTTGCTCCTACTTATCATGATTATGTGCTCTATAACCATACTGATGGTGGTGACGAGGGGACAAAGAAGTACAGGTCGAGAACTTTTGTGCCAACTGGCCAAGAGATGGATGCAATGAGAAAGAACAAACCCGTGTATGCGAACAAGATAGATGGTGTTTCTGTCTCCAGTAGTATATCTTCAGAGGCAAGCTCACCGAAAAGCTCCAGCGTAACTTCTGATCCTGCACGCTCTGAAGCTGTGAAATCTTCCTTGCTTTTGGATGCCTCGGATTCTCTTGATACAATGTATGATATGTCGCTCATCGACATTGATATATCTAGTTTCCCGAGCAATGTCCCCTCTGCACATGAAAGTGGGCCTAGATAGGAACAGAAGAGAAGATGTAGAATGCAACATTAAGAGATACAAGATGTGCTCCTTATAGCTGGATTCAGGTGTGTTATTAGTTGGAAAATGTTAGTAGGAACCTTGAAGATAAATGAAAAAAAAAAAAGCTTCTAAACACATTTGCCTTTAACTCTTGTAGCTTAACACGAGTCTTATTTCTAGTTCTCTTTGCATCATGTTTCTTGTGCTTGCCAGCTTTGTAGATACGACAGGATATGGGTCTTTTCGTTAATTACTTGTGAATCACTTCGGCAGCGAACTAGGATCATTCTTATATACATGTGATTATATGAGTTACACCTTGCAAGATTCTTTTAATGGTCACATGTTTTGAGTTGTTCTTGGCATCAGTTTCTTTGGCAAGAGCCAGAGGAGTGTCTGGCCGTAAGAGTTAAACTATGATCTCACTATTCTTATGCTTTTGGTGTGACATTGCATAAGAGGTCTAGAGTTAGGATGATGATAGGGTAGGTTTTGACCCAAAGCAAGCAAAGTAAATGCATAGGAGTTGGCTTATACCTCTTAAATGCCAATGTCACATTTTCACAAACCTAACCACACTTGACTACTTTGGTCTACCAAACATAAACTATTTAGGTCTCTCGTGTTCTTGTTTGACCACAAAAGGAACAACATATTACAAAAATAAAATCAAGGCACTTAAAGACTGTACCGTACAGATTGAAAACACTGTTTTATATTGTAGAAAACTTTGAGGTATAATAACAAACAAAAGTTCAAAATATTCTCCATAACAAAAACGGGGTTTTCTTTTGAATTCTTTGAACTCTTTTCTTGTGAATGATACGTGTAATTCACGTTTTCAAAATCGAAATTGGCTAGTGATTCAATGTACTTGAACAAAAATGAATAATCTCCGTTACCATTTTCGAAACAAATGGTCGCATAAAGAAAGTAAATTTGATTGATAAATACACATTCATTCTCGAAACAAATGGTTTCATTCACTGCTTTTGCTCTAGAGTGGGAATGTCGTTGCTTCTCGGGAAAAGCTTAAATAAATTAAAGTCGCACCAGATTTTTGGATGCATTAACGAGGACATGACTTTCACACCAGAGAGATAAAGAGAAGAGCACATAGTAGGTTTGCTCCAATAACAACACAGCGCGTAAAGATAAAAGCATAAATATTTACATATTTATGCACTTGAAAACATAATTATAATCAAGGAAAGAGAAAGCTTAACGCACGGCTTCTACTAAACCAAATTAGGCCACTTCAGAGCGTTTTTAGGAAAATCTCAATTGAAGATTAATTTTCGATCCTTTTTATAACTCTGCAACACAGAAAATACCTAAAAAAACCTTTTTTTTTGTCGTCAGCCTCCACTGAGTTTTCAGATTCCGATGAGTGAGAAGCTCAAGCCCGTTTTCAGAAGCAGAAGCAGCAGCGGTGACTTCTGCTACTACGGCCATGGAGGAGGATACGGAGAGTATTTGGAGAAGAGACAGATGTTTCTCAGGAGCTATCAGTTCTCTAGAAAACAGAGCTTTGCTGAGAAGGTTACGAGTTCTGTGAAGAGAGTGAAGCGATTCGTGTGGACGAGGTTGAGATCAGCGAGGAGGTTGAAACGCGTTGTCTGGTCACGTCTCAGATCGGCGTTTTTCAATCGCCGGAAACGCTTTTTCCGCTTTCTCAACTTACACGACTAACCTTAAAAGGTTTTAGAGTTTTCAGTGTTTTGTTCGTCTTTTTAATCTTGTCCTCGAATTAATCACTGTATAATCTCGTTGTTAATCAGAATAATCTCGATTATCATTGTGTAATCTCGTTATTGATCAGAATAATAAGCTTAATTGGTGTCCCTTATCTGAAGTTTGGATTATCATTTTTTAATTAGTCAAATTTGATTTTTGTATTGGAAAGTCAAAAGAGGGTTTATGTGTGTACGGAGAGAATCATGCAAGAAACGTGAAATTACCTTCAAATCACAGTTAAGACTTGGAAATAGTGTGAGTCAGAGATTACAGTTTGTTCCTCTTTTTTCGTGTCTCATCGTCAACAAGTCGTCAAAATTGCGTTTTCGTCTGGATTTGTGCTGGTTTCATTGTAATGGGCCTGTAATGGGTATTAATCAAAAGCAAAATATGCCAAAATTGGGTCCATACCATGTCATGCGACGTGGGAACATGTGGTGGCATCACAATTCATTGCGTTCTAGTGGGATTTTGTCTTCCTGACCAACTATTGATTGTTGTTTGTTTTCAAACATCTCATGATGAATTCTTGTAATGTTGCCTTTGTCGCATCCATTTCATTTTGTTTGTTATGTAGCAACCATTTTTTCTTCTATCCGTTTCTTTCCATTTTCTTGCAGCCCAAAAGACCTTTCAAGCTTATGACCTTTCAAAATAGTTTTTTCTCATACAAAATTCTAGGTTATATATATACATTTTGGGATTAACACTCTGAACATTTTCTTGACCAATATACAAAAAAATGAACATTTGGGATTTTTTGTATTTCTCGTCTATCATCTTTTCTATTCATGTTGCCAAATGATTACGCCGCTTGCTTAGTTACTGGCTTCTCTTCTCCTTAATCTCTATATTTAGATTAACAAACTCTTATTCAATCATTGCACATGGCTCTCAATTTCCCTATACACTATACCATCAATTATTCTTTACTTTTTTTCTGCTATATTTTCATGTGACAGCCATAGCCACATAGGTCAACATGGCAGCAGCTGCAGTCTCTCTCTGGCTTATCTGGTTAAACAGAAACTGCAAAAAAAAAAAATATAAACAAGATTTGGGGATTTGTGGTTTTTTAATAAAAACAAAAGAAGAATATAGCCATGTGCTTTCAGAATCTTTCCCTCACTCTCTTGATCATTTAATGGAGCCCTTTCTCTCATCAATCATCGTCAAAGTGTTCTTTGTTTGTTACTACTTAGCTGTTTCTCTTTTTGATTCATCACTCATTTTAAGTGTTTTCTTCCAACAACACTTCACAAACAAAATCTTTGAAACCATCTGTTTGCTCTGTTTTGTATCTTCCAAACAAACAACAATAAGCGCAAGATGATGCAGTTTGTTGGTAAGTGCCGGTCAAAATCATCATGCCGGTACCAGAAGCTAAGTCAGATTACGACGACAAGAACTACAAGACATAACTGCGGGAAGAAGCTCGATGGTCGGTCAAAAGGGTTTAGACTAAACCGATCAAGGAGGCTGGTTCTTAAGGCATTGGTTCTACCAAGAAGGATCGTGAGCATTTACGCGCGGATCACAGATAAAATGAACAGAGAAGGTTTCTACTCCAATCTCACTCTCTCTTCTCACTGGGGCTTCCCTATTGTACATTAGAGGAAAAGCTCAAATTTTGACGTTTGTGAACAAAAGAGAGAGAGATCATAAACAGAGGAATGATGGAAAATGTAAGACAATGGCTATTCAATCAAATGTTGTTTATGATGTTATTCTAGTTGTGATGTTTTGTAAGAACAAGGTTCAATTTATCTTTGTACTTTCCATAGATGAGAGCAAGTGGAAGAGTGAATCCTCTCCTCTCTACTTCTTAGGAAAGATCTTTGAGAAGAAGAAAAAATTACAATTGTATGTTTGTGTCCATGATACTTTAATAACGAAGTGTATTTACACTACTTCAAGAAGCTACCACTTATAAAGTAATTTAGATTCATGTACATTATTATATTATAAAGCACTATTTTGTCTGAGATTAGTGGTTGACTAGATAAGCAGTAGGCTAATAAACTCTCTAAAAACATACTATTATTTAATGTAATTGATGGGGGATTAAGCGTGACAGATAAAGCATCAATTAAGGGACAGGAAAAAAGAAGAAGATGAAGGATAGCATGACAAAGGAGATGATCACTTTACAGAACACAAAAGACTTTACAAAACAGAATGTGATGATTTGTGACAACCACCTCGTTTTTTTTAATATGTGCTATAATGAGAAGCAACACATTTAAAGATTGAAGCTTGTCTGTAAAGTAACCAGCTTTTTTGGTCACTTTGAGAGAATAGAATCAAGAAGTATCATTATAAAGCTGTATAAGGATTAGTGAAAGCCATCACATTTTTCTGCCACCTTTTAGAGAAGCTGATGTGACTAGCTTGAAGAAATCTTGAACAAGGAAGAAGGTTTATATGAGGAGTTTGGTGTATAGGAAGATGTGGTGGGTATTACATAGAAGGACAAACAAGAAGAACTTACACCGCGATTGCGAGGTATATATAGTCATGATTTTTTTTTTTTTTTGAGCAAAAGAGATAGTCATGATTTTGGATTCATATATTCTTAATATAGTCGTGAAATTTTCAAAAAGGTGTTGTGGTGATTTGACAGAATAAGAGAATATGTGACTTTGGGAAAGACTTGGAGGAGATACTAAATGGGAGGCTAGAGACAATAGAAGAGGAACCAGAAGCAGAAGAGCGAGAGTGGTTAGGAGAATCGCAGAAGCCAGTGTTGGTTAAGGCTAAGATGAAAGTTGAGAAAGGAAAATCAATAGTAAGAGCAAAAGTGAAGACTGGGAAAGTGTTTTACATGTTGTGTGTTATTGGCTTAGCCTCTAAACGTGGTTTTAGAGATCTTGTTCTTCACTAATCTTCTTCTTCTTGACTTTGGTTTTCTTTTCTTGACAGTTGATGTAAATACAGTATGTGTGTGTATTTATTTTGATTATACTTGTGGTGTAACGCAGTTTTGTGTGTCTTCTTCCTTTTTAATCTCTAGAACAACAAGATAGACCAAATTCAATAGTTTCACAGTAATAAATCTGTTTTCTACAGTCTTGAGTTTCAACAGCTAACTACTAAAAAGTAAAAACTGACTTGCAAAGATCATCCAAAAGAAGCTTAATCGTGAAGAAAGATCAATCATTATTGCCAAGTGTTTGCTTCAGATCTTCATCCACATCGAAAGCTTTACGAGCTTGTTTCAGCTCTTCTTGCATTGCCAAGAGTTCTCTACACCGGTTTAGTTTTGGCAAATCCTGCATAAAACCGAATCATAGACGACACCACACAATCATATTAATACAGAATACAAAAAACGTAACAAGTCTCAGTCTTTTCGATTGTGAAGTAAAAAATAACTGTTTTTACCTTGCGGATTAGATACAAGAAGTCATCAACTACTAGTCTTCCTCGCTTTGTGCCAATTTCTTGAGCCTTATGTGTCTGATATTAGTTAATTTCCGGTTAGCTACAGCTCTCGACTTGTAAAGTAATCACAGGAAAAAAAAAGAAAAGAGACTAGTACCAAATCAGTGACGTATTCCACAACAATGTCTTCTACAAGCGCCACAGTCTCTGGAAGCGGCTAATGACAATAGAAGGATAGAGTTTTTACATTAGTTTGAGGTTTCAAAATAGTACTCAGTCTTACAAGATTCAGCAAGAATCAAACCAGATTTTCTAAAGAAGTTGATTACATCTACGCATTTAAAGCCAAGATTCTCTACACCTCACTTATTACTTCTATGCATCTATGAGTGATTTAACTATATGGAAGATCATTGAGCATTTCTATATGGTGCTTATGATCATATCGCAAGATTTCAAAGAGAGGAAAGCTTACGTTTTGCTCGTCGCCAAAACCATACATCATATGCTGCACTGAAAAGCACCAAAAGCCACACACAAAAAAAGGAGCAATATGTTACCGGAAACATAAAAATGAAGAATTTTTGTTTCTGGCAAAGAGAGAATGTAAGAAATTGCACATTACATTCTTTCTGAAAGAACGTTTTACGCTTTTCCTGCGGCTGAGAAGTTCCCGCAGCTTTCGATTTTGACGATGACGCTCCCGTTGCTCCTGTGTTACTCATCTTCTTCTTCCTCTCTGAGTGGAATAATAACAATGAACAGATAATTAGCGAAATTTCTCTACCGAGAAAATCAAATTCAGTGGAAATTTTCAGAAAACAGTTCCCGAGCCCAAATTGTTGATTCCTTCCGATATCGAAACAAGAGAGATACCGCAATCTTGTATTCCAGCACCGTAAAACAGCCATGGGAGAGAAATCGACGATGGTTCTTAATCAAAATTATCGCCGCAATTGATAAGAACGAAGATTCAATAGGGGGAGAAGTGAGCTCACCGTGGATTGGTCGACCGGATTAGCTTCGGTGGTCGTGGCAAAACCGACGACGACGGTGAAATCGGAAAAACGGGAGATAATTCAAGCCTAGGGATTGATTTGTTGCCTCACGACCTCTCGTAAAAGCGTCGGTGAGAGATTGCGGTTCGAATCACTATCAGTTCCTTAAGAGCATCCGCATTGCACATTTTTACATCGGTTCTGGAAAAAAATAATAAAGAAAAAAATAAAAATTTACACACATGGCAAAAAGTTTAATGAGAGTCGTCTCTGCCGGAAGCACTCACAGAACCGTCTCTACTTGCCACGCGTCAACAGGAGAAAGCCCCGCGTTTATATTTTTTTTGTCGTTATGTTTTTATTTTATTTTCTTTCTCGTTGAAGAAAAAGAATTTTGCTCGTTCTCTCCGATTTTAAGAATTTTCTTTCTTCGATCCGGTTTTTTTTTCTCTTCTTTCTTCGACGTGGGTCTTGCTCTTGTTCTTCACCTTCTCCTTTCTCCTTCGAACGACGTTTCTCTTCTTCTTCTTCGCCACCGCCGAGAGCTCTTGTTCTACGATCTCGATCGATTCCTGATGTGTCCCCGATCTCGGTCCATTCCTCTCCTCTGTCAGGTTTGTGACTTGTTGATTCATATGAAGATGTCATCAATTTGATTATCTCTCCGGCTCCATATTATATGTTGCTGGAAGGTTTTGCAATTTTTAGTTGTTCACATCATTATGTTAGTCATCGTTGATCTTTGTACTGTCACTTTTGTTTCTTGGCATAGTCACTTTTGTTTCTTGGCATATTAATTCTTAGAGAAAGCAATAGCAAATGGAAATGTCTTCGCATCTGTTTAATTTACTGTTTTCACTGAAGTAGCTGATTAAAGAGATTGTATTTGATTTATTTGGTTTTGTTTATTGATTGTCTTTGACATTTAATTAGATGGAAAGTATACTGATTTCTGATCTTTTTTTGGATGTCAGATTGGTTTTGTGTGAATCGTGAAAGTAACTAACTTGTGAGGAGTGTCAGATAGTTTTTGTCATTAAGGAATTTGGTTCCATTGTGATGTTAATTAAATGTAATAACATAGGATGCTCTAATTGAGCTCTAGCGTGTAAAGATGTGTACTTGATCTAGTTGTCAAACTAGTTGGCTTTTTAACCGCTTTTAATGCTCTTGTTGTTCAGGCTTACGTAACTTGCCTCATTGTCCACAGATTCCCGAGATGTCACGGAACAAGGAAAGTGTTCAGCTGCGACTCTCCACGATTCAGGTTAGGCTGCTAGCACATGATTGATTAGGACAGCTGTGTTTCTTAATGGCTATGGTGGTAGTTTGGTTGCTATTGTGTCATAGTCTTGCACTAGTTTTGTGTTAGGGTTTAGTTGGATTGATTGTTTCATTGCATTCAACTTGTTTTTGATTAGAAAGCCGAGTAATGGTTTTAGTTGAGTTAAATGATCCCACCAATAAAGAGTAGTTGCTTCTTTCTGGAAACGGGTCGCCACATACTATCGTTCCTGCCCTGCGGTTAAAGACTTTCCTGACCGCGGGTGGAACACATGTAAGCAGAGGTGGGGCAAAATCAACGAATCCGTCAGAAGTTCTGTGGCTGCTACGAGCAAGCTGGACGTCAACGCACTAGCGGCCAGTCGGAAGATGATGTCTTGGCCTTGGCGTACAAGTTCTACTCTCAAGATCAGAGGTCTAACTTCACCTTGGACCATGCATGGAGGAAGCTTAGGAACGATCAGAAATGGTGTGACTTGACTAGAGAGAAAGGCAAAACGCAGGCGAAAAGATCACAGCCTGAGGCTTCCGGAGCAGGCAGTCCTATGGAGGAGCAAGCGGAAGAGAGGCCAATGGGTGTGAAGGCGGCAAAGGCAGCGAAGTTCAAGGGAAATAAAGGTGCAAAGCCAACAGCTGAGGCTAGAGAAGCTTCTTTAAATAACATCAAGAACGCTATGGCAATAAGGGACAAGTTAGCTGATAAGCAGCTGCTACATAGTCTTCTAGAAAGAACGGAACCTCTAACAGAGATGGAATTAGAGCTTAAGAACAAGCTCGTTAGTGGGTTGTTGTAGGTTAGGGTTTGGCGAAGTGGCCCTGTTTTTTAGAATAAGTTTTTCGCTTGCGGGTAATGTTTGTTTGTCTTTTAAGTTTTCCAATGTTTGTTCTTTGCGGCTAATGAGTAATCTGATGTTTATCTTTAAATTGTAACCGGAAATTGTGAACTCTTTGTTTTTTAACAAGGTGAACTCTTTTTTTTTCTCTGCGTATGTTATATAATATCCATACAGTTTCCTATAAATCATATTACCGATTGCAACAATCTGAGGTGTGAACTTTTCTTTTACTTTTGCAGCAATACCTTGAGAACAGATTGAATTATCTTGCAGCAGTGAAGGAGAAGGCAGAGAATCCATACCCACACAAATTTTCTGTGTCCATGTCTGTCTCTGAATACATTAACAAGTATACTAGTTTAAGCGACGGAGACCATGTTGAAGACGACCAAGTTTCTATAGCCGGTATCTTCCCAAGATCTTTCTTTGTCTTGTCTCATTGCCTCCACATGTTGCCGAGTCAAAAAGGTTATCTTAAGGTATATGGAGAATTCATTGTGGCTTAGTATGTTTGACTCGTCTCGTCTTAGTATTTTTTTTGTTCTACTTTTTTTAATCTATGTTTTCTGTAATCTCCCTTACTTATCAATAATATTCTGAATTTCTTTTATTTTATTTAATTTTTTAAAACAAACTAGAAAAAAAAAAATTGATAGAAAAAAAAAAAAAACTTTTGTAGAACCCTTTCTCGGTTCTGCAATGTGGAGAGGAAGCTCTCAAATTTTTCCACAAAAACTCTACACTTATTTTATTAATATATTTAATATTAAAAAAAGTTAAAGAGCTTGTGTTGTTGTTCTGCAATGCGGATGCTAAGAGCTACCGAAAGCAAAAAGTTATTTTCTCTCTTCCAATTAAATTGTCGTTTTAAATATTTTTAAAAAAAAAGGTAAATCAGATATTCAGTAAATTGGTTATTATCTCTCTTCCAATTGGCCAAAATTTAACATTTTCTGACGATATAAGAAAATAATAACAAAAAAAATTTAAATTCCAATTGGAGTAAAATAAATCAAAGATATTCAATAAGTCAAAATTTACACCAAAAGAAAAGTATAAAATGACAAATTATGTGAACTGAGAGAGAGAGAAAATCCACACGAGTATATTCATTCATTCATGTCACACTAACAAGATGAAAAAATTGAAGTCACGAATCAACCATGCATCAACTAAACACGATCGAGGCTTACCGGATTAGTACCACCTCCTAAAAACCATGAACTTCTTGAGTTTCCTCAATAGTATAAGTTTGTTTTCAAAGTTTTAGAATTGATATGAAAGCGATGACTATGAGAACTCTTTTCCTAATTATGTCTCCTTTCTTTTTCTTCATTCTTACTGTTCTTGCAGTTGCATCCCCCGAGCCACGTCCAGCTCCCATATTAAGACACGACAACCAAAGCAGCGACCTCTCCTCCGCCATAGCCGACATGAGAAGAGAGTCTTACTACGGTTTCGCCATCCTTCTCCACGTCCTCAACGATTCAAATTTCTTCAGGAACCAAGAGATCACTTTCTTGATGCCTAGCGACGACGATCTTTCTCAAGCGGACATGACTCAAGAGAGTCTCGAGAGATTTATCATGAGGCACACCATCCCTGCTTGGCTTATGATCAACCACATGCTTCGTTTTCCAAACAGAACGCTTGTTCCTTGTAGCATCCCTGATCGAATGTACACCATCACGAAATCCGGTGGGTCCGGGATTTTTGTGAACAATGCGAGGATTGTTTCTCCAAATGTTTGTCAAAATTCTCGCATTTCTTGCCATGGAATCAGCAACGTTATTTCATTCGGTGACGACTACCTTGCGAAGGCAATGTTGTCACCCAAAATGTTATCATCGGTTCGCGGAAGAATCAATTCGTCCAGGCACTGAAACTCTTACTCTTTGCCTCGTTAATTAAATTAATGTTTCCAAAAAATAAAAGCTGTAGATTTCTCAAAAGTCATGTAAGAGTTTGAAGTGTGACAATAAAACTCTAGACTACGTTGTTAGAATTTGAACAAAAAAAAAAAAAAAAAAAAAAAAAAAAGAAAAGACTACGTTGTTAGAAATTTGTATTTCCAAAGAAAATGGCAGAATAATTTACCCTTTTATCATAAATCAGTTTGTATTTGTATAAAAACTGATTTAGGAAATACACATCATAAATAATATAGGAAAACGCACAATAATTTACCCTTTTATTATAAAAAGTTTTATGTGCGTTTTCCTAAATCATTAAATCAGTTTTCTAATTAGTTGAAACAAATTGTCTATTTTTATTGTTTTCTCAAGCATTTCTACGCAATATTTCAATTTGAAAGCATAGTCTAACACCAAGCTAAAAGAAACATTAAAAACAATCTGAGCATAGTCTAACATACTCTTACACTTTATAAAAAAAGACAACATACTCTTATTGTTTCAAAACTACATTAAAAATCAAGTCATGAGTGTAGCTTTTAAAACATTGAAGATCCAACGTTTTTAGATATTCAAGCCTGATCTATTTTACGTAGACAAACTTTTGTGGATCCATGTTCATAGACGACATAGATGGACCGAAATTGGATAAAATTTAGGATACACTTACAAGAATAAATATATTCTTAGTAAACGTTTAATCAATTTACCAAGAATCAAGAAACAAAAGTCAAGATTATATTATCTAATCCTACCAAGGAAACCGAGATCACAATGGGTCTTAACAAAAATGACCTATAGAGAGGATCAGACAAGACTACTGGCCAGTCAACCCAAAAACGAGAGAGAAGTGATTGGATCCAACGTGATTACTTTGCGAGTAAGCGAGCGGGATTGTGGTTTAGTTCGAATTTCCGATAGTAAGTTTCTTTGCAAATCACACCGTACTCTATGCAGCTAATCTTTCATTAAAATGACTTTTCTTTTTTTTTTTTTGCATTCGCAGGGATCACACTTTATCATGGGGACAGAAGACATATGAGGGGATGACTATGTCGATGTCAGTCCCAAATTCTTTTTTCTTTCCTTAACTTATTTTATTTCCTGGTCTTCTGTTGTTTGCTTTTGTGCTTTGGGTAGTACGCCGCGGCGGAGTGTGTTTGGGGACAACGGACGTCCCAGCAGTCCGTCAAGACCCAAACCCAGATATTGAGCTCCAGTAGATCATTATGTTTCTTTTGTTTTTATTGAAAATGTTGTAAACTCAAATTGATACAAACTAATATTAGTAAACTGATATATTTTTCTTCTCTATATATAAGAAAAAACAAGTCAATATGGAGTATATATATGAATCACGTAATCTGTAATCCACACTAGTAACAAAACTAGAAACAAAATTAATAACTGGTAAATAAAACCTCAAACACTTAGGAACCTTACCAAATGGTGAAGTTGTGTTAAGTCTAACGTTATCATATTCTTTACAAGGTTTTGCCAAAAAAATTCCTTTTGTTTTCCTAAATTTTACTTTTTGTTTGCTCAAAATTTTCTTATAGTTCGCACATAATTGTTACTTTCTCACTAAATAAAATGTGTTCTTGGAATATCATTCGTATTACAAAAACTCAAAATATACGTCATATCATTCCTTTTCGTATATAACCTTCGCATATCAATCTCAACAAAAAAATTATATTTCCTTCATAAAGGAAATAATTTTATATTTCCATTGTTTAAGAAGGTGTTGTAAAGATCAATCACTACAATAACAACATAGTAGCCATAATCAAGAACATAAAATCAGTGAAAATAAGATATATATATATATATATATTTTTCTTTCTCTATTACCTACTCAAACAATCCCACGAGCTACAACTTAGCAAAGCAAATTACTATATGCTCTTTAAGGGTTTACTAAGACTTGACAACACCACAACCTTCGAATTCCATAACTAACAGTAACATTAAGTTGGTAAGATCTTTAAATGGGGTTTCAATGGGCCGGACTGGATTTTGGAAACCTCTTTGATACTCGAAACCCAGCACGTTGATTGGTTGGTTTAGTTATACCAGAACTAAAAACTCTTGTGACAACGAAGGCAAATTATACACGTGTTCAATCGTAATTTGTTAATGGAGATTTAATGAAAAGGATGCCTAAAACAGTAACAGTTTGTTTAATTTTGTCCACAGATGGAAATAAGTTGAAATAAGTTGATACCTTTGCGAGGAAAAGAAACAGTAATAACCTTTTGTATTAAATAATTGGAGCGATTGACCCAAAAAAGAATAAAAGAAGAAACAGCGATACCGAATCTAATAAAATCAATTCGTAAATTAATAAAGTCGTTAAACACGCAATTAATTGAGAGAAGAGCCAGCGAGCGAATGTTTTTAATTGGAAACCTAAATCAAAGTGAAGCCGTGAAGGAGACAACAACACAAAATAGGAGCACACAAATTATAAAATAAAAACTCCTTTTTCCTTTTTCCTTTTCCCCTCTCAATCTTCAATTCCTCACCCACCGATCTCTCTTTGGCTATCTGTAATCGGAAACGGCGTCTGGTCTGGTTAATGCCTGGAAATCACGGGGAGATTTCGTTGGATGATCAGAACGGAGGCGACAACGACAGCAACAACAAGGCGAGGAGGAGGAGGAAGAAGAAGAAGAAGGACGACGACGATGCGAAAGAAGTTGGAATTGCGGATGGTTTCGAGGGTGTGAATCAATCGGTAATGCCCTCGATTTCAAAACCCAGGAAGCGATTTATAGATAGGATCAGGAAGAAACCCAAATCGCCGAAGCGATCCTCTTCTACTTCTTCTTCTTCGTCGCGTTCTGGGTCGCGTAAAGGAGGATGCTTTTCTGTGATGAGACCTCGCAGAAGAGAGGAGGATGGTGATTCTTCTCCGACTTCTGATCCTAACGATGAAAGCTTTACTCATGAGATGTTGAAAGTTATGTTGGAGACTAATGATTTCTGCTCTGACGAGTGCAATCCTCATCGGTGATTTGTGTAAGGGTTTATTATAATTGGGGGTGATTCTTGTATTAGATTCTTATGATTGGTTTTTTTTTTTTAGTTTTCTCTCAATCTGTATAGATGATTCTTCTTCTGGTTAAATCCATCAATGAGTGTTTTTCTTATGTTCCTGACCAATGATGATTATTCAAAAAGCTCTGTTCTTTAGAATCATAATCATTATCTTCTATCAGTATGATAAGCAATTGTGTGTTGAATCAGTGGATCGTACAGCAGAGTAATTATCTGTTGGGTTGTAGTTATCTTTGAATTTGGGTTTATATCTTTAGCTTTGTAAGAGATCAAGCTCAATGTATAGGTTTTAGATTGTCTAGTGTTCATTATCAATTTGGATGATTTTTGTCTCTCTCTAATGTGCCAAATGGTCAAGACAGAGAGTGGGTCTATTTTAAGAAATCAGGTGCTCAAGCATTAGCCTTATAGGTCAAACTTTAAGTAGCCTAGGACTGAATGTAGCAGATTGTAGCTGATGACCTGTTGCTGCTTGGTTTATAGCAGTTAGTGATGGCTAGGTTTATAAGGATGCCTCAGAAGATTGTTTATGACGTGTGGACTGTTCTAGCCTCTTGGTTTGGGCATCATGTCTTTCTGGTTTCATGAATTGAAGAAGAAAGCTTTAAGCTCTTATCGTATCAACAATTAAGTAACGAATCTGTATTTGAAAGTTGGCAAGAAGAAACAGATGAGCATTGGGATTTCAGTGATATTGCTGCTGAATGAGAATCTTTACTGCTCATTCATTTCTTAGGTGTGTTGGAGCAGAGTTTGTTTGTTTTGAATTGTTTCTTATGAGTCTATGAATTATACGATTTTGTAATGCCTGTTAACATCTATGAATCGCCTCCGTGAAGATAGGTGTAGTTGTGATTCGGCAAATCATGTATAGCAGATGAGATTCGAGCATCTACTTCCTTAATCGTCAACCTGCGTAATGCTATTTTGTTGGATACCTACCCTATTTCCAAATGCTTCTAACTTTGCCTGATACCCGAAAACAGCAAAAACTCTTTCGTACATGTTACATACAGTGCTAGTGGAGACGAGCATACTTTTTTTTTTTTTTTATTACTCTCTTTCTTGTGGAAATATGTGACAAGCTACATTATAATTGAACCGAAAGAACGCCAAATTATCAACTTGAGATAAAGGTTGATACTTTATGGACTGTAAGAATGCGTCCCGAATCTGAGACGATGTTGAGAAAAAAAGTTAATGATGTTATTTTGATTTATTTTATTAAAAAATAACAAAAGATTTGTTAAAATTAATGAGAAAAAGAAAAGTCCCCAGTTAAAACCTTCCAAGTCTAAAACCTAGCCCAAAATACACCATCTTCTATTGTGTTTTCGCCGCCCATTGTTTCACATCTCTCAATCTCTCAACTCATTGGCTCAATCTCACTCTTACAATAATCCTTTTCATCTGCGTGGTCTTGGACTTTTGAGGGATTAAGATTCAGATCCAGATGGAAGGGGTAAAGCTTTCGTTCCCTGTGGATACTCCACCGCTTTCAGTCATCGTTGCGCTCTCTCTCTCAGCTTCGCCGGTCGCTATTGACTCTTCCGCCGCCACAACCACCGTCCCTACCTTTGTCTTCTCCGACGGGTACTTTCCTTTTTCGCTCTGATTCCTTGTCTTTTTCTTCTCTCTCTCTCTCTGTAACTTACACCATTTTTCTTCGAATTCGTAGGCGGAAATTGAGTGGGACTTCCGTTCTTCTTCGCTATGTTGGTCGATCGGCGAACAAGCTTCCTAATTTCTACGGCAGCAATGCTTTCGATTCTTCCCAGGTCTCGATTCTTCTATCAACCTTTTTCACCAATCTTGTGATGTAAATTTTTGAAACCCTTTGTTTAGTTTATATCTTCTTCTGGGTCATTTATACAGATTGACGAGTGGGTAGATTACGCTACCGTCTTCTCCTCCGGTTCAGAGTTTGAGAACGCATGCAATCGCGTCGATAAGCACCTCGAGACTCGCACGTTTCTCGTTGGCCATTCTCTTTCCATTGCTGATGTTGGTATTTGGTCAACTCTCGCTGGTAAAAACTCAATCTTTAGCTATGATTTTGGTTGAATTGAAGCTCATTAGTAATATAATCATCACTGCTTCTATTTGTTTTTGCAGGAAGTGGCCAAAGATGGGAAAGTTTGAGGAGATCAACAAAGTATCGGAGTTTAGTTAGATGGTTCAATTCGATACTAGAAGAGTACAGCGAGATCCTCAACAAGGTCGCAGCAACATACACTGCTAAGAAAGGCTCAGGGAAGCCTGTTGCTGCACCAAAGTCCAAAGACCAACAACAAGCTCTGAAATCAGATGCACAGGAGAAAGGAGGAAAACCTGAAGTTGATTTGCCAGGTGCGGAAATCGGAAAGGTTAAACTCCGGTTTGCTCCAGAGCCAAGCGGTTATCTTCACATCGGACACGCCAAGGCTGCGCTGCTGAACAAGTACTTCGCCGAGCGATACCAAGGGGAAGTGATTGTGCGTTTTGACGACACAAACCCTGCGAAAGAGAGCACCGAGTTTGTTGATAATCTTGTGAAAGATATTGGCACCTTGGGGATCAAGTACGAGAAGATAACTTACACTTCCGATTACTTTCCTGAGCTGATGGCAATGGCGGAGAAGCTGATGCGTGAGGGCAAGGCTTATGTTGATGACACGCCGAGGGAGGAAATGCAGAAGGAGAGGATGGATGGGATTGATTCGAAATGTAGGAACCATAGCGTGGAGGAGAATCTGAAGCTGTGGCAAGAGATGATTAAGGGGAGTGAGAGAGGATTACAGTGCTGTGTTCGAGGGAAGTTGAACATGCAAGATCCTAACAAAGCGATGAGAGACCCGGTTTACTATCGGTGCAACCCTATGCCTCACCACCGTATAGGTGATAAGTACAAGATCTATCCGACGTATGACTTTGCTTGCCCGTTTGTTGATTCTCTTGAAGGTATAACGCATGCTCTTCGTTCTAGCGAGTATCATGACCGGAATGCTCAGTACTACAAGGTTCTTGAGGACATGGGAATGCGAAGAGTTGAGCTTTACGAATTCAGTAGGTTAAATCTGGTTTACACGCTTCTCAGCAAGCGCAAGCTTCTCTGGTTTGTCCAGCAAGGTTTGGTCACCGGGTGGGATGATCCTCGCTTCCCTACAGTGCAAGGAATCGTTCGTAGAGGTTTGAAAATTGAGGCGCTTATTCAATTCATCCTCGAGCAGGTACAAACCTTTCTTCTTCTTGTGGCTTGTCTCTTCTGAATGTTCTCTAATGATTCTCTTTACGTTTTGCAGGGTGCTTCCAAGAATCTGAACTTGATGGAATGGGACAAGCTTTGGTCTATTAACAAGAAGATCATTGATCCTGTGTGTCCAAGACATACGGCTGTGGTTGAAGAGAGGCGTGTACTGTTGACCTTAACGGACGGTCCAGATGAGCCGTTTGTACGGTTGATACCAAAGCACAAGAAGTTTGAAGGTGCTGGAGAGAAGGCAACCACGTTCACGAAGAGCATTTGGATCGAGGAAGCTGATGCGAGTGCCATCTCTGTTGATGAGGAAGTTACTTTGATGGATTGGGGAAATGCCATTGTTAAAGAGATCACCAAGGACGAGGAGGGTCGTGTCACTGCTTTATCCGGCGTCTTGAATCTCCAAGGATCTGTCAAGACTACAAAGCTGAAGCTCACGTGGCTTCCCAACATTGATGAATTGGTCAAGCTCACGTTAACAGAGTTTGATTATTTGATCACCAAGAAGAAGGTAAAGAATCGGTTTTCTACAGTACATTGTTCTCTCTCTTATGATCACTGACATTTTCTTGTTATTTTGTTTTAATGCAACACAGCTGGAGGAAGACGATGATGTTGCTAACGTTGTGAATCCTTACACGAGGAAGGAAACATCTGCTCTTGGTGATGCCAATATGAGGAATCTGAAGCGTGGAGATGTGATCCAGCTTGAGAGGAAAGGCTATTTCAGATGCGATGTGCCTTTTGCCAAATCGTCGAGTCCCATTGTCTTGTTCTCGATTCCAGATGGAAGGCAACACCAGCCATTGTCAGCCTAATTGATGAACGAAGCACAGAAAAAAAAAACCAAAACTTTATCGATTTTGTTCTCATTTTATGAAAATTCAAAATTGTGTTGAGAATTATCTTTAAAGACAAGAGTTTGTTATCTTTCATAATCATTGCTTAGTTTAAAGATGCAAACTTTTTATCTTTTCTTCTTTGATTCAGTGTTTACAATTTGAGACAAAAAAAGAAGAAAAAGATTGTGTTTTTGTTGTCTCTCTCTCATTTCTTGGGTTGGTATCTGGATTTGATCCTCATGACTTGTTTGGGTTTCATCTGGAATGATCTAGCGAGGATGTCTTCAGGGAGAGCTCCAAAGAGAGAGGACACGAGAGATTGTGTTCCGGGCAATTGGCTGTCGAAAGCTGCAAGTACAGAGGCTGGTGCCTTGGCGACGTTCTTCTGGAAATGAAGAAGTCCTTTGGGGAAGACGAAAACTTCTCCTTTGTTAATGTGTTTGGAGATGAGTTTTCCGGCGGTTGTCACGAAGCCGACGTAGAGCTGACCTTCGAGGACGAAGACGATCTCGGAGGCACGTGGGTGCACGTGAGGTGGGTTAAGACCGTTTGGTGCGTAATCGATGCGGGACATGGAGAGGCCGAGTGTGTTTAGTCCTGGTAGCTTCTCTACGGTGGCTCCGGTTACGACAGCGCCGGTGGAGGAGTTTCCGGTGTTGGCGGCCGCGGCTAAGCCCTGGAAGTAGAAGTTCTCCGGTGTTACTTGTGTTGAGTCCTTGCAAGTGTATCCGTTGACCTTGACCGCTTCATTTGTCGGAATTAAACACAAAAAGAGGTCAAAATTAGGATGTTTCAACAAATTTGAAAAACAAAAGAATTATAAAACAGAATGATTTAGTTTTTTGATATTTCTTCAATTGATTTAATTATCTTAGTGCTGTTGGTAAAGAATGTTTGAAGATTTCAATCCTATTGTTTCCACACCTGCTTTTTGCTTCAATTATTGAATTCGTTATGTCAGATGTAACAACTTATTACAAACTACATTTCTTCTTATTGAGAAAAAAAAAAAATCGAATGATTCAAGATATGCATCAAATGAGAATATGAATCTCATTGCTGTCAAGAAAAAGAAAAGAAAAGAATAGGAAAGTCATTTTGTTTCAAAATGTCACAATTCATATCAAGGTGCTATTTTCTTAATGATATGGACATATTGTCAAGTAGGTAGGGAGAAAAAATTATAATATCCGGTGGAAATTGAAAACTACAAGAAAAACTCTAAAATTTTAAAATAAAGCTTTTGATTATTCCAACGAAGAGTACAGAAAGATCGAAACGTAACCATGAGGCTTTCAAAAACATAAAGTAAAAACTAATTTGAACAAAATATTTCATTGGAGTTACATACCATTGGACAAATCAGCAACACAAAAATCTTGAAGCATGGTGGCTTCCGCGACAGCCACGACAGCGACCAACACGGTAACAACAACAACAAGACGGGTTGCAATATTAGCCATTCTTGTTGTTGTTGTTTAATCTCTGAAAAAAAGTTTGCTTTTGATGAATTTAAACAAGAATAAATTCACGAATAGAGAAGCTTTAAAACTGGTGTTCTTATACATATTTGAGAGGCTTAAATGGTTTATTATTAGGCCAGTTATGAAAGGTTGGGGTTAGGCCTTAAATTAGCCAAAAATAGATTTTTAAGGTTTTAATTGTAAGTTAATATTTGGAGCGGTTGTGATTTAACAGGATTGTTTATTGGTGAGAATAGAGACTTGTAATCTGTGTCTATTAGGCTCTCTAGTTAGTACCGTACGAGGAAACTCACCTAAATTATCTTATCTTCCTGGTAATTAACTAAACTTCCAAGTCACCAAACTCAAATGATTATTTGCATTAATCAATAATAGAAATTGTAAGTTGGGTGGTAATTTCGTTAGAACTCAGCAAGTTTTGTTTTGGTCAAACTGATCATCATTCTACCTAAATAAACAAACCGGAATTATGTCCGAACCTAATTAAACCGGAAGCTGTGTAAAGGCCGACAGATATTGTCCGCTAAAATGTCATTGTCATTGTCTCATTGACTAATGCACAACATATTAATATAACTCAATAAAATTGAATAAAAGAATAAAAATATCAAGTACAAATTGATAGACTTGGAAATGCTAACCATTCAACTAACAAAAAAACAAAAATAATTAATATTAACAAATTCCCCTCTTGAAAGAAATCCTAAGTTCAAGTTGAGTCCTATATTTGGAGTTGTTTTATCAACTAGAAAAATGCCACCAAGAAAAGCTTATTATTCAATAGCTCAAGATGTATCTCCTAAGTTCAAGTTGAGCCCTATATTATACACATTTTACTACAGTGAGTTCGTTGACGCAACAGTTTAGGAGAAAAGACTTAATCGAAGTCAAGTCGCTTTTATTTAGTCGTCAAACTGTTTCAGAGACGATTCTTCTATTAAAGGAAGATGTTGAGAAACAAGAACAATAAGAGACAAAAACTCGGATCCTTCATCTTTCTATATCTCTTTATATGCTTCTGATTTTCCTCTTCTCCATTCATTTCTCAATTTCATAATCCATTTTCTTCCCAATTTATCTCCATCATGACGGTTAAGGTAAACAAACATGTTCATACTACTAATACTGAAAACAAAAATCATGAATCATTCATTCACTCGGTTTTGTTTGTTTTGGTTTTGAGCAGAAAGTAGAGATCAAAGTGGATATCAACTGTGGGAAATGCAAAAATGCAATCATGCAGGCAGTCACAGAGCTAGAAGGTATGATAAAATGAAAAACTTGTTACTAAAATCAGCCGATATATGAGAGAGATTTGAATGCAGGTGTGAATCAGGTTGCACTGGATCAAGAGAAGAGTTTACTAACCGTGGTGGGGACAATGGATCCGGTATGCGTTGTAGGGCAGCTAATGAAGATCAAACAGAAACCAGTAGTAGTCAGTGTTGGACCACCAAAACCTCCTGAGCCCAAAAAGAAGCCAGACTGCACGCTAGAGTGGTGCGGGCCTTACCATCCTTACTACACCCCTCGTGACGTCGTATCAGTTACTACCTATGAAAGCGGAAGCGGCTGCACCATCATGTAATGTAAAGATCTTGTCTGAATCCTCTCTCCATCTCTCTTAGCCATCATGTAAATTCCAGCAAATCTTTAGTCAAGACAGAATTTCTTCTTGTGTTATCATGTTTCATATTCGTTTATCATGTGATGAATATTTGTTATTGGCAACCTGTCCTGTTTTCTGAATAAAGTCTTAATATCGTTACAAAAAGACATGATTAAACCAGGAGACAGATTTTGCATCACAAAGAATTCTGAAATTAGCGTGTAAAATACACAAGCACAAACACTTTCCTTGTCAACATAAAATCCATAATCATAACGTAAAAGAAACCATAACGATGCAAATGAAGTCCAGACTTGACTAATTTCCTACCACTCAGAAAGCAGAGACTAAACACGGTTACTGAAACATTGTAAAACAAACTACTTAGACCTAGGAAAGACATCACAGTTTATTGATCTTTTCCCTAGATCTTTACAGCATAAAGGTACTAACTTATACAGACTTAAAACAACTGGGACTGTGATTTACTTCTTCTTCCTCCCACCACCTCCCTTCGTTTTCTTATTTGCTGCTCCTTTCGCGTTACTCTCTGGGACTTCCTGTAAGCAAGTAAAAAACAGTTCATGAACACCAAATGATCAATGTATACATAGAAACATGTGAAGCAAAAAGTAGAAAGTAATATTGATCCACGGAATCTTAAGAATGGAGGCGCTTAGTCTATGTAAAATAGTTTCCAGCTAAAAAGAACTACAGAAATTATGGCAGATTGATTTTAAATGTTCACCGTGATATTTAGATTCTTGTGCCTATGCCAGCTCCAGCCATTTGGAAAGAAAGGTTCGAAACCGAGGATAGAGAGAACAGCCTAAGGCTAACAATGTTATTGGAGGTGTTGCATCCAAAAGCATGCAGAGAGAACACTTTATTGCTGATAGCTGGTTTATACTGCCGAAGCAAGCATTTGGTACCCTGTGACCCAATTGAGGAATCACCTCAGAGACTACTAGGCATATAAAGTTTACCTAAAGTGTGTAAAATGCACATATATTTCCAATTTTCCATCCACTTGTGAACATTTTAAGCAGCTAATCAGTGCTTATTTAGTACTTAAGATATCGAACATACACGTTCCTATACAAGAAGAAAGGAGATAAGAACTGATGATGAGTCCAACTATATATAAGATTGTAAGAAACAAACCTTTCTCTTAGCAGGAGCGGACGAGGTCGCAACTGGCTTGAAAAAAGACTCCAGCCTGTGAAATGATTCAGACAAAAATGAGTGGAAAGAGAGGTATACGCTAAAATCACCACTAGTTTGTTTAAAAGGTGCAAACCTTCCCTGGGATGACTTGTTCTTTGCAGATTTGATTTTCTCTACAGCCTGTATAAGAAAATCAAATAATCCACAATATTTTGTCAGAATAAACGATTTCACCTATATGGCTTACGGAACAAAGTATGATAATATACCTTGGTTACCCTTTCTACGTTGAATCCATTTTCATTCACCAAAAACTGAACTATGCCCTGGCACAGAAGAAAAAAATAGGCAAGTAAGATAATCTCACCAAGAATCCAGATAATGGGTGGAGCAGAAAAGGAGAGAACTAGGTTTCTACCTCTTCATCTGGAGAGGTCCACTTGATATCAAGCTGCTCTTCGTCAGTTAAGACATCAGGTTCTCTAAAAAGTTTCCGAGCTTCGTTATATGGCCATTCCTCAGGTATTTGGTACCTACATTAAAATACCAAAATGGTAAAAGATCTTTCTCGCAGAATGGCTATTGCTTCTTGGAACAACAGATGTTAAAAGTAAGAGCTCAACAAAGGTGACAGGATGGAGAAATTTGGATTAGATACATATTGACTGAAAGATGCTTCTTAGATATGTGGTTATGGTGATGCATCGCTGAGAGAAATGTTTTCAGCAAAAAGTTAAACCTTTCTTTGTTTATATTTTCGAGTATGGTCTCAATAGATCCATGCTGACGAATGAGCTTTAGCGCAGTCTGCCCTCCAATACCTGTGCCACAAAATGCATATTAGTTTTCAACATTTTAAAAAAGAGAGAGAAAAAAATAAGACAATGTTGATCCATTTCACCCACAGTTGAAAGATATAAAGATATGAGAAAATCTCTAGATACCTCGGATGCTGTCACAATAATCACATCCTGACAATATGCACAAGTCGATGAACTGATCCATGGTAAGTTGAAGCTCTTCTAAAATCTGAAACGAGACCACAAGATCAGATACGATCTCAATTACTTAACACGTAGAAGAATCGATAGTGTGTGTGTGTGTGTGAGAGAGAGAGGGAAACCTTAGCAACATCAAATTCCATGACAGGGATCTTTCTGGAGCTAGGATCCATCAGGTGGCGAAGAAATTTAGGAGCTCCAAAAGTTAAGGAGTCCATATCTTCAGAAGCCACACCATACACCTAAATTAACAGATAGAAGCATATCATAAGGAAACATTGCCGCTGCTAAACTCCACTTGTACAAGATTGAAGACAATGGTCACTCTAAACTGTCAGTCAAACACATGAAAAGAGAACAGAGAAAAAGAATACAGACCTTTCCTAATTTGCAAAGTGCAGCACATTGCGCTTCTGCTTCGGAAGTGGCCTGTATGTAGAAAACCATCAGTCTCTCTTTTCAATTATATCAGAGAAAGACAGAATAAATGGGAGATAATTAGGCTCTGCGGCTTCTGAGCATAAGTACCTCAACAACAGGCACCCCCATAAGTCTTAAGAGTCTCTTGCAGTCGTCATTGTGCTGTTTTGTCACCTGGAGAGTGGGGGATTATACATGTATTAATAAGAGTCCTAGACTCAATTGCTTTGGAAATAGACTGAAAAGAATAGACTACCTTCACAGTTCGTTTACTGTACTTCTCAATGTCCTCTTTGTTTCCTGCCTGTCACCATGGAATAGCTTCTAAAGTTATACTCTTTTGGTAGCAAATTAATAAAAAGTAAGTAACTCCAAAGGCAAGTAAGAGTGACAAACCTCAATTGCACCAGTCAAATCTGCAGTCGCATCGGCTCTCTTGGAGTAACTGAATCAAGAGTAGAATAGGTAAAAAGGTAAAAACACAGTGACAACAGTTCAGAAACTCATGTAAGCTAAAACAAACAACTTGAGCTAAAAAAACCTAAAAAAAATTCTACCGTTTTGCTAGTTCTTGTCTCTTTAACTCTGGGGGCTTTCCATCGAAAACATAGCTGTAGCAAGTATTCAGAACTAAGTTAGCAAAAAGGTAATTGTACAAGGCAAAGCCAGAGGTTTTATAAAAAGAGAATGTGGGAGAAGAACGTTACACAGGCTTAATTCCAGCTTCAAGAAGACGGATTGTACGATTAAACATCCCTTGTAAATGGCTACATGTACAACAACAGAGACAGAAAGCAAATCAGATCAAAGGTTCCAAAAAAGATACAATTTTGGAAACAGAGAGAGAGTAATAATAAGTAACCTAGTGACTTCACCAGCTTCATTCGTGAGCATTTCAGTCCCAGTCCTTCCCACCACAATCTGCGTCAGATCAATTCACAGAATTAACATTACAGAAAGATACACTCTTTAGAGTGGTTAGGTGCTAAATAAAATGGATTTTGAAAAAGTAGGAAGGAACGAACAAGGAATTGGTAAATGCTCATGCTAGCATCAACGGCGATTTTCCGACCGAAATAGCTCTCAAATTTCTGCTCTTTCATGGCATTAGGCGCATTGTCGGCTAGCAGCTTCGTTAAACCCTAAAAAAAATCAGACATTTCCACCGAACAAAAACATCAGCATTAGATCGAATTGAGGAATCACAATCGAAAATCGAAACAATAAGTAATATTTCGGTTCATAGTGAATTCATCAGACCTTGATACCCATGGTGATGACAGAGGAAGCAGCGAATTAGCGAGCGAATGTCTCTTTCTCTCTCTTTCAGGGGACTTTGGTCTCTCAATGGAGCGCCGATGTTTTCCCGCCTCCTCGGCACGTGTGGCCAGGCCTGTTGACCCAATTAAGCCCATTAAAGGATTAAGGCCCATGGGCAATTTCTAAGTAGAGATATCCCTTTTCTTATCCGGTACAGTGCAGAATATTCAGTATGGTTTCAGACTTTCAGCTGTTCAGTTTGATTTTTGAATATTATAATGTAATATTGTAATCCATTAATCCTTTTTTTTATCACTAATCCTTTTTTTGTCGGCAATCCATTAATTGAGATATCACTAAATTTATTTATCAATTTTTTTTGGTTGAAGTACACTGTATTAAGTTGAGATTTATGGAGCAGCAAGGGAAACTATACTTGAGTTGCGAAATTAATAAATATAAAAAGATATGGGATGTTTCATGATCCGTGCATGGGGCAGTGAGTAAAAACCAAAGAAGGAAACGGTGGTGTTATTACGTGATCTTTCTCTAACCTCTCTTGCTTTATTGGTATCATGGTACGTATACATAACGAATATAATCATTCCTTGTGGTGGATATCATTGTTATTGTATAAATGCCGGTGGTGGTACGTGATCATTTTAATATAAAAGTTTACGCTTTAAAACTCAATCACACCGACACGATTCTATGGACAAATATTAATTTCGCCACACGGAAAAGATACAAAGGGAACAAGCAACGGTGCCTATTAATTATAAGTCCATATTTAACCTGCGTTCAACTGTAAGTCTGTAACATCACCATATTCCTTTTACACCACATAAATGAAACCTCTAACCATCGGACCATCGCAAACAAATATTGTAAAGATTATATCTAGAACTTTTCATTTTAGATGACCCTTTTTTATTTAAAATGTCATGTTTAAAAGCTAGGAACCATTGCTTGAAATGTTAAGCAATCCAAACGGTTGGGGTGGCTCATACGCAAATAAAATCGAAAGAAAGGTCTTTCTCACATACAAAAGAAAACAGAGTTGAGTGGAGGATATATAACACCGTACCGTCGAGGGCTGTTTCGTGTTTGTGTTTGGAATAGCGTAACGTAACATGTGCATCGGATTTAGGAATAGCCCCACCACTTTCTTTCTCATTCTCTCCCATCCATTAGTTTCAAATCGGGTTATACAATAAGACATTTAGCTTATCGTTTTTGTTTTTAGTTTTTTTACCCCCCTGAATTATGGCATTTTTTCTAGTTAGTCAAAGAGTTTTTGACTTATTGGCCTTAAATTATTTTGGATGGGGAAACGAGATAGTGTTTCCGGGATCTATTTTCCTGCGCATGATCTTTCGATGCAGAAAATTATTATTTGATGTTAATTTGCCACTCTTTGACAAGATAGTGTTTACGGACTTTGTTCATAATTTGTTATCCTTGATTACTTCAGACTCAATAAAAACAAATGATTGTATTGTTTGAGACCTTTAAAGAATGTTTTAAATCCCTTTAATAAAAAATGAATGTTTTAAATCCAAATGGGTAAGTGGTGTAGTGTTTCATGATTACCGTAATTAACGGTCGTGATTTTGTTGTGCTTCTTGAAAAATCATTAGACAGATAGATAGTTAGGTGTGGGAAGAAAAAATCATAGATAACTTGTCATTATTTTGTCAACCACCACAGTAAAACCTCTATAAAGTAATAACGTTGGAACTGTGATATTTTATTACTTTAACGAGATTATTAATTTATCGAGAGATAATTAGACCAAAAACTTAATTCGGGACTCAAAAATTCTATTTATTTATCGAGGTATTATTTTATCGAGTATTACTTTATAGAGGTTCTACTGCATATCACAATTAAAATTATTGATTGATTTAAATAATATTATTTTCTAACTCGTAATTTAGAAAAATAAAAAAAACACATTCTTTTATTTTTGGTAGATATCATATCATAATTTGTATTTAGTTGTATTGTATGGTTACCTCTTTTGTTTGATAATGTGTGTTTCAACTTTCAAGTATGAACCACTTTTTTTTGTAAAGATGGTCGCATTGTCTTAATTAAGAATATTATTATAACATTATAGTATTAATCAAATAATTAAGAAAACCAAGGAGGTAATGAGATTCCAAACGTGAATCCAGCCATGAGACCTTTATTATTTTTTAACACAGCCTTCTTCTTCACTCACTTCTTCACTGCTCTGCTCTGTGCCTCTGTCTCTTTCTTCTTCTTCCTCATTAAAAGCTGAACACAAAGATCTTTTCTTTCTCTATCACATGCAAGTGTCTGCATTTGTTTGAGAAATCTTTTTAAATACTCTTCCTTTTTTCTACTCTAAGCATTCCCGGCTCTTAGAGAAAAAGAGCAAGAGAAATGAGGAAGCTTTTCTTGTTAGGGTTTATAGTCGCAGGACTGATTCTGGGGACTGAGGCAAATGGGTACTCAGAGTTCAATGTCACAGATTTAGACCGCATTGAGGAATTAGAGTATGGTTTCTCCAAATTTAGCTCCAATTTCAATCCTTTAATGGTCGGCCTCACACTTATCCGAGGAGCTGGTGCCAAAGGAGCTGGTACTCTCTCTCTCTGCTTTACTTCAATTCATTTACACAAAATGTGGTTTTTGTTTGTTTGTTTATATTACATCTCCAGTCCAGTGACATTCTCAGATTTAAACAGAGTCTTGTATGACATAATATAAATATAATTCATGTGTCTTAGGTTGTTGCATTTTACGGTAAGCTACTTTCTGAGTTTAGAATGTGAAGCACATTGTGTATTTGCATAAGGCATCAATATTATGTCCTGGAAAAAAAAAAGAGTAAAAACAGAACAGTGTTCTGAATCTTAAGATCTGTGAAAGATAAATCTTGTTTTGTGTCTTAATTTATTTACAGTTTGTTTGGATGGAACATTGCCTGGATATCACTTACATCGTGGACATGGATCCGGGGCCAATAGCTGGCTAATTCAATTAGAGGTTAGCAAAGAATAAGCAAAGCTTCTGGTTTTAAGTCTTGTTCTGTTTCAAGATTCTGAAATGTGTGTGTGTGTGAAATTGTAAAATGTGGAAAGGGAGGAGGATGGTGTGACAACATAAGGAACTGTGTATACAGAAAGAAGAGTCGTCGTGGATCCTCTAACTATATGGAGAAACAGATTCAGTTTACAGGAATACTTAGCAACAAAGCTCAAGAAAATCCAGGCAAGGTTTTTATCAGTAAATTTTTTGAAGAAACAACTAGCAATTTTTTTTACATTTCTTCTTAATGTCAATCGTCTATTTTTTCAGACTTTTTCAACTGGAATAGAGTGAAGCTTCGTTACTGTGATGGTGCTTCCTTCAGTGGAGATAGCCAAAACCAGGTTTGCATTGATATTGTTTGTTTCAAGAAACGAACAACTTTGTCAAAGAGATCATACATTCTCTTAAACATGATTTTCTTTTTGTGTTTTCAGGCTGCAGGGCTTCAGTTTAGAGGAGAGAGGATATGGAGAGCCGCAATGGACGATTTGAAATCAAAGGGAATGCGAAATGCCAAACAGGTGTTTTTTCAGTTTTCACCTAGTCCTTGCTTGCTTGCTTTAGAGTCTTATCTTTACACTGATCTAACTTGTGTAATACTCTTCAGGCACTTCTGTCTGGATGCTCTGCAGGAGGTCTCGCAGTGATTCTACGCTGTGATGAATTCAGAAACTTGTTTTCAAGATATACCAAAGTCAAGTGCCTAAGTGATGCAGGCTTGTTCATGGACACGTAAGTTAAAAGCCTCTTTACTAACTCAATGGTCAAATGTCTCAGATAGACTTAGTCCATGTTATTGACTGGCTTTTTGTTTCTTTGATTAAAGGCCTGATGTGTCCGGTGGCCACACCATCAGGAATCTATATAACGGCGTTGTGCAGTTGCAGGGAGTTAAGAACAATCTGCCACATAGATGCACAAACCATCTGAATCCAACTTCTGTAAGCTCTTCCTCCTTCAGGCCATTCTCTTTTGATTACAGGAAGAACAAACACTGACCCATTTAATTTGTCTTTGAATTGGGGACAGTGTTTCTTCCCTCAAAACTTGATCAGTAAGATGAATACTCCTCTCTTTATTGTCAATGCAGCTTATGATATTTGGCAGGTAACAAATTCTTCTTCTTCTTCTTCTTCTCCATGTTGAAACTCCCATGTTTTATGCTAACAGAGATTGTTAATAAGAACCTTTTATGTTTGTTTTTACAGATTCAAAGCAGTATCGCACCGCCAAGTGCAGATCCTAGTGGTTATTGGCATGAATGCAGATTAAACCATGGAAGATGCACTCCAGCACAGATCCGGTTCTTGCAAGGTCGAATCATCTTCAAATTCCAAATTGTTTTTTTGGTTTAATGGCATTTTCTTTAACCTGGTGACTCTTAATGCTCCTTGTATAACAGGGTTTAGAGAACAGATGTTGAATGCTGTGAGGGGATTCTCGAATTCAAGAAAGAACGGTTTGTTTATAAACTCTTGTTTTGCTCATTGCCAAACCGAAAGGCAAGACACTTGGTTCGCCGATGATTCTCCTGTTATCCACAAAAAGGTAACCACTATTCACTACCTCTATGTTCATTTGCCTTGAGATGCCTCTACTGTTTTAAACGTCAATTTATGCGTTTGCGTTTACATGCTACATTTCCTTTTTGAAGTTGACATGTTTTTAAATATTCCATTTTGTCATAGAACATGTTGCAAACTGACAATGAAAACACTAAACACAGATGAAAAGTTCTGTTTTTCACTTTTTCTTTTGTGTTAGCAACTAGCAAACACTAATCGGTTCTTTAACTTTGTGAAACTGCGGTTAGGCGGTGGCCATAGCGGTTGGAGACTGGTATTTCGATAGAGCGGAAGTGAAGCTGATAGATTGTCCGTACCCGTGTGATAGGAGCTGCCACAATCTGGTCTTCAGATGAATGATCTTCTCATTATTTTTATAGATATACGAAGTAGAAGTGAAACAAATGTTTCATTTCTATCATATCTCAGTGATCTTGTTGTATTTGTATTATTTCGTACGTACCAATTCCTCATTGGAAAAGAAAGGTTTTCCTAAAGAGATTGAGATATAATGAAGATAAGGCTTTTCTTTTTTCTTCAACTATTGTGTTTGCAACAAGTTTGATAATAATTTTACATTTTAATCTGACATATCCGACACGGTTTTTCACTTTTCAGGCTCGTCGGATTATTTTTTGGTCGATTTAAAGTTAAAGTTGAATGTGAAAAAACTTACTTTGTGACGCATTAACATTGGTTTGAAGCCTTCAAATACGTTTGTCTGAAAATGCGTTTTTAAGAAGGAAGTTCCATTGAAAGATTTCTAAGATCTTTCAAGAAGTTGCAATTTATAGATATATTTAATTCGTTGCATTGTAACCAAAACAGTTTTGATAGAATTATATGAAAAGTTTTATTATAATAAGAAACTGGTAAGACTTGTTTATCTTTTGGTCAAAAACTAGTAACGCTTATTGCCAAATAAAAAGAGGAACTAGTGTAAAAGTTTGTAAAACAACCACACGTTTTAAATATTAAGTTCCACAGGTTGATAATGCAACTTTATAATATTTTCTTGACAGAGCCATCATCGTTGTCTTTATCATTAAGCTCGTTTTAGGTTTTACGTTATCGACTTATCGTTATCTCAATATATTAGAACGACAACGATCCTTTTGAAAAATCTCATCCAAACCGAATTCAGTAAATATATAGTATATGTACATGCTCGTTTATTTTAAAGACAAGTTGAGAAATTTTATAAACAAGAGCGATCGAATAAATACAATGGAGCATTGGTGATATTTTTTGTTATTGTAATATAGAAATGAAAGTTATGATTGAAGTAGGGCCTCAATTATTTTGGCTCACATGCAAATTATGAGGTGTAAGGATAAAAAATGCCTTTTTTTTATAAGTCTTCAAACACAAATGATCAACTCATAAACGTTTGCTTTCGAAAATTCTAGAGAATCGTTTGTATTTATATTCTCATTCAACAATCGACATTGGAGGGATATGTTTACTTGGTTCGTACAATATCGCCGTATCGGTTTGTCTCTATTCACAATATGAAACTAGCTAGACATGTAAACTACTATTAAACGATAATTCTGTATAGTTTATTACAAATTTCATTTCAAAAAACTATCTAGACTTAAAAGATATCATCATAAGTTTGAGGAATTGATATGCCTTATCGATTAAAATAGAGAGAAAGCCATATTATAAGCGTCCATCAATCTAATAGTAGCCGACAATATATGTATTTATGTAAGTTACTGTCATCTCTTCTTTTGATTTTTGGCTTACAAAAAACTATATAATTGCTCACAGAGTCACATCATTTCATCAGGCTCGATACTCACATATCCAATAAGTCCATGATCATGACCATCATACCATATAATGATATAAAGGCTATAACATGTCAAAATTACCACCAATACACATATTTACATACTTTTCTAAACCGATTAGTTAGATTGGGTTAAACCGTTTTAACCGAAAATTCATCCTACATGAGATCATACTTTTTCCTTTAACAAAAATTAAAATCTTTCACGTAACGACATTTGTTTCTTTAAAAAACAAAAATTCAAAGTTTGCTTGCTCTCTATATCTCTTGCATGGCTTTTCCAAGTTATGAACACTAGATGTGTCAGCAAAAGGGCCACTTCCTCTGCAAGCATAGAACTTTTGGTCCACCTAAAAAAACAATAGAAAAACAACACCAACTCAAAAGCTGCCCTCGTGTGAATTATATTGGGATATTGTCAGAAGAGTACACACCTTCGATTTTCGTATTTCACCACCTTACAAGATCAAGGGTCCCTTCTTCTACACGCATGTCGTATTTCTTTTTTTGGTAAACGATGATCGTAAACCCGAATCTGCACTAATTTGTGGAACTTGTAAGTGCATGCATGTTATGTTAATTCCTTAATAAGAAGCTAAGAAATGATCACATGTATTTATTCATTACTAGTGGTTGGACATAGTGTTCTTTCTTTGTTTTACATGTACTCTATTTAAAAAAATATTCTGAATTTATTTTAACTCTTAAAAATGTGGAACATATACTAATCAATGGTTAAGTGTATTTACACCATATTGTGGCCGGTTTCAATCCTACAAAAAATATACATGCATTTCTTATGGATGGAAGATGCAAACGTTTCCGGGGATTTCACAATGATTGGAGCACCAAAGAATTATTCGTCACTAAATTTTCACCACTACCTAGTAGAATATCAACCATAGCGATTCTTAATTATGGAACATATATTACATCTTTCATGTCATTTTCAAAACTGTGGGAAATCGATGTCTGAGAAGTAAAAACAATAATGAGTCTGAGAACTGATCTCAAGTGAAGGCACATCTCTCTCTGTAAAGGAGACAGCGATGGACTTCCATTCTAAGATGAATTGTCCCTTTTGTAAATTTTCTCATCTATTTATTACTAGTTGATAGATTATCTCCCATGGACCCATACCACAAAACATTTACGAACAGTACTAATTTTAAACAAATTTCATCTATAATGTAATTTACTCGTTCGGAAATTATTTTATAAAGCTTAGAAACATGAAAAATAATTTTAATTCGGTGTATATTTCTAAAGTTGTATATCTAAAATCAAAATATATATTTTTAAATATGGAATATAACACTAGTGTTAAATCACGCATGCATCTTTTTGTCCGGAATCCTTTTCCGAAGAAGTCTCCACTCCAACTCAGGATCTAGTAGCCTCTCCTTGCCTATATTAAAAACAAAACTATATATATCCCTCGACCTGGACATGTCTACTTTATTTTATTTATTTTTTGTTGAGTACTTCTTCCTAAGTAAAAACGTAATATATAGATGTAATTATGTAAATTAAAAGAATATATGAAACTCTGTTATAAGGTCAAAGTCATAGAGTTTAGGCAAGGAGAGGAAAAATGGAATTACATCTTACATCTTAGCACAGAAACAAAAATACACGACCATAAAATTTACTCAACCAAAACAACATATATACTCAGGACTGTATATACTTACACACATGCATGCAGAACATATTCTATATATAAATGTATCATGTATGTATCAATCAGATAAACTCCGGACCGTGAATGTGAACAGAAAATGAAGAAATACTGATTAGACTCTCTCTAACACATGTTACTAATCTAAAGGCTCTGATCAAACACCATGTTATTAAGCTTTTGTAGGTTTTTACCGTACACTTCCGCGTCAGCATCATGTGGTAATGTTACAGCTTCTTGGTTTGGTGATGACGCGGATGATGTTGATTGCCAGTAGTATTTGGCTATGTCCGGCTTCACTTCTGCTTCTAAACCAGTTTCTGAGCTTTGGTTATGTTCTGTGTAATGAAGAATCTCTGATGCCCATGACTTCACGTCTTGATGATTATGATGATGATCCACTACGAGATTATTATTACTATAACTGTTGTTGCTGTTCACGATTTGTCTAGCTTCTGTGTATTGATTACCAAAGAAGGCACTGTAGATACTGTTGCTCTGAGATGGAACTGTGTTGTTGCAGTAGTTCACTTCCCAGTTGTTTGGAACAAGATTGAAGTTTGAAGTCATTGGTGACGTAGACATTGAAGAGATCAAAGAGACGATCTGGTCTGAAACCGTTGAAGTAGTACTTGAATTAAAGCAAAACGCAGCGTTTTGATTACTTGCAGCCGTTGCCGGGAACCACCACGGACCTGGTTGCGATGAGACGACCATGGACTGATCACACCGGTTGTTTATCGAACCCGTTGACTTTACTACTTCTGAAGTAATCGATGACGTCAGCTTCTGGTCTATGACGTTAAGAGATTGAAGGTCGCTTATAAAGGGTTTATGTGTTGTTGGGTCAATGCCTTTTCTTCTCAGCTTCTTCTTAAGACACGAGTTCCAAAAGTTCTTGATTTCGTTGTCTGTTCTTCCGGGTAACCGAGTTGCGATCTGAGACCATCTACACAATTCAAGACAGATAAGAATATAAAAACAAAACTTTCAAGAACTACATTATGTATTCAAAACTATATAAATATGTCGCTAATTAATAAAAACCTGTTGCCTAACGCAGCATGGAGCTCCATGATCAAGCTCTCTTCGTCTTGAGAGAAAGCTCCTCTCTTTAAGTCTGGTCTCAAATAGTTTATCCACCTAAGCCTACAGCTTTTTCCACATCTCTGTAAACCTATATGATCATATATATCAACCAATGCATATATTTAAACATTATAAAAGAGATAATACAAATCTTGAACTTTATAAAGATAAGAGAACATGGGTATCATCAAACCTGCGAGTTTAGGGACAGAACTCCAACAACCATGACCATGTCTAGTTATGTAATTGAGAAGCTTCTCATCTTCTTCAGGAGACCAAAGGCCTTTTCTTAGCTTTTGCTTGTAACAACAAGAATGTCTTCCCATTTTGTATATGTAGCGATTGATTTATTAGAGTTTGAAGAAGCAAGAAGCTATAGATCGTTGCGGAGCGATTGGGAGTTTTATGAGTTATGGTCTGTGAAGGTTCTTTAAGGTTGAAGAGAAAGCGAGAAGATGGAGAAATTATTATAAAATGAGAGAAAAAGTGATTGGCGATTTTCTGGTGTAAACACTTTTGTTTTATAATCGCTGGGTGAATTAATTGACACCTTTTATGGGACCACCCTATATAGAAGAATCACGACTATGAACTAAAAAACCTACTTAATAATTATTTGATTCTTGTACAGAATAGAAAGAAATCGTGGTTAATACTTTAGACATAACACTCGTAAATTATTGTTACTTTTTCTTGAAAGCTAGATAAATAATGACAACATTTACTGAAAAAATAAACTTAAGAAAAAGAGAGCATTACTTTGTCGATATTTTTATCTAGATGTTAAAGACGGATGGTATAAAATGTGATGATTAAAATATAAGAGAGAAACTTAATTCAGGGATGATTAGTATACAGTCAAACCTCTATAAAACAATAATGTTGGGACTTTGAAATTTTATTATCTTATAGAGTTATTATTTTATCGATAAAACAATAATTATTATTTTATAGAAATATTCTATCAAAAACAAGAAACTTTATAGAAATATATTTTTCACTTTTTTATTCAAATTTTCCTTATACTTTGTTATTTACATATTTCATGCTCAGAAGTTCAAAATCTAGAAGAAATTATGTCTAATGTTCTTAATGGTGAAGATGAAGTTGAAGATGATGAGGAAGGACATGTGCAAGTAGTTAAAGCAATTGTGGCTTCGAGAACTCTTCACAACTTTTGGCTGCATGTTGAGAATACACCACAGAAATTGTAGATGCAATAAGAAAAATTCGAGATGAGCTCCAACGGGAATCCAACTTTCAGAAAAGACAAACTACATTGGAGTCATATTTTACTAAATTGTCTTAGATATATATGCCTTAGTTTTATAATTATTATCTTAGCTTATTGTTGGGACTATATTTTTACATAGGAGTTTCAAAAATATTATTGTCTTATCATCTTATCGCATTATGCTATTTTTTACATTGGCCCGAGTTGGGACCGGAGAAAATTATTATCTTATAGTGTTTATTGTTTTATCGAGTATTGTTTTATAGAGGTTCTACTGTATTCTAGTTATAATCATTTCCTAAGTTTGCGTATCAAGATTTAAGTTTTTTTATACATCCACTATAAATATTACGAAAGATTGGTTTCAAAACCTAAAAAGAAAATAAAACTATGACCCGAAATTCGGAATTTCCTTATTAGCAAAAATAAAATAAAAATAAAGGGGAAGCCATCGGTCAACAACAGACTCATTTCCATGAAAGCATTGTACGAATCAATATTTAGTGTCCCCTCAAAAATACGATTTTTTTTTTGTTGACAAAGAAATTTAGTGTTTTGGTACTATTTATTTAACTTTTCTCACTTTGATCTCAAAGGAGACACCTTGATGTCCTGAGAATGTAAAGATCTTCAATTTAAGTACGCAAAGTGATGGTGGAAAAGCCGTTAATGTTTCCACTATATGCAATAATTTGTTCGCGTATGTAACTAATAGTCTTATTTCTATAGACAGTAATAGTAATAGTTTTCGGCTTGTAACTACATAGTAAGCTTTCTTTGATCTTATATTTGATGATGTTGATCTAGCATGTCAAGAAAAAAAATTAGTTAAGTTTGATTAATTTCGAGCTTGTTTCTACGCGAGAGCAAGAAGTGTTTAGAAACGTATATTATGATAGCATATGCGTTCTCATTATTATACTATAGGAAAAATCATTTTTTGTTGTTGTAAATAGTATCATGATTAGCTTAAAACAAATGTTTTTATATATAAGCTAGTAGCTTAAGAAATTATTAAATCATCAGCATAATTGAAGAATATCGTTACAACGAAAAAAACACTCAATCCCTTGTATATCCAACCTGTCTCCTCTGACATGTTGTTAGATGAAGAAATCTCATAGTTTACCTCAATCTTATCATACCGTGACGAATGATATACTATCATTTCAATTGAGATGTGAATTTTTTTGTATGTATGTATATAAACCGGCTTATAATAGTACATTTTTAAAACGTACCGAGCTGTGTATTTGGCTGGTTTCAGTGACACTTACTTTTGTCACAAATGTCAAACAATCAAAGGGACAATCAAACCTAATTAACTATATATTGAGATTTTCGTGTTTATTTCACAAATTTTTTGTCTTAAAAAAAAAAAAAACAGTAATGAGAAATGCATATAATTAAGCCGCCGATGCCAACCTTGTTTGTCGTTCTCCAGTTATATTAAATCATCTTTCTTTTAGCGTAAGTCGAAATGGACTTACAATTGGTTGTAGAAACTACAAAGTATATATTAAATGTTGATGTGCATAGAAAGTCACGGTGATGTTTTGTATAGTTTCTAATGGAAATACAAAAAGAATCGCCGCCTTCCAAATGATTGATCATTTAAAATTTTTAAGTTGGAGAGAGAGGTTGACGTTGACTTGGGTTCTATCATCGAGAAGCCATGTTCATGAGAATAGGAGTTTCCTCTTTCAAGGTTCCTAGACATGAAAGTATACGGACGAACAGAGGTGAAAGATCAGTAGCTATACAAACAAGAAGAAGACAAAAACAAAAGAAAAAAGAGATATTTAGGTCAAATGTTTGGGCATCAAATAGCCGTATATGGTCCAACAGTTTTGCTATATCGATCGGTCAAATAGCGACATTACGAGAAAATGAGCTGTAGTTAATCATGCAATCTGTTTGGAGGAAAAAAGTAGCTAGGTTTTAGGCCCAATGCACTGATCATTTAGCTTATCACACTGACAATAATTTATCAAAAATCAAAATATATACGGATTTGGCTCATCTTCAAGACTCGATGGGATTAGTACAAAACAAAAAAAATGGAAGGATGCAAGTGATCATAAACTTTCGTAGATCCATATGTTTTTTTTTAGTATATTATATTCATAATGTTGTACAAACATTCTAATTGTTGCGAAATTCTGTATCTGCAAAATGAAGAGTTTAATGTTGGATGGTAGCAAAAGAAGAGAAAAAATTGGATGCAAAATCAAATCAATAATTGCTGCAATACACTTAACTAAACTTTAACATTCAAAACCAACATGCATGCCAATGACTCAGTAGCTACTTGTTTCCAAAAACTCATAAATAGTTCAAAAAAAAAATTGTAAAAATGAAGACGAATAAAGAGGCCGAAATTAAAGTGAGAGAGCATCATTTTGTAGTAGAATGATGATTGCAAAAGTGGGACAAAAACAGAAAATTCATGATTTGGTCACAAGAATATATATATTTCCTTGTTCTAAGTACCAAAAAAGCTTTGCTTAGAGAAGCAATACTATACGAAAGTAGCGAAGAGAGAGATAGTTGAAACATCACTCTCATCTCAACTCCAATTCCAAAATTTGAGTGGCACCACGCTTTTGTTTCCTCGTATTTTTCATGAATACTACTATTGTTTCATCTGCTTAGCGTAATTATTAATGTACAGCCTTCGTTTGTTTTTATCTGCAGAGGCAGTTTTTGTTTTACGTAGAAGTTTTATTTTGAAGTAAATATTGTTCTGACTTCTGAGGTACTATGTATTGATATTATCACTTTTCAAGCTTCCACATCGTGGAAGTTTCAACTGAATCACAACTAATTCATATAGCTGACATAATGCCACGCCACTAAGACAAAGATAGCCATTCGCCGACGGAGAGAGATTAGCAGAGGTTAGTGTCATCATTACGTTTACTGATTCACATTATGTCCCAAAACGCCGAAATCAAAATAACCATTAAACACGATAAGTGATGATCGCTTCTTTTGTTTTCACGGAGGTTAAGTAATTATTTGTAATAATAATCTCCCACTAAAGAAAACCATTCAATTAGAGTTTATTTTTCTTCATTTTTTAATATGAAAAAGGTAATCGACTTTACTTGAATTGAGTACATATAATGAAATAAACAATTCTCGTATCTTTTGGAAAATTGGGTCCACATTAACGGAATCCTTAAAATGATTTTGAGTTTAGTTAAATAAACAGTTCTACTACCTCTCTATAATTCTAACAAATTATTTTTCTTTTCCAAGCTCCCAACTGATTCAGGGAATTTTGTTATGTCTCTGCAATGGTATAAATCATTCTTTAGTTCTAAGCAAAGCAAAAGCAATGATTAGAAAGTTTAAAGAGCAGTTTTGAGATTTAACGGCACAATTAAAATGAAATAAAGTTAGAAAGATATTTTTAAGGAGGTGACATGGATTTTCAAAAGATAAAAAGAAGTAATAATAAAAAGGGATTTTGTCTAGTTGAAAAGTATGACCCATGATCTTACTCATGCATAATTACATTAAGTAGGACCTTAACTTATTTTCCACATCTTTTTTCTTTTAATAATTTTTTCCTAATGGAGTTCTTGTTTTACATATTTGCATCCATATAGATAGAATCATAGAACTCATATGACTGTTTTGGTTTAGTAGAAACAAACATTCCCATGCACCAGTTTTAAGACTTCGAAAATTTGGGTAACTAATTTGTCATTCTACCTACTACCTAGGTTTATTACTTCATTGAGTCAAATTGACTTATTATTGCAGTCGGTGTATTTATGAACGTTTTTTTAATCTTCAAGAGAACAAATTCTAAAGGAGCTAAAGATTATAGCAATTATGAAAAGGTATTTTGTCTGGTTGAAAAACATGAGCCATCAAAAGAAAGATTACATGATGTGTTTGGTGATTAATTAAGTGGGCGAAATAGGAGAAATAATAGTCAATCTCTGATTAGCCACACTCTTCATTAGTTAATTCTTTAATTGACATCCTCACTTTCTTAAACCTTCCCATCACTCTCTCGTTTTTCTTCTGCAAGTGTATATATGTCTCAATTATAGGGATCACACACTCCTTTCTCCAGTCTAATCTCTCTTTTTCTTTCCTTTAATTATCTTCCAATATAATTATGCATATTTGATACGTGGCAGCCCCTGGTTTGTCACCTTTCCCAAATTTTAATGCATTAATTTTAGTGAATTCGCACATACATTATAGCATTAGTCTAGTGGTCACACTCACTCATAGGAAAAAACAAATTGTTTCGTTTGTAAAAAAGTTGTCAATTCTGGGAAAAGATCTAAAAGCCCAATGGGCTTTACAAACGATCCAATGGAGTCACGTGGTCTCGAGAGCCCAATAGATTATATGTAGGCACATGTAGGCTGATCAGAGACGCCACTCGTGATGTTTCGAGGTGACTCTTGTACTCGCGATGAATTCTCCATATCTATAGTGTATTTACAAAGTTTACAAAGTAACAAGGATTGGTTCTAATTGGTATTATGAGAGTGATACAAATTTACAAAGGCCTCAAAAGTGGGTAATCTTCAAGTAACTCCCTTTCTGACAAAGCGTCGTTGACGTTCTGTGGTGTCCACAATACTTCTACTGCCTGCAACAACATTTTACTTTGCATCTTTCATTTCTGCAAAGACTTTAAAACCATGCAACTTTTTATCTATACGGAGAGAGACTTACCATTATTTTGTTTCTGGGTATGGACCCGAGTTTCTGTAACGCCTCTTTAAGATCCACAGTTCCGTTTATTGGCGGCAGTTTATGTATACCTTCTGCAGCCACCAAGATGGTTACCTGAACGAGAACATGTACAAGAGACTCTGTTAACGTATTACAAAACTAATGTTGCCGTTTTAACTTTGGAGTTTTTTCAAAGTGTACCACAATATATTCGTTGCTGAAACCGGTAGCTGTGCGAATCTTGGAGCTTTGTCTCTTGATGCTATTGACATTAACAAGCGTCTCTTCATCGAATTTTCCTCGTTCTTCAATGGAGAGTTGGTTAAATCGCTTCTCTCCGTCTTCTATACTCCGCTTCACATCAACCTGGAAAGCATGACGAAAATCAGAGTGGTTAGGTTCTGCATCCAACCAAGAATTACTGTCAACAAGGCTAAAATGGTGAATACAGATCATATAGAGCGGACTTACTGATGAATAACAAGAGATGCAATAGTCTGGGTGCCTCAGCAAAGCCAATGTTGCCTCTGTAAGTTGCAGAAAAAAAAGAACCATTACAATCACACATGTCACAGGAAAAAGACAGATGGAGATAGATTGATGAGGAATAAGTGTTACCGGTTAAAACATAACTCAGACCCTCTGAGGTGGATGTATCCGCACTTTCAGCAAGGCGATTGAAATCTTGTTGTAGTGTCCTCCCCAAACCAAGCAATCCCACCTGAAAGGTTACATATACAAATTAGAACAATTCATATATGGAAATAAAATCCCTTGTATGGCTAGTTACACAAATATGAATTAGCCTTGATGGACTATATAACAAAGCTATACAGCAATCGTAACTTGTATAGCTAAATGAGAATCTGCAATCATGATTATATTGCGAAAACTCTATTCAGATTTCTGCAATGAAATCATTCTGACTATACAATTGAGGTCACCTGTAGTTTAAGGACGGTAGTTTTCTGAGTAGCGGTTAAAACGCCATCTTGTGATTGTGAACGGTCTGAGAGGAATCCAGAAACCAAAACAAAGGCTGCGAAACCCGCCAGAATCAGAGAGAAGCTCGAAAACCCACCAAACCCGTACCCAAGACCAACCGCCGGACCAACATACAGACCTCCACCGAACGGCGACGGTCCTTGGTACGGAGCAGAGTATCTCATACTCGGCTCCGATGTTCTCGGCGCAGAATAAGAGTAAGAAGATGAGCTCCGAGACCTTGACGAGAAGGCGTTACCGCCAATTCTACCACCGGAAGCAGCCAAGGCCCAGCTAGGATCGTAGAACAACAGCAGACCGAGTAAAACCGCGGCTATTGCCGGTTTCTTCAGCGAATCTATCGTTTTCTTCACCTGAACCGCGATTTGGTCAAAAGAATTCTTCCATATCTGAGCAGGAGCCGATTCGGGTCTCACATCACCATCCGATGGTTTGTAATTTAAGGTGATTTGGAGACGAACGTAGTTTGATTTCCGTTGAGGTTTTGAGCAGAAAAGAGCAATACGATCATGGCACCGCCGGTGCGTGTATGAGAATGGCGGATTCCATTTAAACGGAGTTAATTCGAGCAAGGAACAAGAAGACGCCATTTTTGATACACCCCTGAATCTTACCAGAAGAAGAAGATAGAGAAGAGTTTGAGGTGAGAAGAGGAAGAAGATAAATTGGCTGATCAAGAGCTTGTGTGAATTGTGATTATCTGATTACAGGCTAGAAGACGAGCTAAACTAAATGGGCCTCGACAACATTCTAAAACTGAAGCCCAAATTAGGCTCATAACAAACATTCTTTCTTTAATACTTCCTCCGTTTCAAAATACTTGTCATTCTAGCCTTATTTTTTTTATTCAAAATAGTTGTCGTTCTCACTTTCCAATGCAAAATTTAATATTAAATACCTAGTTTAACCTTGATCTAATGAAGAATACTATAGTCAATTTGCTTTTTAAGGGTATAATAAAATTTTTAATCTATTTTATTAATATACGTAAAATTTCCTAAAACGATAAGTAAAAAGAAACGGAGGGAGTATGAGTTTAAGTTACGCACCACAATCATCAGATAATGGGAATAAGATACGAAGTAAAGAAATCACAAGTTAAAAAGCTTTAGTATTATGCTTTAATGATAAAGATAAGTAAAACACTTCAAGCTGGTCTGACTCTTCTAATTTGCCAAAAAGAAATAAATAAGTTAACATTGATATTCGGAGGATTTCATTGATATTCGGCAGCCTTGATCTTGAATTCTTCGAGCAAATCCTCAATGCTCTTCACCGCGTGAGCTGGACTGTCTCTTATCATAACACTCACCTGAAATTGTCGAGTCAAACAATCTTTAAAAATGTTCATACAAAACTAGTTAATTAAGATATACTATGTCAATAACTAACCTTTCCTGTAGCAGCTTCGTTTTCACCAACTACCAGTATGTAGTTGTACTGCGCCATCTGAGCTTCTCGCATCTACACAAACCGCAATCGTCAATTTCAGGAATCACAAGCCAACCACATAACAAAAAGCAGAACATTAACCCTCAAAATTGTTACCTTTTTATCGATCTTTCTGTCTGTTATGTCCGCATCAACATAGTACCCAGCTTCATGGATTTTGTTTTTCACCTGAGACAAAAAAAAAAGAAAAGCCAGAGATTAGACGCCTGCAAATAAATTGATAAGAAGCACAGGAGCTCACTAAAGAATGCAGCCACGAGTGTAACCTGTTTTGCATATTCCTCGGATTTCTTTGATATAGGGCAAACTATGGCCTGGCGCGGACTAAGCCAGAAGGGCAATTTTCCATTGTAATGCTCCAACAATATGGCACGTTCCACAGATCCCATCACAGGTCTCAGCCTATTTGAAAGAAGTTGAAAATCAAGCTGACAAGAACCCTAGGAATAGCAAACACTAAACCTAGATTGAATTCAAACTTGAAGAGAAAATTCTTGAAATCCACCAGATTAGAAAAGCCCAATATTTTGATTAATTAGAATAACTAGGTTTGAAGCCCCGCGCAAGCGCGGGGTTGTTTGCAATGGTTTTGTTTATACTTTATCTCACATCGTGCGTCCTTTTATTTTATTTTATTAGGATGTTAACACCCCACTTTATCTCGAATTTTCTATTTCTAACATTTTAGCATATTATAAATATTATGTTTGTTTACTTTTGTTAGACTATAAACATGCATATGTATAATTTGACTCAGCGTTAAAATTTGTAAGTATATTGTAAAATCGCATTTGCACCGAAATAGGATGAAAAAAATATATATATACTTTTATACATATCTACTTTGTTGTGGTAGCATATGAGCCTCATGACCATTGATTGTTTTCTATTATGTTAGTTTTGTAATTGAATATATTTGGAAACAAACATATCACAATCCTTAAAACTTTCATGTTTTTCACTGCAATTAAATTTACATATAAAAACTTGACTTCTATTTGTTTAAAAAAGCAAACTCTAACTCTAATTTCTCATTGGTTTTTTATTATCTTAATTAATTTATATTCAACTTTTTAACTTGTGAACACATTATAACATTTTGAAGTAGGATAAATTCTTTTAATAAAAAGGTAAATATATACCATTTCAAGATAAATATATTTTTACTTATATCCAAACTTTTTGATAACTTTTAACATCAAGTTATCACATACTTTATATTAATTAAGTAATTTAGTTGTGTATTTTTCTTAGTTTTATTTATATTTAAAAATATAAATATAGGTAAAGAAATATGAATAGTCATGTATTAAATATTTTAAAAACAATTTAATGAATTTTTTTGGCTGATGTGGATAGCCTAGATGGAGAGAGGAAACTCTCCTATTATATATAAGACTAGTAGAGTACCCGCACGTTTGTGCGGTGTGACGTTGTTGTTTTGTGTAGAAAATTTAAACCCTAAATCCGAACCCGACAAAAAACCCTAATCAAAAAATTTAAAAACCCAAACTTTTTTAATAGGTCTAAACATGAAAATCCGAAATCAAAAAAATCCCGAAAACCCTGACTGAACAAAAAAAATCTGGAAACTTTTTCACCCGGAACCCGACCCCAATACCTAATCAAAATTTTAAAATACTCAATTTTTTTAATATATCTAAACCCGAAAACCAGAAATCTAAAAAATCCGGAAAACCCTAAACTGAAAAAAAAAATTGAACCTAACCCGAACAGAAATTTTCAAAGAAACCCGAACAATTTCTATATCTCTATATATATCTCTATAAAATTATGTCTCAGATTTTCACCCAAACCCGAACTTGTCTATAAAAACCCGAAAATCCAAAAAGCATATTCTATTGATTTGGAATTATCGTTAGATTATGTTAAGTTTTTTTTTTGCAGATTTTTAAGAGATGGAAAACGGAAGTTTTCTAAACCATCGGTTTATTTTAAGTTATTATTCTTGTATCCAAACAATTTTTTCCATTTATTCTTCTATCCAAATAGATTTTTCTCTTATTCTTATATCCAAACAACTTTTGTTTCCATTTATTCTTCTATCCAAATAGATGTTTCTCTAATTCTTGTATCCAAACATTAGAATGTACTTCTCAATTAATAATATAAAGATAAGATATGCCTCATGGCTATTTATAAGTGTTTATTTATATAGGAAAATTTAACCTTAGAAAATATCCAAAACTGAGAAGGAAAAACATAATTAAAGAAAAAGGAAAACTAATAAAACCTTCCAAATTTATCCTACAAGCTCGTATGAGGCGACAGGAAAACCGAAAACATAAAATTAATTCCCGCACTGATAAGAAAAAAGGAAACAAGAAAAAGTAAAATTTTGGATTATTTAGAATTTTGTCAGCACTTATTCAATTCTCACAGAATCGTCAAATAATTGCGTTCGTATAAAAAGTGCCCCCTCACGCGCTCGGTCAAGTTAAAACATTCGTATATATATACGATACGATACAAGGGAAGTGGATATCACATGCAGGACTGCTCCAAATGCAGCTGAAATTTAGTGAATACAAAAAAATCAGAATGATGATATGCGTGAATATATACAATACAACAACACCAAACCAATCTGAATCAGAAACATTGAATCATGTATTTTGAGTTTGGGAAGCACATTCATTCAATTCAATGGGATATATAAATAGTAAGGTGGCTTTCTTTAGACACTTTGTCACAAAAGAATAATGTGAACACATATATAATTCATATGCATAAGAAGACATCAAATGCAACACCATCGAAGCAAATACAAGTCTCTGATTAGACCACTGAAGCAGCAGCTAGCTGAATCGTTCATGCCTATATAGTATATACCTTAACTATCTATTTCTAGCTTAATCAAACAATGCCTTAGGATTATTGACTCATCGAAATGCAGAATGATTTGAAAATTAAGTAATGTTTAACTGACCTGTGAGGCTTCAATCTTTCATTCACGTGCTTTTGCTTTAAAGACTTATTAGCAAAATGTGAAAGAAAATTCGAAATAAAGAATGGAGCTTTCTTCTTTTTTTTTTTTATAAAGTCGCGAATGAGGATATTACAGTTTTGAAGCAATCATCTTTTTATTTTTTTCCCGTATAATCTTAGATAATAAGCTTACGTTTCAAAAAGCAAAGATTCCATGCGTGTTGGTTAGTAAAACTGTAATACGTTAGCACTTTGTTGTGGTGTTTGTTTATAAAGAACTAAAAAGAGACGTCGGAAGTAGCTGTTTGTTTGTTTACGTGATGCAGCCAATGGAGAAGATGGTGATTGACGAGATAATGGATAAAGAAACAGAAACTGTTGATTCAGTCCAGATACTACTGAAGGAAGATCAAGTTGATGATCAGATTCTTATTGCTGTGATTGAAAAATCTGAAGAATCTGCAAAGAAAGGGAGAGATGAGAGTGGTGAGAAGAAAGAAGCTGAGCAAGTTAAAAAGAGCGTTGAAGAGGTTACTTTTGAAGCTGTTGATGTGGAGAAAGAGGCTGTGGAGGATGTTTCTCAAGAAGTCAAGAAGGATAAATCTGTTGAAACTCCAGAGAAGGAAGGTTTAAAGACCGTTGATGTTTCTGAGTCGATAGATGAAGCTAGAGGGAAAAATGAAGACGAAATCAAAGATTTACAAAATCTTTCAGCTGATGCTATGATAGAGACAACAGAGGTAAAAGTTCTTCAAGTTGAGTCAAATGAATCAGCTTCAGAAGTTGAGGTAAAGGCAGAGGAAAGCTCTGAGTTTGAGCTCCAAGTCAAGCTGGAGGAGAAAGCTGATGAAACAAAGTGTCATGAGGAAGCTGTATTGATAAGCCAAGATTTGTTGTCTGAGGCCAAGAAAGAGACTGAAGAAGTTGCTACTTCATCTCCCGGTGATTTCATTGATAAGATTAGTGCTGAAGCAAAGCATGTAGAGGAAGAGGCATCGAAGGAGGAAGACGTAAACAAGAGTGAAGAAAAAGATGGCGTAAACAAGCTTGTTGAAGAAGATGAGAGTATCAAGGAGGATACTTTGAAACAAACTCTAGATACTGAATCAAAAGAGAAAGAAACAGAACCAGAGGTTAAAGAAAGCCAAGAAGAAGAAGGCAGAGAGAAAGAGGTTAGTGCTAAGCCAAAGCATGCAAACAATATTATATCCAAAGTAAAACAGTCTCTTGTAAAGGCAAAGAAAGCAATCACTGGAAAATCTCCAAGCTCGAAGACTATTTCAACTGAAGCCAATGAAGATATCAAAATCAAGTGATGAAACTCTACATTATATTATGAGAATTTGAAGGATTTCTTGTTTTTGCTTTCAAGTACAATTATTTCGTTTTCTTTTTAATTGTTTAGTTACGAGTTTTTGTGTTCCTATCACTAGTAGTGGTCTTTTCTTATGATGTGTGTGCGATGCAACTTTCTTCTCTACATGACAGTTTCTTTTTCCATCACAGAAGCTCTCACTTAGTCTCTGATAAGTGGGTTTAGGCCATTTTCCTCTTAACATTAGTAATTCAGAACTCAAAAACATTATTCTTGTACAGTTTCACGATCAGTCTAAGCAAAAAAGAATAATTTAGATTTTACTGAATGTTAATGTGAAAAGAGGTTCCCACGTATACGTGGGGGTTTATAATTTACCAGTCACAATTACCAGTCACAATCTAAACTTTAACTTGAAAATAAGTTTTTACAATGTCACAATCTAAATAATGAGGTGTCCTACTTTGAAGATAAGATTTCACATGTTGTATTATGATTTAAATCAATGATAAAATAGAATTTGTTATACATGTTATGTCTTTATATACTAAGATATATCAAGAATTTGTCAAATAATATGTTTCTCAAAATAAGATAAGATTTTACACGTTGTATCATAATCTAAATCAATGATAAATTAGAATTTGTTGTAGGTGTCGGTTTTTATATACTAAGATATATCAAGAATTTTCCAAATAAAATATTCTTCAAAATAAGATAAAATTTTACAAGTTGTATCATGATCTAAATCAATAATGATAAATTAGAATTTGTTATACATGTCACGTCTTTATATACTAAGATATATCAAGAATTTGTTAAATAAAATGTTCTAAGATAAGATTTTACACGTTGTATCATGATCTAAATCAATGATAAATTAGAATTTGTTATATTTGTCATGTCTTTATATACTAATATATATATCAAGAATTTTCCAAATAAAATGTTCCTCAAAATATAAAGTCTTATTTTCCATTTTTCATTTGAATGTTATAAGCTGTAATTTTTTTTATTTTATTTTTAAATATATATTGTAATTCCAACTAAAATACAGCTTGTAAATGAATAATAGCTGTAGTCCAATTGGAATTACAGTATTTTTTTTTTCTTTTTTTTAACCAGGATTATTACAGCTAATAATATTCAAACTAAAACTGGAAAATAAGACTTCATATTTTCACTAACAATTCATTTTTCCTCAACATACGTTGTTAATGCCCAAAAAGGTGTAATACATTACATGCATGTCTTTACAAATATATCTGAAATGAAATGATTACCAATTTATATACAATCATATATGTACACCGTACACGTATTGACGTATACATGCATTACATTTTTATGACACAAAACGATCATGATTCATGTCTATATATTAAACGGCCAATCTTACCCCATATCATAATATACTTTCGTCTTTCACTTAACAAAGAAAACATAGGGTTAATGGCCGATCCAACATCAAGGAAACTAACATTCAAGAAGAGGACGATAGGGTTCATGAAGCAACTCGACGAGCTAACGACTCTCTGCGGCGTCCAAGCTTGTGCTGTCATCTTCAGTCCGTACGAATCGAACCCGGTGGCTTGGCCTTCAAGAGAAGGCGTTGGAGAGGTGTTTTCGGAGTTTATGGGGAAACCGTGGATGGAACGGACCAAGAGGATGAAGAATCAAGAGAGCTATACGCGGGAGAGGATCGATAAAGAAGGAGAGCAGTTGGAGAAGCTGCGTAATGAGAACCGTGAGTTTGCGATAAGAGAGATTATGGTCGATTGTCTCAAAGGGAAGATGATGATGGAGAACTATGAGTACAATCCAAGTGTTGTTCAAGATCTGCGTTCTCACATTGATAGTTATCTCAGTGAGCTAACTTGCAGGATCAAGAACCTTTCGGAGAACGACCAGTCTTATTCTCTCCCTCCTTTCTCTCTTGTTGCTGTTGCGGATACTGTGAATCAGCAAGAACCGGTTCAATATCAAAATCTGAACCAGCAGCACCCGGTTCAATATCAAAATGTGAATCAGCAAGCACCGGTTCAATACCAAGATCCTTCTAAGTTCAATGGTCGTGTTCAACATCAGAATCAGAACCTGAACCAGCTGCACCCGGTTCAATATCAGAGCGTCAATCAGCAAGGACCGGTTCAATACCAAGATCCTGCTAAGTTCTTTGGTCATGTTCAGAATCAGAATCTGAACCAGCTGCACCCGGTTCAAAATCAGAACGTGAATCACCAAGGACCGGTTCAATATCAAGATCCTGCTAAGTTCTATGGTTATCAGAATCTGAACCAGCTGCACCCGGTTCAACATCAAAACGTGAATCAGCAAGGACCGGTTCAATACCATGGCCCTGCTAAGTTCAATGGTCATATTCAATATCAGAATCAGAAGCAGCTGCACCCGGTTCAGTATCAAAATGTGAATCAGCACCCGGTTCAATATCAAAATGTGAATCAACATGCACCGTTTCAGTACCAAGATCCTGCTAAGTTCTATGATCAGAATCAGCAGGGAGTCTATGGTACAAACTCGAACCAGAGCAAGATTCAACAACCGTTGATGGGACATGCAAGCATTCCTTCTATGGACGAAAATCCCTACCGCTACTATCAACTATCGACCGCTGATCTCGCTAGCACCAGTCGCATGCCTTCCACCACCACCGCTAGCACCAGTCGCATGCCTTCCAACACCACCGCCACCGCTGAACATTTTGCTCCTGACATCAACGACTGGTTCGAGTGAACTGTTTGATTGTTTGCATTTGTTACTCCATGACAATTGTTTTTTCATTTGATGTGTTTTTCTTCTTCTTTTAATATCAGTTGTTGTAATATTTAAAGGTTCTGCCTTTAAATTAGTTTTTATTATTATTTCTACATTGTTTGGTACTGTATTCGCGGGTCGTGGCGCGGGGAAATTTAATTCTTTTTGAATAAACTTTTCATAAGTTTCAAAATGTCTCTAAAATTTCAGAAAACATGTAAAATCAATCGATACAGTTGAACAAATGTGCAAATCAAAACGTAAAAAATGGACTAAAAACCTCTACTACATTTTTGTGGTAATTAATATTTGCATCCATAAAAAAAAATCGATTCAAGGGTCGTACTAAATTCGAAAACAATGGTCCAATACATCTGTAAAGAGGGAAACCAAAGCTAGATATCTACTCAAGGCACAACATAAAGTCTCTCTGTCTCTCTCCAATCTCTATTACTCTTTGAATTGCCATTCTCTACGGCACATGGGGCAATGAGCTTGGCTCGTCTGTGAATTAACCCATTTCAATATACAATGGAGATGAAATGAATGGTTGCAAGCTCCCCAAACTACACATTAACCGTAAAGGTCCACACATAAGAACATATCAAGCATCACACTGAGTAGAGACGTGAAAAAGAGAGGAGGAACTTACTTAGAGGGCAATCATCTCCAGGGAGTTTGCAGTCAGGACAACAACCGTCGAATGGCATTCGACATATTCCACATGTCTCGTCTTGAGCATCCCATGTCCATGATGCAACCGCATGCCATCTACAGTTTTCAACAATGTAGGAGTTCATGAGTTGAGATTGAGAGATGCATACAATACATGAACTAGTGTGTAACAAAGGAACTTACTCTGTTTTTCGAAGCCAAGAGACATAGTAGCACTGAGAGTCAAGGAAAAAAAGACAGTTCATTTGAAACAGAATCCTCCTAAAGGCAAGGACATTGAGCTGGTCTTAATCTACCCTATATAAATCAGTTGAGAGTTGATAACAAGAATCTTCATAGCATATTCATCAACATCAATTATCACAACTGAAATCCATGGAAAGAAAATAATTTTAGATATGGTGAATCAAGAAAGCGAAGCTGTATCGATATACATTATGTTTTGAACATCAAAGAAACTATTGATGCATGATAAGCAAAGGAAATGAAGTAGAAGGATACGCAAAATCTTGACTTTCATGGCTTCCTCCTGATAAACAAAAAAAATCTTATATCAGCTTTACAAAACTCAAAACATAATACACAAAGACAAGTTACTAAACACGCATACACGACATAGAACTGAAAATTACCTATAAGATCCTAGGAACCAAAAAAAGACAGATTACAAAACACAAAGAGTAGGTGTATATATCATTTTCTGGCACAAAGGTGCAAGAGTTTCAAAACCAGACGTTAAGATTTAATCATATCAAGAAAACCAAAGAAATCAAAAGAAAATACGATGACGTGATAAAGAGAAACTGTCTCTCAGGCATTTGGTCGAACAACTGGTAGGCCAAAAACCAAACTTTAGAGCATTTGCGTACTTTGAACCGTTGGACTAAATTTATTGAATGGAACCGAGCTCGCTTGGATTCTCAGATATGAAAAAGAAACTCAGTAAAGTAATATCTCCTTCACAGAACGCAATACTAAACTCAAAACCTAATATTATCAAGGTTTGATCGTCTCAGAACATAGACGCAATAAATCCATAGAATCAAATGATATTTGATACTTTCATAGTTGAGATTACAGAATGGAACAGATCATATTTACACTACCGGAGAGGTGTAGCAAGAGAGCGGAAGAAAGCAATCACAAAACTGAAAGAAACAAATAATTTAAAAAAACTCACCGGCGATGACGGAGAAGCGAAATGCGACGGTGAAGCGGCGAGAAGGAAACGGGAAACGCGAATTCATTAACTTATATGGGCCTTCGAACTAACTTGGGCTTTAGATAAAGTTGAGCTTAGGACCCAACCCATATGTGATCTGATTTTTTACATAATTTTGACAGTTTTTTACTTTTTGTATTTAAACAAGAAAATTACCTTCTAGATTTTCATATTAGGGAATAGCTAAAAAAGAAAGAAGAAATAAAATCCTTTTTAGATATCTACCATATCTATACTGTGTACAAACTATTTACTAAATTGTGTATATTATATGCAATATTATCCATATGAATCATATTTTATTAGCTTAAAAGAGATATGTTTTTCCACGTAAGATATGAGTGGGTGATTAACTGGTTACTATTACCAATGAAATCTAATCCTTAACATATATTATTGACATTTGCCAATCAGAATACAGCACCTATATGCCAGGTTGCCAATTATCTTTAATATTTTCAGCAATATTTGGTTATGAACCTGTGACTATACTCCATAATATGAATGCTAAATTTACCTCCAAATAAGTATATTGTTTTCCTGTAATTTGTTTCCATTTTAATATCCCTCAAAAGGTATGTATGATATACATAGATCTATGTTTGTATTTAGATAATATCTATCTCACCAAATTTGATCCAAGCATTGGTGTATAAATATATGTAAACATATAGTCCATTTTCATACAGAAACAAACAAAACACAACAAACAAAACAAAAAGAGTCATGACGAGACAGAAAGTGAAAATGGTTTTCATAGAAAACGACTCAGCAAGAAAATCAACATTCAAGAAAAGAAAGAAGGGAATCCTGAAGAAGGCCCACGAGTTAGCAACTCTCTGTGACGTCCCGATCGGGATAGTCATCGGAAGTCCGTACGACTCGACCCCGGAGGTGTGGCCAACGAGGGAATCGATGGACAAGGTGCTGTCCCAGTGGAAGGCGATGTCGGCGATGGACAAGTCCAAGAAGATGATGAACCAAGAGTCCTTTCTCCGACAGAGGATCAACAAGGCAACCGAGTCCCGTAGGAAGCTGTGTAAAGAGAACAGAGAGCTGGAGATGAAAGAGGTCATGTTCGATTGTCTCAAAGGCAACACTTCTCCTTCTCGTGTTGACCCGAGGAATCTTCGAGATTTGGGTGGTATCATTGAACAGCATCTCAAAGATATTAACCGTAGGATCGATATTCTTAAGAAGAACGATGAGCCGTCTTCCTCCTCTGTTCTTGCTCTTGCTACTCCAACAGCACCTTATGTTATGCCTAGGGTTGAGATGCCGTCTTCCTCTTCTGCGGTTGGATTTTACGATAAGATCCGAGAACAAATTGAAACTAGTATGAATAAGGAGGCCATGAAGAAGGACTTGGATTTGAATCAGAAGCAGTGTTGAGCAAGATGGGTCTGGTGTTTGGAGAACCCTTGTGCGCAAGTGTTTTCATCGCATTTTGAAGCTTTCCTCATTTTAAACTACCAATAAATTATATTTTGTTTTAGTTCTCCATTTGTTTTTGTTTCATGTTTTCATTGGTTTCACATGATGTTGTTGTGTTTTATGTTGAATGAAATTTCATTTTCTATAGTTGATTAACTAATGTTTTATCATGGATATCATATTGTTCTCCTTATCAAAGTATTCATACCGAGGAGTTAAAACTATTTGCAACTAAATAAATAAGCTTTAGATAACACCATCAGAGAGTCGGCCCTCACTTTAAAAAAAGCCACGAGCTTAAAGATAAAATCAACCGTTTTAGTCTTTAGATAAACGCAATGAAAAGTATTAAACACTTTGTGTTTGAACCCATGACATTTTACTAGGTAAACATTTACAACTAAACTAAAATAGGGCCTCAAACATGAGCTTGTTTTGCTAAGCTGGACATAAACAATTGAACATTAGCCCTTGTACATTTCGGGTTTTGGGACGGGAATTGACGGGAACGAGAAAGGTATAAGAAATTTGGAAAATAATATATGCTTCCCAAAGTATCCCTTGTTATAAGGGGACGGGAAATAACGGGAAGGGAATGGAAAATTTGGGATTAGAAAATTAATCCTCAAAACCTTAATAAATTGGGAATTTACAAGAAAATTCGAGAACATATGGAAAAAATCAGGATATTTAAGAAAAAAATTGTCAAATTTTCATTTTTTTTTTATTTCTTTAAACGGGTAATTTGGGATTTCCGCGAAATTTCGTATCCTTCCCGAACCTTCCCTTACCTATTTAAATAAAAAAATCGTTCCCAAACAGAAAATTGCAACTTCCCATTATCGAAAAATTTGAGAATTCTTAAACGGGTAAGAGTGGGAACGGGATTCCCATCCGGAAATGCACAGGGATATTGAACACCATGTTGAATCAAATTAAATATAGAATATGTTTTGTTCAGAAACCTTCATACTAACACCTTACCGAAAATAAAGTTCTTAAATTGAGAATTTGAACTAGCAACGAATTCAGATTCTCGATTTTAAAGCTTTAAATTTAGTTAAAGATTGATTAAAATATCAAAATTGTATTGAAGTATCTAGCTTTTGTTTGATGATTTTTTTTTTTTGAGAATTTGAAGTCGTGAATTGCTTTCATCATATTTTTTTTGCTTTGCTTTGTATTACTACGTTTGATTGTCAAAGATCAACATGTTAGACCTTCACAAACTTTGATTATCAAAGATCAAGATGTTAGTCCTTCACAAACAAACAAAATCAACATGTTACTAACGTCCGTTAGTCAGCATTTAGATTCTTTTTATTCGAAAGAAATTGTTGATCGATTAAACTCACGTGAATGCTGATCTTTCAACAAAAACTTGTGGCAAGATTTTGGTTTTCTTTTTGCTTTTACACACTGTCCGGTAGAATTTTTTATTCCGATCCTTTATTCATCTAATTATTAAACTCCTACGATTCGGCAAATTAAATAGATACCCCAAAACAAAAAGAAATCAAATAGCAGACAAAAAGTGAAAATGAAAATAAAAATATAGAAGAAAAAGGAAAAGAGATTTTAGATGGTTGGTTCTCATACGAAAGACACGAAGGAAGTCATGTCTTGTCTATTTTGACAGAAAGCGTTT